ATCATCAGATTGGCGTGCCTCTTGGTAAGCCCTGTTGGCAAGCTCCTTAATGGCTCTCGCAGTGACTTCCGTATCAGTTGGATTACCTGTCAACTGATTGGGATCAGCGTTCTCTGGTGTTATAACATCTCGAGGACGCCTACCAAAGGCCATTTCTAAAGGAGTAACTCCTCCCTAGGTAATCGAAGAGTTTCTTGCCAAACATGCTTGTCGAACGAGGTTGCCATACTTCATGGTGATTCCGTTATACTGCGGGTCACCATCCTTCAGGATCTGAAGTATGATCTTAATCTGATGCTTCAGCAATCTTACAGCAGCTTCGGCCCGGTTGGGCCATGGTGTTCCAGGTCCTGTTGCTACAGGCTTGATATTCTGCCGATTGTAATAAGCCTCCATTTTTGGAGTCATGAATGCTTGATCTCCAACTACAACCTTTGGGTTGATCTGAAATTTCTCAAAGTAGTCATTCATAATCGACATTGTAGTATGCTCTTCCTTATCCTGGACTACTTCGGAAGTCAACAGGTTTGTTGCTCCGTCATAGAGAATAAGAAATATCAAGCGACTATTTTTGCCGGGAATTGGAAGCTCACCGTGATCTACGAAGGTGAGATCACCGAAAGTCTCTGATCTTAAACCGGAAATCTTCGCTCTTGAAGGAGCTCTCACGTGTTCCTGACAGGCTGAACACTTTTTGACCAGTTGGTCATATAGCTCATATATCTCCTTTGGGATCTGTAAGGCTTTCGTGCGTCGCTTGAACTGATCCGTACTCATATGACGGTGCTTAAGGTGAAGCTTATAGAGTTCTACAGGGTCCTTAAGCTTCTCATGAATCCTGCGAAGAGCAATGGGAAGAGATGGCGATGGTTCTGCGACAATCTCTTCACCTGTAGGTGAGTCTGTACCAGGAGCCGGGTATTCTCTTGACTCAAGCGGCTTTACCTCCGTCCCGTCATCAGCTCCTGGGACCATAGACTTCTCCTCAACAGGAGGTTTGACCGCATATTTGCGGGTTTTCTTCAGAAGGTTTTTAAGACCCTTTGGAGTCTTTGTCTTCGCAGGTGGAACCTCAAGTCTTTCTTCTTCTGGAGGTTCGTGCGGTGCAGATGATTCTGCAGGTTTGTCTCTAGAGCCTGATGATGGTTCCGATGGTTCGGAAGGCTCAGGAGCATCACCAGATGGTTCTGGTGGATCAGGTTTCTTGGCAGATGATTCTGCCGGATCAGATGGAAGAGGCTTCTTCTTACCTGGAATGCCCTTCGGTGGTGGATCAGCTGCTCCTTCAGGTGCTTTGTCGCAACCTTTGAGGAACGTATGAGGCTTTTTCTGTCCTGCGCAGGCTGGACAGCGACCTTCCGGGATCTTAGTATAAGATCTTCTTTCTTCCTTTGGCTTCTTAGCTCCTAGAGCAGTCTCCGTCGCACTGAACGACGTACCTGACTTAGGGAGATACTTCCTGGTGGAAGTGAAGCCTAGAAGGTCCAATACCAAATGGTTATTGGTACTAATCGGAAGGGGGGTTTTGTACAAACCGAAAGCTTCACACGTTGCTAGGTCAGCTGTGGGACTACACTCGAGGGTCATTCTTAGATTCCTCATCTGTTCGATGGAGAACAAAATGGGAACTCTCCCCTGATCCAGAACTTCTATGGTTGTATCTCTTCTTGGAGTTGTGTTGAACCATAGAGTTACACGCTCCTTGATAAGAGCTGTTTCACTATCTGCGAAAGAGAACTTCGTGTTCGAAGGTGAGAAAGTGAAATCAATCATGCCTGGGGCACGTTGCTTCACGGCCTTGATAAGCCTGTTCACCGCATAGCGGGAACCCATAGCCCTAGTACAACCTGAGTCAAGTATGACAAAGGTAGGGTTCTTATCAAGATTGATCCGCTCTGTGAGAGCAGATAGGACGGTGTGCTGCAACGGAAACACCGCTGTTGCAGTTTCAACACCTTGCCCCTCGGATGGTTCAAAGACCTGGGGCACGTAACTCACTGATGAGTTGAACACGGGTTCTTGGTGCGCGCTCGGATCTGTGCCTCTACCTGATGATCCTGCTTGATTTCTTCTCTTCTTTCTCCGTGTTTTTCTTCGTGAGGCTTGTGATGCATAGTATGTATAAGACGTTTGATCGTCATAAGCGGCATAATTCCAACTGGAGTCAGTATAATAACTGTCCTCATACCATGAATCCCAGCTCGGTGCGGTGGAACTCTCATAGGCCTGTGGAGATCCAGTTTGGTCTCCTTGTAAGGAGGCAGACTTAGCTGTATCCTTACCTTTGCCTTTTGCCTTTGCGCCTTTGAAGGAGCTTCCTTTATCTCCTTTGTCCTTTCCTTTTCCTTTGCCTTTTCCACCTTTTCCTTTTTCCTTTCCTTTACCTTTACCGAAATAGCTGGAATCAGTTGGATCATGTTCTGCCTGGTTGGCTCTCCCTTTTCCGCGGTATGACCTAAAACGGCCACGTCCTTTTCGCTTGCCACCCTTTGCTCTTCCCGGTGATCCGGGACGCATTCTTGGTCTTCTTCCCTTTTTGAATCTCCTTGCAACGAAGGCCTCATGGTCATCAACTGTCCAGAAGACAGCTTCTTCATCCTCGGCGGCAAGAAAGCCTTCCTCAAGGGTGTCTTCGTCTTGGAGCCAGAATCCATCGACTCCATCGTATTCACCCTGATCGAGGATGAGGAAGTTTCGACCTCCGCGTTTACGGCGTTGGTCTCTCCTTCCATGGCGGTCCTTCTTGTGAGAAGAGTGCCGAATGTTGGGATCCTGCAGACCAGTTCTGGTCGTTGAGAACTGATCGAACATGGTCTGCCGTACCACAGGGTACGTGTAGGTCTCAATTCGGTGACCTTGGTTGGTCAATGCTGTTACCAACCTCTCACGTTGCATCTCATTTAGGTCGGACTGCACTAGGAAGAGGAGAGCTAGGAGATTATCGTTCAGAGGAAACGCTCTTCGATGATTGTCAAGGCGTTCCTTGTTCCATGTTTCGAAATAGCGTGCGGCATATGTGTCTCTCTCGGCTGCATCCTGCATGCGCAAGAAGGTTTGGTCTGCCTGCACAGCTTGCATGAAATCTGGATGGGCATCCTCCAGAGCTATCTCTGGTAAGAGATCCATCCATGAGTTTTTCACGCGCTGTAGCACGATCTCAAACTTGGCAATCCAAGTCACAAAGTCTTGGTTGCCCTTCCATGCCTTGAATAGGCCGAGGAAACGCCACAGGAAAACGTACTGTTCTCCTTTCACGAAAAATGGACGCATCTTCTTCTTGAAGTAATCTACTCCATCTGGGGCTGCAAGCCTTTCTCGGTTCAGTGATTCCTTTTGTACTGCGGCCAATCCGGAGAGCCTCGTCTTGAGAGACGGACCTCTTTTGGTGTCATCCAGCGTTGTTATGTCGCACCAGTCGTCAATCAACTGTTCATACTCAAACCACGAGGTGGTGCCATCATAGGCAGGCGCGATCTTGGGCGTTATGCCTAATGATGCAAGCATGCGGTCAGATGTTGCATATGACTGTGCGACATAAGTGGCTGGACCTTGGGAGGTCTCTTCGTTCTCATATCCCCCGGAGGATTGGGAACTGTCGTCGGCTTCGCTATGCGAGCTCGACATTGTGCTGCCTCTTATCCGCTTGGTTAAGCGTTCGGCGAGGCCGACCGCTGTAGCGGACTTTGGGAGGCGGGCGGCCCTTTCCGGGCTCCGCTACCAGAAAACTGAGCCGATACACCCACAAGGAAATGCTCCTTGTTAGGAGGTGTATGACCAGTTTATTCCCTAAGGATCAAAGGGCAGCGCCCTGCACACGGACAGTAGTTGTTTTGTCTTGCTACGCAAGGAGAGCTTGTCTTGTCTCAATATGGTAAAACCACTGTGAGCCAATGGGCAGCGGAATGTATATGTATGAGCATGCAGCCATTGCTGTAGGTACCTGTTAGAGCTACCCCTTTAGAGGTTTACGCAAACATGGGGCCCATCCTCAAGCCCAGCTTTTGGAAAGGTCAGGTGCCAGGACAGAGCATGAACACCGCCTCTTGGTGCCTTGATGATTACCCCAAACGCGCCGGGGCTCATCAGCGAAGCTCCGCTGCCCCACACCACCCCAGACCCAGCCGCTGCTTTTTGAACAGCTGACGAGGGCCACAGCGGAACGTCTCGGGCCGCCTGTGGTCGTTGCTTCTGGGGTAAAGTGGCACGAGGGTCGAGCTCCAACACCCGTTGGCAACACTTACATCCATTGTGCTGTGACTGGGTGTCTGGGTACCTGAAAAAAAAAAACTTTTTGCATTGTGCAATCACCCAAGGGCCGAGCGTTTCGTCTGTTCTCGTCTCGTTACCTTGTATTTTTGTTGACATCTCCGAAACACACCAATGCCCCTGTTCCAGAAGAACACCAGCAAACAATGCCACTCTGCCCTAAACCCTAAACTCCAAACCCTAACCCCAAACCCCAAACCCTAAACCCTAAACCCCAAACCCCAAACCTTTCGCGTAATTCCGGCCCATCTGCTGGGCCGAGCCCTGAGCCCAGATCCCAGCTTCTTTGATGCCATTCTCCGACTGCTTGCTGGGATCAGATTTTGCTCGCACAGGATCCAGCATAAGACCAGGCGAAAACAACTTGCAATGTCGGCTCAGTGTTCACATGGTTCAGGTTCGGCGCTCAGGGTTCTTCCAGTCGGGTTGGACAGTGAGGTTTTGGGAGTTTGTTCGTTTGTAACCTAGTGCACGTAGTCCCAAGTAGAGTGTGTAGAGTAATCACGAGAACACATGAAACATGTGTGTGAACCGCGACACGGAGGCTTAAGGAAGTCAGCCCGCGAAGTGAGAAAAGTGTGTTTGAAAGTAGAGTGGGAAGGAAGGCTTGAGAAGCCTTTAGTTTCAACATGGTAGCGGAGCTCCCTGATTCAGACCTCTTGGGAGCGATGAAGCTATCACAGGAACAACAGGTAGCTGTCGCCATGGTTTCCTTGGCTTTGGCCTTTTCGCTGATGTGTCTGGCGAAAAGCTTTGTGAAAGAACTTGTGAGAAAGGAGACGGTGGAGCGCGTAGCTCCAGCTGAGGAAGAAGTGCCGGAACTCTGGTACTCGCCTTACGGAGAGAAGACCCACACCTCAGGAAGATGTCATGGCCTCAGGAACGCAACCAGCGTACACCGAGTACTACCATGCAAGTACTGCTGTCCCGGCGGACTCCGATCCCGGGAACAACGCACCTTCGAGTACAAGAGAACCTTTTTGGAAGCAGCAGGAAAGTACCTTTGGCTAAAAGTCTTCATGGTTGTGGTTCTCATGGGCATGTCATGGTTCATGGTGTTTGAAGTGAACGAGACCTACGGCTACCCGTTGGCCACGAACCGCATGCTGAACTACAGGAACAAGGTCCTCAGCCTCGACAACAAGAACCCCAAGAAGAAGCATGTGATAAAGGAGATTACCCCAGCGGATGTTGTACCTGCCGGGAAGAGCCAAGAAGGTGATCACACAGAACTCTTCACGTTGTGGTCGCATCTACATGAGCCCAATACCAAACCGAGAACGAGAACGAGATCAACGTCACGAGCTACCTCAAGAAGACGAACGTGTACTCCGAGTTCTACAAGAACAGAAGTAAAGGAACAAAGTTGCAACTACAGTTTTCATGAAGGTGATGTCGCGGAGTATAACAAGAACCTAAAGAACGAAGAAGTGCCCCACGTGAACTACTACAAGAACCTTGTGTTTGAGTTGGTTTTGGAGTTTCAAGAGTACCTTGCGAAAGCAGGAAGAAGCCTTGAGCCCGTCGTGAGCTACGTCGTGCGCACGTGTCACCCAGTACTACTTCTACTTGGGACCCCGCTTGGTATGGTCACTTGGATCTACCTCTATTTTTGGGTCAGAGTTAAGCAAACAAAAAGAGAACAGTTGAAGAAGAAAGTTTCGAGAAGGAAGTTGCACAGGTCAGTTTGCAGCGTTCTTTTCAAGAAGCGAGTCTGGTTGCATGTTGTGTTGCTTTACAGTCACATGCAGAGTGCAGTTGCGATGGAGGAAGCCTTGCAAAGGCTCACGGACCTTACTGCCCAAAACACACAACAGATACAAGCACTTGCCCAAGCAATGAACAGTCAGCAAGCGCAGGCAGGTACCGCTTCACAACAACTACAAGAACTCGCGCAGTCAGTTTCACAGCAGCAGAGAGTAATTACAGAAGCAACCCAAGCAACCAACACAGCACTGTCGCAGCACGCAGAGTCAAGAAGGCCAGGAGAGATCGACCTCCACAAGATGATCAAATCTCCAGAAGTCTTTGGTCCTACTACGTACAAGGAAGAGCGTGATGGTTTTCTAGAGTTTCGGTTGAAGCTGAGAAGTTGGATAGGCGCTCTCAACAACGACATCCTTGAGAAGATCAACGCAGTCGAGATGGATAGAAGAGAAGCATCATGGGATTGGAGCAAACTTACCCCAGGTGAACGAGTACTTTCAAGAAAGTTACATTCCATCCTCACCAGCTATACACGTGGCCGTCCTCTACGAACTCTAAAGCAAGTACCCAACGAGAACGGTTTCGAAGCATGGAGGTTGTTGGTGGAGGAACATCAGCCTCACAACCGTGCACGTTCTCTACAACTACTTAACGGAGTTCTTCACTACAGGTTCGACAAGCAAAGGTCAACACAAGAAAATATCCTGAAGTTTGAGGAGTTGATTGAAGAGTACGAGAGAGCGAGTGGAGACCTTGTTGCGGACGACATGAAGATTTCCATCATACTTGGAGGAACCGAAGGGAACATGAGACAACATCTTCTACTCAACCAGAAGGAGACCACGAAGTATGGAACACTACGACAGTACCTCCTCTCCTACGAGCAAGCAGCAAGGTGGACTACCACAGACCTCATCAACTCAGGAAAGGACCACCAAGGACAAGCAGACATGGATGTTTCACGAGTTGAATGGTGGAAAGGCAAAGGAAAGGACAAAGGGAAAGGAAAGAAAGGACAAGGATTCGGCAAGTACAAAGGCAAAGGCTACAGCAAAGGAAAAGGAAAAGGAGAAAGCCAGTACTACTACAAAGGCCGAGGAAAAGGAAAAGGACGAGGAAAAGGAAAAGGAAAAGGCAGAGGCCGAGGATATGGCAAAGGCGGGGGAAAAGGCTACAGCAGCAAAGGAAAAGGTAAAGGCTACAACAACCCAGGAATTGGTGTTTGCCACTACTGCCAAAAGCCTGGACACTACGAAGCCAATTGCAGACTCAAGCAGAGAGACATGCAGCAGAACGTCAGGAACGCACAGGAGGAAGACGAACAAAGCGTCAGGACACAGCCTACCACAGTTCCAAGCAGTAGCGCTTCGGCAGCCACAACAACAAGAACTACAAGCGCGAAGTCTACAGCTAAGCCAACAGTTCGGCAGATCGCGATGTACCACATGGACAACGATCCCGTCACGTACCCTGAAGTTTTTGAACTTGACGAAGACGAAGAAGAGCTCGAGATCGAGTACTTTGGAAGAGTCTTGAGAGTGACGGAAGCTGAAGAGTTTGTTTTGTCAGAAGGAGAAGAGAGCAAAGAAGAGCAAGAAGATCCTCTACTAAACTGGTACCTTGGACGTGAAGCACTACCACCACAAGAAGTTCTTTCAGTACGCGTTGTAGAGGAAGAGTTTTTCCAGGAAAGTGATCTTCACCAAAGAATCGAAGTTATCCTGGATTCTGGCGCAGACATTTCTCTTGTGCCCTCTTGGTTAGGAAAAGAAGGAACCCCTTTGAAGGTTCGCCCTTCGTCCATTCAGGACGCACAAGGAAAAGCAATCAAGACAGAAGGCAGAAGGATGCTGAACTTAACGTTCTTTGATGACGACGGAAGCTTTTGTCGCATCCAGGAAGCCTTCACCGTTGCCTCGGTGATCAACCCGCTGATGGCCATAGGCAAGCTGTTTCGAGAAGGTTGGGAGTTGCGAGTGAACGAAGAAGCAGGTATGTGTCTTACAGACGGAAGCTCAAGAATACCAGTGCATCTCCACAAGAACAGCTTGGCAGCCTACGCCTACGTACAAACTCCTTCAAGAAGCAGAAGTTACAGCAGCACCAACTACAAGATGGTTCGGACAGTTGTTCAGCTCAACAAGCACGTTCAGGAAGCAGTGAACAAAGAAGAACCTGGTTGGCACAACACAGACAGCATGGTGATCGTGAAGTACGCCACTCAAAGCAGCTACGAGAACCCATCTCTCATGTATAGCCCTACGCACTTTCCTTACAGAAGCACTTTAGTGAAAGAAGAGAGAGGATGGAGAGCAGTTGAAGTTTCAAAGAAGTACTCCGAGAAGGCAGACCCTTTTGAAGAGTTTGCAGAAGGAGAAAAGGAAGTGGTTACAGCCATTTCAGCAAAGCCAATTCCACTTTGGATCCTTGGCACCCCTTATGCAGCTGGAGACCGAGCAGAGCAAGAAAGTCATGGTCGTGACTACTGGAAGATGGACCTCGAGAAGGGAGAAGTTGTTCGTCACCACGTAGTACCGAGAACTGTGCTGTTTGACCCGACAGGAGTTGCCAACTGTCCTGTCCTCCTCGGAGATCTTGAGAACAGCAGGTATACCCAAGGAGACTGCATCTACAGTACGGAGATCTACGAACACAGCGACGACTGGAGAGCAGACCGTCTACCTCTACGTGAACACTTTCGTTTGCCGTGGTTTGGTCAAACAAGGTTCCGTATGAAGCCAGAAGTTGTTGAAGACCTAAAAGCAGAAGCTGCAGCAGAGGAGCTCAAGAAGAAGAAGGAAGAACACTACCAAAAGAAGGAAAACTCAGCAGCACCACCAGCAGCAGAAGAGAGCAAAGATGAAGAAATGAGAGAAGCACAAGCAGACCAAGAAGCACCACAAGAAGTTGTTGAAGTTTTGGAGGAAAGCTTCTACCACGAAGGCGTCGAGTACACAGCGCAGAAAAGCAGTCTTAAGGAACTACAAGCACTTTGCAGAGAGTACAGAGTGAAGACAACAGGAAGCAAGAAGCAGCTCTTGAAGAGACTCGCCACAGCAGTCAGAGAAGAAAGGCTCAGCACGCAACACAAGGAACAACGGGAACACCACCAAGCATACCACCTAGCACCACCACAGGAACCAACGGAAGAGGAGAGAGCGTACCACAACTTGACGCACCTTCCGTATCAGCCTTGGTGTCCCCATTGCGTTGCTATGAAAGCACGAGAAGATAACCACAAGAAAGGATTGAGCAAGCCAAGCAGCTCTACGGATTCCGCGAAGCCCGTCATCAGTTTTGACTTTTGCTATACAAGCACCACAGGAAGTGAAGAGCCACCAGCAGTGACTCTTGTCGCTGTGGACAGCTGGAGCAAGGCAGTCTTGGCGGTGCCCTGCAAGAGGAAAGGAGGAGCAGGAAGCACAACGCACCTCGCGGAAGCACTCGTGCAGTTCACCACGCAGCTCGGGTACAACACCCTCGTTCTCAAAGCAGACAACGAGAACGCAGCCAAAGCACTCAAGGACAAAGTACAGAAAGTACGCAGCAGCCTTGGACTTTCTACAACACTACAGGAAAGCATTCCTTACGACCACGAAAGCAATGGAGCCGCAGAAAGAGCAATACAAACAGTACGGAGGCAAGCGAACACCATTCTCGATGAACTCAGAGAAAGAACACAGCTGGCAATACCACACGAGCACGCAGTAGTAAGCTGGGCGTTTAGACACGCCTGCTGGCTACTCAACAGGTTCGCAGTGAGCAGCTCCACAGGAAGAACGCCACAGGAAGTTATCCACGGATACCCCTACTCAGGGAAACTTGTACCCTTTGGTACTGTTGTGATGGCGAAGAGGTTGAAGATCAAGAAGAAAGGTGACAGGATATGGAACGCAGGAATATTTTTAGGCAAGACAGAGCAAGACACATGGATCGTTGCACAGCCTGATGGCATACATATCACACGCAGCGTGAGACCACTACCAGAACAGTACGACTCCAAAAGAACAAGCAGCATAGAGGTCCATACCTGGAACCTCAACACACCACTCCTTGGAGCAAGAGTACTTCCAGAGAAGAAGCAAAGACAACGACCACAGCTAAGCATCCTGCCCCCTGTTGCCGAGGAAGAACGCGAACAGCTCGAGAACGACGAGGCCGCCAGCGACCCTCCGAGTTCGGAGGACAGCAGTGAAGAGCAGCAACAAGCACTTGAAGACAGAGAGGAACAAAGTGAAGCCAGCAGCATGAGTGTGACGAGAGACAGGAAAAGAAGAGCTGAAGTTGATGACGAGACCCTTTTGGAGGAACTCAGAGCAGTTGAGCCACTTACAGCCTCAGCAGAAGCACTTTCAGCACCAGCTGAACCAAGAGCAGAAGCAAGCAAGCACAGCCTTGAGCCTGAGGAACCAAGCTCACCCAGCAAGCTACGAAAGCAAGTTAACAGAGCAGAGGAAGCAGACGGTTACCTCAACATGCCTCATGATGATGAAGTCTACGAAGCAGATGATGAGTTTGTGTACGAGTCAGAAGAAGAAGAAGAGGAGACAGAGAGTGAACCAACGGAAGTTTTTACCAAGGTCCCTGTCGAGTTCTTCGACGAGGAGAAAGGACCACCGAACGTGGATCCGGCTTTTCTTCAGAAGTTGGATGATGAAGCTACAGTCAAAGAAATCAAAAGGTTAACAAAGATGGGAGTTATTTCGTTGGTTTCTACGGATCCTCAGGAAGCAACTGAGAACGTACCTCTGGTAGATTCAGAGCAAGAACTTCACAAGTGGTTGACAACGAAGTTGGTGAAAGATTGGAGGTTCAGAGAAGCTACAGGTTTTGAAGCTGAAGAAGCCAAAGAAGGAACAACAAAGCCCAAGCAGATTCAAAGATGCTGGCAACGACGTGCCAGACTAGTAGCCAGAGAATACAAGACAGAAGGAAAAAGGGAAGATATATTTTCTCCTGCGACAAGCCCAGGAATTACAAAACTGGTGCCCATGTTGGCTCTCGCTAACCATTGGGCGATCTGCAGTGTCGACGTGAAGGACGCGTTTTTACAAGTCCCTCAAAGAACACCTTGTTTGTGTCGAGTACCTGAAGAAGCAGCTCACGTCGTACAAGCAATGCAGGAACAACAAGAACGCAACCCTGGAACTTGGTGTTGGAAGTTAGGAAGAGTTTTGCCAGGTCAACGCGACGCATCCAGTCTTTGGTCAGACTTTTGTGATGGTCTTTTGGTGGAAGAGAAGTTTGAGCGTTGTACGGCAGTTCCAGCACTTTACCGTCTTCTACGACAAGGAAAAGTGGTTGCAGTTTGCATTGTGCACGTAGATGACTTGCAGTTTGCAGGAAAGAAGGAAGTCATCGAACCAATCCTCAGGAACCTCAAGAAGAAAGTGAACCTACAAGTTGAAGGACCTCTTCTGGACGAGGAAGACTACGAGAAAGGATTTTCTGAGGAGACCGTGAAGTTTCTCAAAAGGAAGTACACGTACGAACAACATGAACTACGAGTACATAGCGATAGCAAGTACGTGAAGAAACTCGTGGAGATCCTCAAGCTGGAGAAGAAGAAGGCCAAGAACTCACCCTGCACACCGGCTAGTCAGGAACCTGACGTATCCCAAGAACTGGACGAGGAACACTCGAGAACGTACAGAAGTTGTGTCGGCAATTTGCTGTACGTAGCGCACGACCGTCCGGACATTCAGTTCGCAGTACGTAGCCTCAGTACTGCCATGACGAAGCCAACGGAACGTAAAAGAAAGGAGTTGGAGCACTTGGCGCTCTACCTCAAAGGAACGTCAGACTACGCCGTTACGTACCACAGGAACAGCCCAGGAACGTCAGCTCTACGTCACCGCGCCGAAGAACCACAAGAACTACAAGAACCTCGAGAACAACCACGCGAACGTTTGCTGGAAGTTTTTAGCGACTCCGACTGGGCCGGAGACAAGCAGACTAGGAAGTCAGTGAGTTGCGCCATGTTCTACCTGGACGGTGCATACTTCTACAGCTACAGCAGGACACAGAAGTCGATAGCATTATCTTCAGCAGAAGCAGAATACATGGCACTTACTGGAGCAGCAAGCGAAGGAATAGGTTTACACGCAGCAGTTCGTTTCCTTACAGGAGAACGAGTACTACTCAAAGCATACACAGACAGTTCCGCATGCCGCGGAATCACAAACCGCCAAGGAACAGGAAGAGTCAAGCACCTGCAGATTCGGTTACTTTGGCTACAAGCAGCAATACGTGAAGGCAAGCTTACTGTACACGCAGTTGGTACAAAGGAGAACACAGCAGACCTAGGAACAAAGCCTCTCAGCACGAAAAGAGTGAAGTTTCTCCTGAACATGATCGGCATGTGCAACAGCGAAGGAAGAGTTGGAGAGCAAGAGCGAGAGGAAGAAGAAAAGGCACAAGTGGTAAGAAGACTCGAGAAGATCATGAAGAACAAAAGCAGCATGTTGTTTGCACTTTCAAGTTTGTTTGGAAAGACTGAGGCAGCCTACGTACCTTTCGCCGCAGCTCAAGAAGTAGCAAGCCCACAAGAAGTCCCAAGCAGTCCTGGAAGCATGTCGCTTCTGGAAGTCCTGGTGACTCTCGCCATGGTGTGCATGGCGGCATGGTTTGTCGTGAACGAGATGAAAAAGCCGCAGCAGCACAAGAAGCCGAAGAGAGAAGAGAGGAGCAGCGGTGAAGAAGAGGAAAGCAGCTCAGGAAGCAGAAGTGGAGAGAAGGAAAAGAAGAAGAACCGAAAGAAGAAAAGAGACGAAGCTCCTGCCGCTCAGGTGAACTACGACGTGGACTCCTTCGACGAGGCAAAGAAAGAAGTGACAGAGAGAGCAGAGAAGTTGAAGAAAGAGGAAGAAAGCCTGGAGAAGGAGAAGGAGCAGTTCGGAAACCAGAAGACAGAGTTTGAGGAGACAGTGAAAAGGTTTTTGAAGAAGCAGAAGGAGGTGAAGGAAAAGGAAGACAAAGTTACAGAAAGAGAAGAGAAGTTAGAGAAAGACCAAGAGACCCTCCAAGAGCAAGCCAAGGTCTTAAGCGAGAAGGAGACAGCCCTCGAAGAAGCTGAGGAGAACGTCAAAGCAAAGGAAGCAGAGGTTGAAAAGAAGAAGAAAGAGGCAGAGAAGAGAGAGAGAAAAGCCCAGGAAAGAACCGCCGGCTACGACCAGGAGAGAGAAGAGTACGCCAAGAAGTACGTTGACGACGCAAAGAAGGACTTGGAGAGAGAGCTTAAAGTGCTAAAGCAAGAAGAGAAAGTAAGGAACCAGAAGCTCGACGACCTCCAGTACGACTACAAGAGCCTCAAGGACGACTACCACTACTTCAAAGGTTACTCACAGGAAGTGGACGCACTTCTACTTGCAGCTAAGGACAAGATCGTGAAGTACAAGAAGAAGGTCAAAAGCCTCAAGGAAACCTTAGGTGCAACCTTGTCTGGAAGCGAAGGTGAAGAAGAGACAGAAGAAGCGTACAAGAGCAAAGCAGAAGAAGAGAAAGAGAAGAAAGAAGCGCAGGCAAAAGAGGAAGAGAAGAAGAAAGGAAAAAGGCCAAAGCAGGTAGAGACAGAAGACCAAGAAGAGAAGCCGTCAAGCAACCAAGGAGACGAAACCACCGTCGACCCGAACGACATCGCCGAGTTCACGCAGCTTGGCTACGTGTGGGAGTTCAACAAGAAGACGCAAGAGTACCGCGCGAAGTGCGAGGACAAGAAAGGAGCCCCAAGAATCAAGAACGCTCCGGTGAAAGGCCGCCTCCTTTGGAACAAGGTGACGGAGTGCTACAGGAAACACAACATTTGGTTTACAGACGGAAAGGAATTGGATAAATTCCTCGAGACCAAGGAGAACGAGAAGATCGAAGAAGAGGTGCAGCGACGCATCCACGCGAAAGGCAAGCACGACAACCAAGGAACGAAGGGAAAAGGCCCTTCCTGGGACGACGGACAGAACGACGGTTGGTGGTACAACGAGCAGTGGAACAACGAGAACTGGAGCACCACCGACGACGGCAGCAACTGGTACGAGAACGCGAACCCGCACAACAAAGGCTACTGGCAGACGCCAGAAGAGTGGGCGCAGCAGAACCAGTGGGACCAGTGGACACCCAAAGGAAAGGGTAAAGGCAAGAAGTCCAAGAACTGGGTGCAGACCCAGTGAAAGGATCCCGAGAAGGGATGATCGAGCAGGTCAAGCAGTGAGCGCTTGTACATATGTACATAGCTAAGCAACGTAAGACTTGATGTATACTAGCACAAGAATTCATGTACAAAGTGTGAGCAAATGTATAGACGTAGCAAACTGGGGCAGTAAGCCTAGGTAAGCTACAACCTTCCAAAGTCTCACAAGAAGTTTCACAAAAGGCAGGCTAGGAAGGTACAAGGGCCAGAAGAGGCAAGAAGCCGGAGAAGCCAAGAACAAAGAGAAGAAGCCCGAAAGAAGAAAAGCCCGTAGGCTACGTAAGGGCAGAAGGAAACCGGGGTACGGGCCTCCCCGCAAAGAGTCCATAGGCTGGACCTAACTAGAACGTAGCTGTACATACAGAGTAGGTTTTTCAAGAAGGCCAATGTACAGACATAGAAGGCCTAAGTAGCAACAGGGCAGGAGTGCAGCTAGGTAAAAGACCAAGAACAACGGAGACGAAAGTCCCTAGCAAAAGCACTGTACAGAAAGCCCTAGCAGTTTCCAAGAACACCCTAGGAACCCGCAAGAACTTTCTGAGGCGGGGTGTTCGTTTGTAACCTAGTGCACGTAGTCCCAAGTAGAGTGTGTAGAGTAATCACGAGAACACATGAAACATGTGTGTGAACCGCGACACGGAGGCTTAAGGAAGTCAGCCCGCGAAGTGAGAAAAGTGTGTTTGAAAGTAGAGTGGGAAGGAAGGCTTGAGAAGCCTTTAGTTTCAACAGAGTTTCTAAGTTGGGGTTGGGGTTGTAGTTCAGTTCTGTGAACGCATGCCACGGTCTACAATTTGGTTTTCTTCAAAGTGCGCAGTTGTTTAGGCTCCCGTCTGTCTTTGTGGTGCCATGAGCGAGCTCCATGAGTCTGATGGGAAGGTGGGCCAGTCACCCGTGCGAACCCATCGAGGACCCGAATCAAGAAGAGATCCCGGCCGATGTAAATCCCCTGCGACCAGTGCATGTGGCAGGATTGGGACTTGCCACTTCGTCGCCGCGCTGTGGCGCGCGAGAAGCCAGCACACCCAATTGCTAGCACCCCAGTGCTGTCCTTGGCTGGGCCTGGGTGGGGCTTTCCACTGTGGGGTTGAGGCGCGGCACTTGCAGACGCAATGCAGCACTCGGAGTAGCCTGTGTTCCCCAACGCTTCGGAGGTTGACGGCCTGGAGTGGTGTTACGGCGCGGTTCTATCAAGGCGGTAGTCAAGCTCAAGTCTAACCACCGCCAACACTTGCAGACAGGTCAACGGCCGGCTGGCATCGGATGTGTTGATCCGATGCAATGTCCTGGCCACCACTACCGTCAGACCGCTGGGGCCCTTTGTGACTACATTTACTCATAACTGATTACTGCAGTCCTGGCGTTTGCAGGTGGACCTCGGCTGCACAGACCGCAGCACCGCGGCTTCCCCATCTCGACAGACTGGATACCTGTGAACTGTGCTAGTTTCATGTTTTGGGCAGAGGAAGACATTGCGCAAATGATATCAGAGATGGTGGAGGCTCGCAGACATTCCGTAATTAACAATGCTGGTCGTGCTGTTGGCACACATGAGGAATACCCGGGAACTGCGTGCGACCTCTTCAGCCGGAACTGTTGCCACTTCGCACATGATTTTGCGAGGCTAGTGCGTTTGGCACATGTTGCACGGTGCTTTTGCCTTATGGCTATCTGAGCCTTCGTCAGGCGGCTAGGCGTGCGAAGCGTTCCAGGTGCCAGGGATCTCCTGTTAAACGAGGCTGTGATGGGCTCTGACTTGGAAGGCTGGGTATCGCTGGACGCTTGGACTATTTGACCTTGCCTGGCGCCGGAGCTTGAACGTATGTCAGGATGCAAGTGTTTTGCACATGATGCCAGATGAGGCACGGATTCACAAGTTCACTCTTGCTTGCTCGAGCATTGAAGCCTCTGAGAGGAGATGCAGTCGTTGACAGCTCGTGTCGCCTTGCTCTTAGCATTGGTCATGTCTTTCGAATCCTTTCGCACGCTTGCACGGTGCAGGTTGCTCGAATCGTCGCTGATGCGGAGATTGCAATGTCCCAGATTCAACGTCAGGATGAGTCAAAATGATGCCGGCGTTCATGTTGCGGGCATGAGTTTGCCGCAGGACGAAGCAGCACGCCGGCGTTTGTGGAAGACGCTGGCCCTCAAGTACCATCCCGACAAGAATTCCGAGACAGCTGATGCCGCAGCAGAGGCTTCATGTTGATTGATAAGCTTGTCTTGCGCAACTGGACGCTAGAGCCGTCTGTGCAGGTGTCCAAGAAGCTCAATGCTTGGGCGGAGGCCTTCTGAATCTGTTTCGCCAAATCTGCAGCCTTGTGACCTGTATGAAGAAGACGAGGACACTCACAATGAGCAAAGTCGAAGTTTCACCCCTGTCGTTTGCCATGTGAACGTGCGTGGTGGGCTGAAGAGTTTCAGTTCACACAGCATCAAAACGTCATGCCCTGTGCCCTGCCTTGAAGTCGGATCCGATGTCAGCGTTCATAGTCTCCGCGCGCTTGTTTATGTACCTGTGCTTGGCCAGTGTTGATTGTGCATGCTGTCCGTGACTTGTCATCCCGGATGAAAGTTCTCAGATGGCTTGCAGGGCGTGGAAGCATGTCAGAAGTGTGGCGGGAGTCCCCGTCGGAAATGAGCAGAACAAGCAGCTTGACAGGAACCCTACTGCTGGTACTCGTGCCTCTTCTACTACGACAGCAACCACGACTCCGACGCCCGTGCCGCTGGCCATCAGGCAGCTCCGGGACTTCAATCCGGGGCCGGTGGCGCCGTGAATGGGTTGGTGTGTCCGGCACACCAACCCTGGGTTGGGGCTTGAAGGGGGGGCTAAAGCCCCCCTTTGTCAAAGGGGGTGGGGCCCATCCTCCCCTTTGTTCACCGAAGCCAAGATGACGACGCAGACGTCGCGAAGGACTTGGTTCGCACAATTCAATGAGAGTTTCGTCGAGCGGTAATGTCGTCGGTTAGACCATTGCAGCAAGTACGCCAAGTTCAGAAGTCGCCGTCTCTTTAGCAAAAGCATGCTTTAGCCCGGAACCTTAGTGGAAGGCGGGGTTATGTCAAGTTTCCAATATTTGTGAAAATACCCCTTGTGGCACTGCAGCATATGATCGGCCTTAGAGGGCTCAAAGCACATAGAAATGCTCTTGCAGTTCACCTGCTTTCGCTGCCACTTGCAACTTGTCAGCGGTTGTAAGCCATACTGTCACTACAAAATCGGCAACAGTGTTGGCCATTGGACTTACAAAACGAGGTCACTTCCGTAAGTGTCCACCATAAGTTGTTCCGCTGTTCCTTCAGTGTGCGCATGCCGCCATGGCCAGCGCGGGTGCACAACCTGCCGCAGGCAGCCCATACCGTATTTCCAAACAGCATGGGGGTTTCGTATCCTAACACCAAAAAACAGGATGATTCAACCATGAACTATTACAGGAAATGTCGTGTCCAAATTCAGAGCTTGATGGCCGCAGGTTTTTCAGCAGATCCAGAAGTTGGAGTGCCTTTAGCCCTCAACCAGTTCCCTTGCCAGGTGGGACGGCCGGCGATGAGCCCACTACATCGGGCCCAGTTGGTTGCAAAGGCTGTGTTCGTATGCGGTGTTTGAAATTTTGGAGCGCGACATCTTTTGTTATTCCCAGCTCGTGAATGCAAAGGTTTGTAATCTTTGTCGTGCAACAATCTGTCCCAAAGCATTTGTGCACACTCAAGGCTTTAAGCTTGCAAGCAAAAAGCACGTGCACGGCAAGTGTTCCCGATATGGGCTGGGTGTCAATACGTCACGGCAGTCTGTCCTGTGCACCCTGTTGCCGTGAGCTGAGGCAGCTCGACAGGTTGTGTTTTGGTTTTGACCCGACCAGTGCTGACTGTAGACTATAGCGAGTTTGCATCCTTGATGACATTTCTAACCTGCAGCCAGTTTTCGGTTTGGGGTAGCCCTGCCAAGTTTGTCCAGGTTGTCAAAGTCCACACCTCTTTGAGTGGTGGGTTTGGGTTTGGTTCTCTAAATGTAGGGACTTCGATGAACCCAATCCCGCACCTAAACACCAAGCCCGAAACTTCGCAGCTGAGTAGATGCCTAGCAGGACCGATCAGCTCGGCCGTAGCTGTGGCCGTGACGCTCCCAGTCTCGCATGCCAACGCTTCAAGACCGGTCAGTTTCGGGTCCGGCAGGGCTTTGCAGCGTTTTTAATTTTTGGTTCTTGAAGGTATTTGGGTTTCGGCGGTTACGGGGTCGGCGTGCGCAGAACAAGTTAGCAGCGTACATCAGACTGTAGCTGTATATCAGCTAGTATTTATTCAGGCCTTTGTACTGCTGCAACGGATGAGAATGTGGGTTAGGGTTTAGGGTTTGGCTCTTAGGGTTGGGGACTTTGTTTTTGGTTCGGGCCTAGCCTTTGGTCTAGGTTTCGAGTTTACTAACGTACGAACAAGTAGGATTCTATACGATGCGCTGAAGTGGCGTTTCATCGGCTTCGCCGCACGCCTCATGCCTCTCTAGTCCATCCGACTTTCCTTTTTGCATGCCTACAGCCTGCGAAGCTGGTGACTGTTGTGGGGCTCCCAACCAGTGATGTTGCATGAGGGCTGGATCGATTTTTGCATAGGGCCGCCCGAACCAAGGACTTCATATGCACCCAAGAGGTTGACAGCGACCCACTAAGCTACTAAGACTATACAACAGTGACGTGTATTCCGCCTTCATTGGTTCCCGGGTTTAGGACAGGGGTGCCACAAGAAAGCAAGGGGTGTCAAGAGTCCAAGGTTTAGACCGCCACGAGCTGACAACCTTTGCGGAGGTTTCAAGACTCCGGCAGCACTACTGTCCCCGAACTATCCCGATATTTTCGAAGAGTAACACACGCACACACACACACAAACACCAAAGCTCTGTTTCAATTGTCAAGGCTGTTGTGCTGTTGCATCTGCTTCCACTTGTCTTTCAATCCTAATGCTTCTTGTTCGCTTCGCTACACCAGCGAAACCTACGACCAGCACCATTAAACCTCGAACGACACCTTGACCTACCCCAGCCTACTTGGCACAAGGCATGTGGGCTCCTTTTTTTTTGGCGGTCCCAGGTCGGCGTAGCGACGCTTCTGATCCTGGTGGCTTCCGTGGCCTTCGGTGCCGAAAGTTGGCATTTCAGGGCCTTTCAGGACCCTTCAGCCCTTCAAGGGTTAGGAGGGTTTGGTTGGGGTTTGAGACTTCCGGCTTGGAAGTCTTCGGAGCCTCAGAGTTCGTGGTTCAGACATTTGGGTGTTTCGGGGACTTCGCAGTTCGCGTCTTGTATGGGTGGAAGCAGGAAGCAGAGGTGCGTCTTCCCGCCTAAGGCTCGGTACCGCTCTTGTGCTGCCGCTCGAAATGTGGGTTCGTCGAGGGTTTTCATTCGCATAGCAGTTTTGCTGTCGCGGGGAGCTTTACGATGTTTTCAGATTACCGTCCACGGCCTGTGCTCAGTGCTAAGCTCCCCTGAGCCCCAAAGCTTGCCTCTACAGAGGTTCAACTTGAACCTACACCCTTCAACACCGAAGCCCGGCCACGGGAGGTGCCTTGCATCGCGGCGACGAGACGGGTCAGGCCGCACTCCTGCTTTCAGAGGGTTTTGCCGGGTCGTGTTTTCCGAGTTTCCAACCGAGATCTGTTATCTTCTTGGTCTGCCTGCTGCTTGCTGGGGTTGTCCATGGGTTTTAGCAATCCTTTCAGGCACCTGCATGGTGCATGTCCCTCCCTGTTATTCCCTCTTATCATCATCTCCCCGCATGCAGTCTGGACTGTCAGTTTGTGAACTTTCAAGCTGTAGCTGCACCTCCCCTGAACCTGCAGTGCTGCGGTCCTGCAGGTGCTGGACTTCCGAGACGTCAGGCCGGCGGTGGGTGGAGTTGCCTTTGAGCGCTTTGGTTCGGTTCGCGTGAGATCCAGAAACTCAAGGTTTTTCATCATCAACCCCCGACAGACCTTGTACCCTAAACCTGAAACCCTAACCAACATCCTAGGTCCCAAGATCCCGTGGAAGAGCTTCCCCCCGTGTTGTTTTGTTCGTATCGGTCCCTGCCCGGCCCAGGCGCTCGAATTTGGGGGGCCAAGGCCCCGACTTGGGGGCCCCAGAGCTGGTTTACGGCTCCGTCCTCTGGGGCGCCGAAGGCCCGGCAGAGGGCTGAACTTGGGCTTTGGATTTTGAGATGCTTTGGGGCTTCGATGGCCTTTGGGGCACTGTCGTGAAGTGTTGGGGAGTGTTGAGGGTCGAAGGGTTCAGGGCCCATGCGTCTTGTCCAGAAGAAAAGGTAGCCTACAATGCCATCTTAAGCAAGGCAGTGTCAGATCGGAAGCTCCTACCTCGAAGAAGTCGATGGCCCCCTTAAGTCTAAGGGTATTCTCATCCGCTGCCTTTGTCAAGGAAAAGTCGATCTTGCAGGGGTGCCCAGAGTTTGGGATGTTCTTGAGTCGTGGGTGTCTCGAGGCAAGCCGTGGAGGAGAAAGTAAACATTTAAAACTCGCCGGAGCCAGCTTTGCGTGCTTGGTCGGGCTGAGCCGAGAGTGGAAGAAGAGGCTGAACTTCAACATCTGTACCCGCTTGGCTCTCACTGCAGCGCAAGATCTCACCCAATATTTCAGAAGACGGTGGAAGCCTATCACGTGGCACCGGAAGCCAGCGAAGCAGAACCAATCTCGAACTTCGCGCGGGGTCTTGTAAGCGGCGCCAGGCTACTCCTCGTCCGTCGTGTTGTGACAGTGAGGTATACGTCTATCAGTCATGTAGTCAGGTCACGTTTTTTCTCCCAGGAACCAGGCGCCTCTGCGTGTCTTGCAAGCATGTTGGGACATCGCATCGGCTTCATTCCATGATGCATTCGTTTTTGTTGTCAGTGTCATGGCCGTGTGACTTGTCAGCTTTCTGTTGCTGTCGACACCATGTGTGTTATGACATTAACGAAAACTTGTGACAACATTCAGCTGTGCGGTTGTTCTTGCAACCATGGCTGTATGAACCCAGGTCGTCCAGGCCAGCCACGGCTACCAAGCCCAGGCAGCCCGCGACAACGGCCTCGAGGCCGAATCGTGTTGGGTTTGTGTTTTCAGCGGTTGAAGGTTTCAGGCTCGACACAGGGTTGAGGGCTCAACCTGTCACTATGCATTCAGCATAGTGCTGGCTCCCAGCGTAGACAATTCTTTACTTTTGGCAACGGTTGTATGCATTGAGGCTACTAATTTCGTGGGCTTTCATTGTCGGAAGCTTGGACTTGGAATCTGATGCCACCGCTCAGACCGGACCCTTTCAGTCTGTTAGACGTCCTGTTAAGCCTGATTAGAGCTTGTGCCATCATGTTTCTCCAGCCCCTTTTGTTTGGTGCCGTCCCTGCCGAGCCTAAAGCTTGAATGCTCATGGAACGCCTGCGAGACTCTGGGTCCTGCAAAGCACTTCCCAAAATTGTCAAGAAAGTCTAGAGGGCCGTGTGGATTCGTGGCCAGGAGCGGCTTCAGGGGTCCGGTGACGTTAGTGTGTAGTTTCGTATTCACTGCTCCAAAGATTTCCGGCTCACAATCGAAAGCGAAACGGCTCGGCACTCTCAAGCCCTAACCTTAAGCTTTGTAAGCATTTGATGGGCTGTGTTTTGTGTTTATGGATCTGTCGGACCCGGGCCCTGGGACCCCTCTCTGCCAGGGGCACCTGGGGCGCATCAGCCTCCAACCCTCGCGCTCGCGAGAGGCTCCTAGGGCTGGGGGTCTTCCCACGCGGCCCACGCGGCGCAGAGCCTGGGGAAAGCAGCTTGAGAGCAAAGGGGATGGAGGTGGAAGTGGGTGAGGGTGCCACGGTGCAGTGGTGATGTGACTGTCAGACTGGCACCCATACCAGGAACAGCGGTAATTAACCGTCAAGATCCCTCGGAAAGTCTCATAATTTGTCGCACTCACCCGGCTAGGCTTCCTATTTGCGCTTGCAAGTTTCGGGTGTTGGAGTTTAGCGAGCAAGATATTTGAGGTTGGATCCGTGTGGGGTACGGGCAGGGGGAGAAGACAGAAAAGGGTCGGTGTTTGGGAGTCAGAGGTTTCTTGGAGGTCTCGGCTTTTCTGTTGTTGGGAGCGTTTGGGGCGTGGCAGGCGCACTTCAACTTCAGCTTCCGAGCTGCCGGAGGCGGAGCTGGCGGAGCCCGCACGCAGGTGCAAAGGCCGCCGGGGGCGCGCTGGGGACCAGGGACCAAAGCTCCGAGCCTGAGAGCCTGGGCATGGCACGTCGCTTGGAGCAGGTTCTTTTTCACCGTCTTTTTGACCTCTTCCGGAGAACTGGTGCGGGGCTCAGTCCCGCTGGGGCTCCGTGCCGGGTGGCTGTCGCATTTTCCGGTCTCGGGTTTCGGATCTTGGGACGCTGCAGGGAAGGTGAGAACTCCTTGGAGGGAACCTCCTACCGCTACCGAGTGGTACTAAAATCTTCGAAGCCTTGGTTACACCACACGTTTAATGCGCCGAAGCTTCGTTTTGCCTGAGAGAACTCGTAAGCTGCGGAGTGAGGCCGGATGGTGTTCTGCAAGCTTCGGCTGGGGCTGGGGCTTGCAGGTTTCGGAGGTTGGGGAACTCTAGGACTTCAGGCTTGGGCTTGAATGTTCAGTGGGTGTTCGTGGTCCAGATTTCAGGATCTAACCCCGAGGGTTTCAGGTTTTGGCCAGGCATACCGTTTCCGTTGCCGTGCTTCAAGTACGTGTCTGCACTGGAATCTCAGTGCCGACGTCGTTGATCTGAGGCCTAAGCCGAAGCCCGAAACCCTGGCTGTGATTTTCAAGCAATACCGACATGTTTGCAGGTTAACTAAAGCCGGGGAGCATCCCAGGCTTTGCCCTCAACTCTATGGACTCAAACTGGGCCCTGCCTCCCCGCTCTTGAGGTCCGTGTCTCCAACTTTTCCCGGCTTTGCTGGGCCCTGGCCCCAAGCAGGGCACTGGCAAAGAGATGGGGTTCAGGATTTAGGTGCGAGGCTGAAAGTGTAGGGTTTAGAGACCTTAGGATGGGCGGTTCAGGCTTGAAGGTTTGCTTTTTGCGGCTCTCGTGAGGGCTGCAGGGTGAATTCAGTACGCCTTCTTGCTAGTGGCGATCTCTGCTGCTGCCATGGCTATCGTTTTCGACGAATAATGCACCGTGTCATACCATGATTCTAGGATGACTGGCTTGCTGGCTCAAGGAGTGCCCGCACGAACGTCACCCCCTTGCCTTTTTTCACAAGCCCGCTTTCGTCCATCTCTGTCTATCTCGTTCTTGGCCCGGCTCAGCAGGGAAACAGTTCCTCACACATGCGTGCTGCATGTCTAACTTGCCTGCAGTGCCCTGCAAACAAATGATTCGGCCGCTCTGAGGATATAGATGCGAAGTTCGAGCGCCATAGGCGTCGCAGCGTCCCTCGCTCAGCCTGCCTTCCAGCTTGCATCACATCAGAGCCTGGGGTTTCCGACTCGCGTGCTGCAGGTTCAAGAGCACTTCCAGGTTCTCGGATAGGCTAGGTGGGGCCTGAAGGCGTTGGTATTCCATCACATCAGCATTTTCATAGTTTAGCATCATCATTGAGCTGAAGCAGCCGGGAGCCCTGTTTGGACTTTGCAAGCCCTAAGCCGTACATCCCATAGATTTTGCACTTGAGTTCCGAAAGCCTGAAAACTTGAAACCCTCGAACCTCTCAGAAAAGCCCTCAGCCGTAACAGATCCGAACGCCAATCCCCACTCCCACTGCCACGAGGGACAAGACGTCCTGCTGCTGGCGCCTCCAAGAATGGAGGCGCTGACGCCCAAAGATCTCAGAGGCCGTTCTGCATTGAAAGTTTGGCGTGTTTTGGTGTTTCCCGGTGAGTCCGTATCCATTGTTGCAATGCGGAGTTCATGTGCAACATTGCTTCCCTGGCACCTAGCAGAGGTCTCGAGGAAAGGCGGCACGCAGCGACTTTTTTTTTCGAGTCTGCCGAGTCTTTCTCGGCTGCAGCCCCAGCTGTGAATTGCAAGAGGTCCGGAGCCCAGATCTTAGGGCTTCCGAAGCAAGCCCCCAGCCCCAGGAGACCCCAGACAAAAAGCCCCAAGATGCCTCAAGGCCTTAAGCCGTAAAGCTCAAACACTGAAGGCCCACAATCCTGAACCGTGAACTCAAAACTCCTAAACCCCAACCCGGCTCTGGTACTCTCCGTGTCTCTCTAGCCCTATCTGAGTCTCAGCACTAATCCAAAGTCCTGAACGCAAAGCCGGCAGATCCTGGCGTCCTAGATCCACTTAGGTGTCGGTCCTCACCAAAGGCTCGGGGGCCCAGCATCGGCTTTGGGGGCTTGGGTTTTAGGCGGGGGAACCCAGAAACCTTTCAAGAGCCCTTGTTGAAAAGTCTTCTTGGTGGATATCCTTGGAGGATCTCGGCCGAAGTTTTCCAGCGGTCTTCCGGAATCACAGCGGCGCAGTGCGAACGGTCATCGCAAGAGCATGTGCCACAGACCAACGTGTACCGGTAAAGAGAGCGCATCGGGAATAACACGACAACATGAGAAGAACAGTGCTTGACATCACCTGATCTTATATGGTAAGGACTTGTCCTATTCGCCGAAGTTGCGAGAAGCTCTCCCACATCGTCCCAGCTTTGCAACTTCAGCCGCGATGCACGTCACAAGCACATCGGTGCAGGCTTCACATAATAGGCATCTCAGAGGCTCCAGGAGGACATTTCGAGAGGAAATCGCTTCGGCGTTTGATTTCTGCAGCCGCTTGGAGTCACTTCGCCATCTGCACAAGCCCGGAATGGGTTTCCTGTCTGCGGCATACGGTATTGGTACTAAGGATCCCATTATGGTTAGGGTTTTTATTAGAGCCTCTTTGGTCTACTTTGCACAGGTGACGACCGGTCCAACATGGACTTCTTTTTCTCCGGTCAGAACGTGGTAGATGACTTGTGCGAGGATCCCTGCAATTTGAGCAAGGGCTCGCAACATCTTAGATCTCTGTTCGTGTAGCAAGTGGCCGTGGCAGTGGCAGATTCTGTGTTGCTCGGCAGCAGTGCTCATGCTCTTCCTCATGGTCTTATATAGTCCTATTTGCCTTTTTCTTCTCTTCCCACTCTTGCATTGTCGTCACCCGAGATTTGAACCCTCAAGCCCAAACCCTGGACCGACAGCCTGGGAAGGATAGAGGAAAGGTGACCTCTGGCATGAGCGTGGAGGTCGTCCGAGGCTTTGGAGCTGGGGCTCCAAGGGCAACTCGTTACCATAAGGGCTACGAGAAGGAGTAAACGTGTTTCTGTAAGGGTTGCTGCAGGGGTCATTCTTGGGTTGCTCACTATACTTCATAAGTTAGCAGTAATTGCAATCTGCAAAAGCCAGTTGGTGCATGTCGGAGCACCATGGAGATGCGCAAGATGCGTAGATCTTCTGTGCGGCAGTCCAGCAGGGCCAAACTGTTGTTACTGATGATATGACCACCGGCGACACTTGGAATAGGTATGCAAAGTGGACATGTCTCAGCCTCCCACGAATGAAATTGCAGGCGCTTACAGCGGCTTCCGGGGAACCGCAAGGCTGAGTGGAAAGCAGCTCAAGGTGCAGGGCTATGAAATTCAGAAAGATCGACTACTCGCAAGACAAACCTAGACGAATGCTCATCAATCGCAGAAGCTTCAACCCCTGGGCTCCAAGCACCCTGGCAATACTCGAAATGTCATTTTCGAAAATGGAGGGGTGACTTTTGAGATTTGTTGAGAGTTTTCACGGCTGCTCTGCGCGTTGTGCTGGCTCCAAGCTCGACACGAGGCCGAAGGCTTAAAGGACACTGACCCTGGAACCACAGTAGCTGGAAATCCTAAACCCTGAAACCTGAAGTTCTTAGTTTTCGAGTCCGAGTTTTATCCAGAAAGTCGGGCCAAGAGCGGTTCCAACTCGTAACACCGAAGTCTGCGCAGATTATCCTGGCCAACGGCACTGCGCTGGAGGTGTGGCCAGGAAAGCAGTGTTGTTCCTGCTTTCCAAGTGTAGGATTAACGGCTTAGGAAGGGCTTGGGGCTTGAGCTTCTTGGTCTTTCAGTTCTGGTCGACAATTGAAGCTCCTGACACACGACCAAGACTGCAAGGTCCACGCGTGAATGGCACCGCTGGAAGCTTTCGTCGAAACGGAAACTTCGAGCCCGTCCTTCATCCTACCTTAGACCCTGGTCTGGACATCTTGGATTCGTCCTTACAGGTGGAGCCAGCAGACTGCAACATCATTCGGGAGGCGCGGTGTTTTTTCTCGCAAAGCATTTGAGACCAGTGACAGGTTTGTGCTCAACCAGCTTCAAGTTTGTTGTTGTTATGTCAGCTTCAGGCTTACTTCACATTGCATCACATCCGCAGAAGTCGAAGTTTCGACTGCAAGCGCCTCAAATCAGCCTCTTCTACCCGTCCAAGGACCTGCACGCCATTCGAGAAGAATGGCGGGACGAGAAATCCGTGGGCAGCAGCACTTGCGCTGGGCCCCCAGCAAGCTTCAGGCGATTCGGCGTTAGGGCTCGGCGTCGTAATTGTCAACGCTTCGCGTCGTCCGCCTAGTGGGGCTGATAGCAGCTGTGGTGGTGGTGGCGGTGGTGATGGTAGGGGTGGTTCATGGTGATGATGATGTTGAGAGTCGTCATCACCATCATCGTGATCGTCATCGTCGTCATCATCAACATCATCATCATGATCACCACTCTCATTACTCTCGTCGTCGTCGTCCTCCTCCTCCTCATTTTCAGCGTCATCATCACCAGCATCATCAACAATTTCATGGTTATCATCTTTGACATCAGCGTCATCCTCAACATCCTCATCCTCATCATTATCACCATCACCATCGTTTTCATCCTCAGCAGCAGCATCAGCATCCATCGTGATAGTGATCAAACTGGTGGCGAAAGAAAACCTGTACGTTGTGCCTAAGAAACCCGGCGCATGATTCCAGGCTGGGCTTTACGATGCCGAGCTGGCCTGTTCACAGGACGGGCTGCCGCTGGAGCGCGTACCACTGTTTGATTTGCTCGTGATGATGACGATGGTTACGATGATGGTATTGATGCTGATGACGATGACGACGACGGCGAAGTCGATGATGATGATGGTTCTGATCATGACCATGGCCATAACGAAGGTCGTGGTGGTGATGCTAGTCAAGGATGATGATGACGATGGTGATGAGGTTAATGAGGATGATGAGTGTGATGATGATGATGATGATGACGGCGATGATGATGATGATAATAAAGAGCGATGATGACGATGAGGGTGAGGAGGATGACACTGGTGGTGTCAATCATTAGATGGGGATGGTGAAGTGACATATGATTCCAGCACTGGCGATGACAACCGAGACGAAGACGAGGATTATGCTGATGTTGACGATGATGATGATGATGATGATGATGATGATGTGGTATTGGTGCTGATGAAGAATCGCTGGTGACGGTGCTGAGCGCTGCGGATGGTGGTGGTTCCACGAAGATCATGCTGCTTCTGACGAGTGTGGTTAGGAATGTGATGCTTGGTGATAGCCATGATGCTTTGTGTTGATAGGGCCGCATGGTGTTGATGGTGATATGCTTGGTCATCAGGTGGATGTTCAAGGGTGTCTGCAGTGATGATGCATTTGCTGACTGTGATTGCTATGATGCATGTGTTTCTCGTGGTACTGGCATTGCCATCAGCGTTCATGTGGGAGCGTCAGCTACGCTTTGGTTCCTTCTGCCGTTTAATCTGGTGTAGGTGCTTACATCTGGTGGGGTGGTGTTTTTTTGTGATAGGTGCTACTGCTGCTTCGGTTCGTGTTTGTGGTTTGCGATGCTTTTACTCCTATTGTGAAGCCGGCTGCTGTTGCCGTTTCGCTTGCAGTTGTTGCGATTATCGTTGCTGTCGTGGGGTGTGGTAGTTGTCGTAGTGGTGGATGTTGTTCTTGCTTTTCTTGTGGTGGTTGTTCTTGTTCCTGTTATAGATTTTGATCTTGTTCTTGATTTTCTTCTGGTTCTTGTTGTTTTTGTTCTTCTTCTTGTTGGCCTTATTATTCTTCTTGCTGCTGTTGTTGTTGGCTTGCTGGCTTGTTGTTGGTTACTCGTTGCTGCGGTTCCAGGTGCGGCATTTCGCGGTTCCCGAGGGTTTGTCGAGAGATTGCAAGGTCCCAATTCCCAGATAGACCACGCACAAACAAGGCAGAGATTCTCAAACAAGGCCTGAAGACCTGAAGAGTCGTTCGCGTGCGATGGAATCCTTGAGACACCGCACAGTTTGAAGCTGAGTCAGGACGGCTGCTCTGTGATCGTGGCCCCGGAGTCGTTCCTGAGCTGTGATGCGTATTGCCAGGCAAGCTGACACGTCCCAAACCTGCAGAGGCGGTTCTGGAGGCTGTCGTGTCCTTTTGGGAATGAGGGCTCGTCTAGCAGTCTAGCATCTGGCTTTCCTGTAGCGCAAAAGCGCCTGGGCTTTGGGGTTCGGGGTCTGCTGACGGTCTGCAGCAGTGCTCAGACTTGCAGGTTGTGACAGTCTCAGTCGTCGTCACAGTCGCTGTTACTTTGAGAACGCTGCAGCAGAGGCAGAAGCATCAGCAGTAGCCCGGCAACCAGAACTTTGGCGGCTCTCCAACTCGAAACCTGAAATCCTACAGCCTCGAATCCCGGACTGCCCAGCCCTGAGCCACTGAGCCACTCTGGAATGTGCAGGCCCATAACATGCACTGCCACAAGGCCTGGCGGCAACATGGCTGTTTAGGGTGGCTGTCGTAGAGGCTTCACGGTAGAGAAAGCACCAGACAAACCTCGAGAGTTAAAGCAGGCCTCCGTCGCAGATGGAAGCTTCATCCCTGCTTCTAGGGTTGGAGGCTTTTTACTGGTTCTAATCAGTGTCACTATATGTCAGAATGTGGCGCGAGCGCAGAGTACCCTCATGATGGGGCCAGAGAAGCAGGATTATGGTTTCCAGGATTCCAAATGTAGGATGTCCTACGGTCCTGCGTCTCACATGGAGGCCTGGAGAACCCGTCGAGGGCAGTGCCGGCATGAGGAGGTGGTCGATTGCCGCTACGGGATGCCCACGGCCCAGCAGCTGAGGCGAGGGCTTGGCCTTTGAAGCGGAGGAGGAAGACAAGCTACAGGGATCAGAGAGGGTCGATTGAAGAGTGGCAGCAGTATGACATCATAACACCAGCTGCATGAGCCGAAACTTCTCAGCCCCATGGCCCTGTACATCCAACACTGAAAGATGAGCTTTTTGGTTGTGACTGCCACAGAAGCGCCCTCGGCTTTCAGGCCATGTGGGTTAGGGTAAAACGGTGTCAGCGCCAGTCGGCAGATGCCAACTTCCAAGCCATGAAGCCGGTCTCAACCAGTAGACTGTCTTTTTTGGGATCGTGAGGGGTGCCTACTCAACCCTGCACAAGGACCCGAAGGAGTCCTGGCAGGTCCTTGTTCAAAAGTTTTTTTAGGGTTGCGGCTCTGATGTTATCAAGACTTGATGTCTGAGCTGTTCGAAATTGATCAGGCTTTGAACTTTCAGCCCCCCTCCAAAGCTTAAGCATTTTCGCATGGCCTCGAGGAAATCCTAAACCCCGCAACTCGAGAGGAACATACCTCAGAACTTTGGAAGCCTTGCGAGGGGCAATGAGCGGCTGTTGTGCCGCTGCCAGCCTCTGGCCCGGAGTCGCCTCGGACAAGAGGCCGGAGGGTTTGGGCTCTCGAGGGGTGGTCATCGTAGCCTGCATAGTTTACACTGAAGCGAAGATATGAACATATTGGACATGTGTGAACACTGGAAAGAGTACTCCCCGTACAAGAACAGACCTTGCACTGCACTGCAAGTGCAACTACAACTGACCACGATGACCACGATGACGAAGCCTGCGGCAACGCTCCTTCTACAAGTGCTGGCACTTCAACTACTTCTGCTGCTTGTGTGACCACGACGACAACTACTACAACTACTCGTTACTCGTCTTACTTAAAATGGATACTAGTGTTACTACCAGTACTACCTAAGAACGCTGCTGTTGCTACCACTGCTATTGCTACTGCCACAGCTACTGCTACTGCTGTGGCTACTTCCGCGGCTACTCACTCCTACTGCTACTCAGACTGCTGCTGTTACCGCTATTGCTACTGCCGCTGTCACTGCTACTGGTCGGACGCTTCCAGCAGAACGGCCGCCCGAGCTCCATTGGCCTGCCAGTCAGTCAGTCAGTAAGTCGGTCCGTGAGTCGGTACACGAGCACGCCGGTCAGTCAGTCAGTCGGGCGGTCGGTTGGTTGGTCCATGCGCCGAGCGCCATGCAGTGGGCCAGTCAGTCAGCCAACGAAGGGGAGGGTTGAAGATATATGATGAACCGGAATCGCCAAATGAGGGGGGGGGGGGGGGGGGGGCGTGTTTAAGATTATGATGAAACGTAATCGCCAAATGAGAGGGGCGTGTTTAACATGTATGATGAGCCGTTATCGCCAAATGAAGGGGCGTGTTTAAGATATATGATGAACCGTTATCGCCAAATGAGGGGCGTGTTCAAGATTTATGATCAACCGGAATAGCCAAATTAGGCGGCATGTTCAAATTATATGATGAACCGGAATCGCCAAGAGAGGGGGGGGGGGGTGTTTAAGTTATATTGATGAACCGGAATCGCCGAATGAGGGGGCGTGTTTACGATATATTATGAGCAGTTACCACCAAACGAGGGAGGGTGCTTGCATTATTTGGTGAACGTGTTTCGCCGAATGAGGGGGCGTGTGAAAGATATATGGTGAGCCGGAATTACCAATTGGGGGGGTGTCTAAGATATATATATATATATATATATATATATATATGGCATAATATAAGCTGAACCGGAAGCGCCAAATGTGGGCGCGTGCCGCTTTCATAAGCCATGTGAACGTGCTTTAGCGAACCTTGTACCAGTACCATCGAAAACGTTGTTCGGCCATCTGCGATTGGTCGTAACAAGTCAGGCACATAACTCTTATGTGACTTTTCAAAGCCCGTCCTGGCGGCCCCCCGCTTTATGTTTAGGCCGCGCAAGAAAAGCTACGATATGTGGTGAACGGCTTTCGCCGAATGAGCGGACGTGTTGAAGACATAATATGGTGAATCGAAATTACCAATTAAGGGGGCGTGCTTCAGATGTAAGGTGAACCGGAATCGCCAAATGAGGGGCGTGTCTAACATGTATGTTATCGCCAACTGGAGGGGGGCGTGTTCAAGATGTAGGATGACCCGGAATTACCAAATAAGGGCGCGCTTGGACATGCGATGAACCGGAACCGCCAAATCAGGGGGTGCTCTTCAGATATATCGTGAACCGGAGTCGCCGAATGAGGGGCGTGTACAAGATATATCTGATACATGGTGAACCGTTATCGCCAAATGTTGGGGCGTGTTGAACAAGTATGATGAACCGTTGTCGCCAACTAAGGGGGGCGTGTTCAAAATGTAGGATGACCTGCAATTGCCGAAGGAGTGCTTTCGATATATGGTGTACGGGAATAGCCAAATGAGGGGGCCTGATTAAGATATATGATGAACCGCTATCGCCAAACAAGGGAGCATGCTTCAACAAATATATATATATATATATATATATATATGGTGAACAAGAATCGCCAAATGAGGGGGCGTGTTTAAGAAATATCATGAACCGGAATCGCCAAGTGAGGGGGGGGGGGCGTGTTCAAGATATATGATGAACCGTTATCGCCAACTGAGGGGAGCTTGTTCAAGATATAGGATGAACCGGAACAACCGAATCATGAGGCGTGCTTCATATATTGGGCACCGGAATCGCCAAATGAGGGGGCGTGTTTGAGATATATACTAAATCGGAAATGCCAAATGAGAGGGGCGTGTTTAGCACGTGTGATGAGCCGTTATCGCCAAATGAAGGGGTGTGGTTGAAACATATGATGAGCCGTTATCGCACTATGTTGCAAGGTGTGCAGGACCTATGAAGCCATAATCAAAACAAAACACAGAAAAAGACCACCTGCAGCCTCGACATTAGGCCCATCCTTGTGACTGTCACAGGTTCTTTACGATCCAGGCCAGAAAACCACAAAAATACCCGACAAAACCAGAATTAGGCCTTTCCTTGTGACTGCTGCCAGGTGGTGGCGGGTTCGCGGGTAATGCTGCCACTCGGCTTGCGGGACTGGGAAGACAGGGTCTCAAGATTTCTGAAGGGTTATTTGTTGGAGGGTTATTATAGGGTTGCCATCCCTTGCCCTTGCAAGTAGAACTGTCGCATTGCAACACTGCTCTGCTTGTCTTTCGACGCACGTCCGCCGGTTTAGGGCTTGCTCTCGGTTCTTTGAGCTTCCTTTTCTCGCGTCCGAGCACCATGCTTCGCGTCTGTGGGGCCGCATCGGGTGACATGCTTGCTTCGATCAAAGCCGCTGACTTAGATGAGAATGCGCCCCTGAAGTCACTGAAGCAGTGGCTTGAAAGGGAATTTGGGCTGCCAGAGTTCATGGTGAAGCTCATGCACGATTGCCAGTGTTTGGAGGCTGAGGCTCAGCTACGAGGTCTTGCAGATGCTCAGCTGGATCTGATTTTGTTGGACCAAATGCCTGATGGCGAGAAATTCTCTCCAAAACAGCAGGGCGAAGCACTCCATTGCCTCTGTGCTTTTCGAAGGCTCGAGGCTGCAAAGGCCTTGCTGTCGCGAGGGATCGACCCGGACTTCAGGCTCAACGGGGACACGCCTTTGGATGTAGCATTCCGGCACCGCAGGTGGGAAGTCTTGCAAGTATTGCTGGACGGTGGCGCCAGACGACTGGGCAAGATCGACCTAGGCAACATTAATACGGCTCCTGATTCGGGTGGTACCTTTCTTTACAAGGCGGCCCACGAGGGTGCCGCTCCGCTGGTGCAGTTTCTTCTGATGGCCGGCGCAGACGTTGACAAGGCAAGTGGAGTGGATTACGATACGCCCTTGGGCACTGCATGCAGCAATGGTCACCTCGGAATCTCGAAGCTGTTGCTGGAGGCCGGTGCCAACAAGCAGAAACCCCGGGGGAGTGAGCCATTAATGCGTGCATGTCGAAACGGCCACGCCGACATCGTGCTTTTGCTCTTGGAGGCAGGCTCGGATAAAGACCAGGTGTTTCGACCTCATCTTTGTACACCTCTGAGCATCGCCTGCGAACTTGGTCATGTGAAGGTGGTTAAGCTTCTTTTGGCGAAAGGTGCAAGTCCCAACAAAGTTTGTGCCGCACGTGAGCCTGGTGCGCTCTATGCAGCATCTGAGAGTGGCCACACAGAGATCGTCGAGCTCTTGCTGAAATCCGGTGCCTGCAGAGAGCAGGCTTGTGGGTTCGATCTGGACATGCCTTTGCATGTTGCCTCTCGGAACGGCCACCGAGACGTGGTGAAGCTGCTGCAAGCAGCTAGAGCCCGAAGCGAGCCGTGAGCACTTCGCGCGGGGAAGTGTACAGTGTACAGCCGGCTGCTCCTGGAAACCTTGGCTCCTGGCTCTTGGGACACTCATTTAAATTCTCTATTTGATGTAGAACCCTTTGCCAAGGAGAGCCTTCAAGACCTGGAGCTGTGTCTGGGACAGGGCCACCAAAACCCTGCGACCCTGCGTGTCTCTACGCGACCTTTACATGCAGCTGTAAACTCCAACTTCCTGCATAAAAGTGGGATCATCACTATTCTCACGCCGTCAGAGGTTCCATGTTGAGTTTGAAGTCTTAACTGCCCTTCTATTTGAGGTTGGCAATAAGCCGGGGAGCCACCTATCGAGAATCCCAGCACGAACCCTTTATCCGCGTACTCTACGCTGTAAACCTTAAACACCACGTGCGCTAAAAGCACATGCCCGAGGCTTTCCGGCAGCCACCGCGGGGCCGCCGGTGCAGCTGAGGCGTCACCAAGCCGTGGTGGCCATGTCGAGGCAGGGGCACAGACGATACCAATGGAGAGGACTTTCTGTACTTGTAGCAGTTGTCGTGCGGAAAAGTTAGGATGGCGATATTAACATGAACAACCAGACTTTTCAAGAGTGGCTACATCATTGCATTTGGCCATGCTGTTGTTAACACGACGACGATCAAAGCACAGATTGTTGGGTACTGGTGTGAGTTGTAGAGTGAAGAGCCGCGTGCTTTCTTATTTGCAGCGGTTGGTTTCACCACATGCATGGTGTCATGTCTATATATGCAGGCGCATCTGATCCCGGTTCTCCGTTCGCCGTTCCCTCCTGTGACTGCGCACTTCTCGCACATGACGGCTCCAAAACCGTCAAGTGTCACGAGAATCTCGTCCCAAATACAACTGGTCCTTGTGACAATGGACACTTTCCAACCACGACTCCGACATCAGGGTATAAAAAATGCAACTGTGACGAGGATCGTGTTCCTGACAGGCCCATTCCTCTGACAGTTGATCAGGAGCGAACCACTACTGATGATGATGAAGACGATGATGATGATGATGATGATGATGAGAGAGCGAACCACACCACACCACCCCACCCCACGCCACGCCATGCCACACCACGCCACCCCATGCCACGCTACGCCACGCCACCACACCACAGCCGAGGGCGAGGGAAGCCACTCCAAGCAGACCCAAACCCCGAACACACCGCACCGCCACAGGGCGGCGCGGGAAAGCCACAATGCAGGGGGGTGGGAGGGGGGTTGGATCCTTTATGGTCGCGCCCCGGCTGGCCCACCCAACGGTATCCCCCCGTTTGATCATCCCCAATGCGCCCCTGTAAAACGGCTTGGGCCTTGAGCCTGCGTGTGATCCTTGCTCTCGTGCACATATATATATATATATATACATTTGATGTCTCAAGCTGCAGCATTCATTTCTTTTGGTGTTTTTCTCAATGCTGATCGTGATGATGGGTCGGTCGTCGATGTCGCCAACGAAGATGATTCTGTGCACAATGTTTCCGATGACAATGATGATAACGATGATGATGATGATGATGATGTTGATGATGGTTATAAAAGTTATAACTTGTAAAGGTGGTGGTGATGACTGTGCTGACGCTGATTCTGGTGTTGGTGAGGTTGTTGATACTGGCCCTGGTGAGGTGTGACGTTAATCACCTGCAAATTGCCATACTGCCATACTATCGACATGTTCTTTCTTGTTCGCTGTCGCCACTCTTATCTTTGTCCGGAGGTCCATGTTCAGGAGTTGCTGACCCTTCAGAAGGAAAGCTTCTCCCGGATTCGGGATGGAAGGTCCGGAAGCCGAAGGTCATGTCCAGCGAGGTAGCAGGGTTTCGTGCTTTAGGCCGAAGGTTGCTTGAAGGTGTGGACCAAGCAGAAGCCAGCACCCCCCGGCACACCGATGTTACAAGAACACTTTTGTCGACCGGCTCCACAAGCCCAACTTCGAAGCACCCTTGAAATCCAGAGGTCCGTCTCTTGCGACGAGCTGCACATGGGTGAGGACGTGGAGATCAGCGCAGGCTCCCACAAGGCCCAGGGCCTTGAAACTCCAAAGTCTTGGGAAGTGTGAACTCTTCTCGCCCCGAAGCCTTCCGAAAGCCAGAGCGTACGCCCGAAATAACGAATCAAAAAGGGCCAGCGCGGCGCGGTGCTGAAATGCGATCCGGCGGCTCCCTCAGAGCAGTGGGAGCTCTTCGGACAGAGTGGGGATTCGGGATAGGTAGGGCTTAGAAGCCTGTTTTTTAGGGAGGCTGTGCACGCTTGCTGCGTGCGTGCTGCGTGCGCTCTCTGGCGCCATCTCAGACGACGAATTTCGCAACCGCTTTGCTATGCTAGTACACAACACCTGTGGTGGCATTGGAGCTTACCAGAGTTCGGGGTAATTCCTTTCGTGATGACTTCTAGCCAGTACAGAAATTGAATACCGAAATCTAAATCAAAGCCCATCTATTCTGCGTGGATTCTTTTCTGTCAGGGTACAGGCGTCCAAGCCATATGCGAGGAGTGAGACAGAGGTGGTAGCACAAATCATTAGTTTGGTCTTAGGGGGTAAGTTTGGGTTCGGTGGCTGCGGGGAGTGCCAGCTTGAAGAATGACTTGACTGCTGTCCGTTGGTTTACTTCTCTCTTCCATTGAATGGGAAAACCCGGAGTGTAAGCTCACTCAGAAAGTATGCGCAACCTGTGACAATGACTCCTCCTCATCCTCGTCCTGACCCTCTTATCACCACGCACATGTGTTTCGACATCATCGTTTATTTATAATCATCAGTCATACTCAAACCAACCACTATGGCCGCAGTATCACCTCATGAGCGTGGCCGAGAGACAACCATCGACATCATCGTCGTTGACCATGTTGCCCTTCTGAGTATGCCAGATGTGCGCACTATCAGCAACCTCGACTGCTGCTGTTGCACGTCTATCTCACGATGTCACGCTTGTTGCTTTTGCAGCCCTCCTGTTGCCTTTCTGGCTTGTCGTTGGTTGCCCTAGTTTAGCTGTCGTCCGAGTCAATCGCTGTCGTGACTGAAATATTCTTGGGGAAGGAACTTCATCTTTGCAGCATCATTGCTTTGCATGTCACCGCCTCCAAGTTCTTTTGTACACTCGCAACAGAATGAGTAGAGTAGAGGTGGAGTTTCGGATTGTGTCGAGCAGGAGCCCACCTTTGCAGCAACGTTCTCAGTCGTATTCCGAAATTTTTAATCCCTCTAGTCAAAACCGCAGCATGCCAACCCCTATAAGCCTATGTCCTGTGCCGGCCCGCTGCGGCGGCCCTGAACCTGTTCGAGGAACCTCTTCGTCTGTTCACAGAGCTTATACATCTCAATCCTTGAGTTCATGAGTTCATGCTCTAGATGAGAGGATCGAATCCCCCAAACGACCTCATTTGTGTCGAAACCTCGAAAGTGACTTAGTCCCGTGAACCAGCGGCAGAGGTCTCCGAGCGCTTCAGCGCCAGTCGGCTGGAGATTAGTTGGGCCTGTCTCTTGAGTCTTGCGGTTTCGGCCGTGTAGGGTTTTCGGGTTGAAGGATGTTGTGGATTCAGAATCAGCGTTGAGCCGCCAAACCTTAATGCAGAATCCAAACCCCTCTCAGAAGCTGACAGCCGCTTCAATCCACCCAGTCACAAAGATCCTACAGAGCCCCAGGTCCCAAAGGTCCGAACCAGGACGGCCCTTACAAGCCCAGGTGAGCCTGGAGCGCGCCTTGAAGGTCTCGGCCTTCGACGTCGAGGTCCTCAGCTGTGCGAGAGCGGGGGCAATTCCGCCGCTTTGGCAGAGTAGTGACGGGTTTTCTGTAGTCTTCATGGGGCTGAGGATTTTCATGGGTTCAGTTCAAGATGTTGGGTTTAGGGTTTCTGCGACTCATCTTTTGTCAGCGTTTTTGGTGGAGAGAGCTGTCGCATCGTATCCGAGGGACGTGGCGAAGAACTGTTCTGTAGACCACTGCAAGATGGAGGCCCGCCACCCGGCCTCCTGCCACGATCACTGTCACAGCCAGGGACTTCAGTGTCTCCGTGCCTGGCGTCGGGGTGATGATCGCTGCAAAGAGGAGGGGCTCCTTCCCTGCGACCACCATCGGGGTGGGGACAAGATCTGCGAGTGCGTCCCGCAAGTCCGTCCAGATTTGTGCTTCCAGAAGGGCCTCACCTTTCGGCCCCTGAACATGCGGAAGCAGGGGCGCAGCCAGGAGCCGGAGGCGTTGAGCTGCCAGCGGCGCTGTGCCAAGGTTTTTGGCTGTGCCCACTTCTCCTACTGGACCGATGGTGGCTGCCATCTGCAGGATGAGGAGGCAAAGCTCGAAGGCAGCGACGGCGTGATTTCGGGCCCTGCCTCCTGTCTGCTTCAGCCTGCGCACCGGGGTGCCGGCGGGTGCCTTACCGAAGGCGTGAGCTATGACCCCCTAGACATGAAGGGCCAGTCGCGCACCAGCGGGTCTCTGGCAAAGTGCCAGCAGCGCTGCGCCGGCGTCAGTGGCTGCGTGCATTTCTCCTTCTGGTCCGATGGGGGCTGCCACCTCCAGGATGCCCGGGCCGTGGCCAAAGGAAGCCCTGGAGCCATGTCTGGAAGGCCCAACTGCCACCTTGAGGCCGCACCTTCCGGGGAAGACTTGGGGGCTTTGAGTGTCTGCACGTGCCTTGCCTACAGACAGAGAGTGAGAAGTGAGAGTCAGGGACCCTGCCTGCTTAGGTGCCTGCGGGCTCCAAGAGGCCAGGGCTGCTCGCGGTGGAAAACAGAAGCGGAGTGGGGAGCCGCGGCGGCCAGGGAAGCGCCTGCGCTAGCCTGGTGGACGTTCAGCATCACTGCCAAGCAGCACACGGCTGCAAGGACGGACTGTGCCCGATGTTGTGGGAGTGTATCATCTGCATGAAAAGCACGCATGCTCCTGTGTGGGTGGTCAGGTGGTGGTGGCGCGCATGGCCCGGCGCTCCTGTGAAGTCTACTGCGAGGACGAAGGCCTCAGCTGCATCGGTGCTTGGGAAGGCCAGGCGTGTGGCACTTCGAAGCCGATGGACTGCGACAGGCTCACGGGGAGCGCGACCATGACTTGTGACGCGACTGAAGGGCCTGAAGGGGCGGGGGTCTTTGTCTTAGTTTTTGTGAGAGCGCACCGCTTGACCAAATCTTGCCTATAGCCCCATGCTCAGGCCACTGTGTTCACAGACAGGGCTCGAAGGAGTCGCAGCAACACGCCCACGAGAGACACAGACACGGGAAGGCCGCAGAGTCGGGTGAAGAGGAGGACTCCTGGGGCTTCCATTGCAGGGGCTCGGATATCGAGGCCTGGAGTGAAGAAAAGCGCTGGTGGTGCTGCCGAGAGCTGGAAGTCGGCTGCGAGACGACCTCCTCCAAGAGCTTTTCCTGCGACCCTTCCGACGATTTCGAGATGTGGGAGGAGGATGCTGGGCTTTCAAGAGAAGTCTTGTTAATGGTGCTTTGAACCTTGCTTCGCGCTCTCAGTTGCCTCTTGCCAGCAGAGCCAAGGACAAGCAGCGTTTCTGCTGCCGGGAGGAAGGCCTTTGCACGGAGGACTGGGGGTCCGAGCACGGTGATTCCGAGGACGGCGAGTCCGAGGATGCGGAGAGCGCGATGCTCGAACGCGAGACTAGCGACGAGGACGGCGAGTCCTACGACTGCGAGCAGCTGCTCTACCAGGACCCGTTCACGCTTATTCTCGCACTTCGCGGCCTCTCCTTTTCTGCTCCCCTAAATTCTGCCTGAAGGAATCTCAATCCTACCTTAAGCTTCGCGGGCAGCCCATCTAGCCAATGCCTGAAGTCTCGTGCCTGAATGCATCCAAGAGTCTCCTCAGTAAGTCTATGCTCGGGTGCTTAAATCCCCGGATGGAAGGAAGCGGAGGCCTTTGAAGCCATGGACTGGTGTTGCAGCCACCGTGGCATCGGATGTTCGGGACCTACCTTTGGCAAAGAAATGCAAGCAGAAGTCGAAGAATCGAAGAGCCTTTCTTTCTTCGGATGGCTTGTGTAAGGTGAACGTGCCACTAGCAGAAGACGAATTGTAGAAGCCTTATCTCAAACCCATGTAAACCCTTAGGCCTCCAACACCGCTATACAACCCCAACTCTGGACCGCTCCTTGCCCAGGCCGGCAGACGCAGCGCTGCGACGCCGAGGCGCTCGAGCTTGAAGACTGAGGGTTCTGGAAAGGGGAGCCCAAGCAATGAAGGTACCGGTACCGGGTGTGGAGTGTTGACTGCGGGATGTGCACCAGAGAACTCTGAAGCCTTCTCTGCGTCTTGAAAACCCACCGGCAAGATCCAAACCTTGAAACTATCGAAACCCCTTCAGGTTTCCTGGTCTTCCGATGACCGGAGGTGGTGCCGTGCTCTCAGTCTTGGGGACATGAGGACCCGGCCGTTTTGACAAGGTGTTTCGGGTTTCGGTTTAGGTCTGTGGTTACAAACTTGGGCTGTAGAGAATGCCTGCAGCTTCGAATGGTTTTAAGGATATGTCTCCGGCCTGGTATTGTCAGTGCGAACAGGGTTGTGGCCACATCGGCTTCTGTCGCGGCCGGCCGTATCAACTGTCGCGGCTCCCAAGTCATAGCCCGGTGCTGTGCTCCGGGCCCCCGGCCGTTGGTGAACTCCGGAGCGTTGCAAGCTAACGCTGCCGCTACACCCAACCAGGCAAGCCTCAGCCCTGAACCCTGAACCCTCGCCCGAGTCACTTACAAGCCCCATCACAAGACCCATTCCCTAAACGCGAAGCCTGAACCCCGCAGAGCCATGAGGTTGCGAGCATGAGGGCCTCGGGTGCGACGAGCTGCAGGCCAGAATCGCCCGGCTCGCACGGCCAGGGTTTTCGTTGCACTTTTGAGCTCTTGGGGCTGAGGATCCATCTCATCAGGGTTTTGCTTCAAGTCCGAGTGGCTCAACATGCTCCTGCGATGTTTCTTTAGACGGCAAAGACTTGCTACTTGGACACTGACTGGGTGCCGTCGCGGATGGACCGGGCTGTTTCTGCTGAGCACTGCATCAGGGAAGGGCTGCTCCCAGAAGAGCTCTGCAGGGAATTGAGGCTCCTGCATCTCGTTGCCGGGGTGCCGGGATACCGGCCGAACTGTACGGCCTGCACCCTGCTGGCCTGCCCCAAATGGGGTTGGCCGGCCCTACTCCGTGCACGGGAGCTTGCACGGGACGCTGCAGAAGACTTCTTCGATGAGTTTGGGGGCCTCTGGCCGGAGACCACTGCCACCGTGTGCTGGTTTCCCGGCTCTTCGCTGCCTGTTCACACAGACAACTGCAAGGAATACCTCTCCAAGCGGCACGTTTCGGTGGTGATCTGGTTGAGCAGCCAGGGCGAGGACTTCGAGGGCGGTGACTTCTTCTTCGAAGCTGAAGGCGCTAGCGGCGCCAGCGCGAAGTCTCTGGAACTGGTCTCCCCAAGGATGGGCAACGCGGCCCTCTTCCGGGCCAGCGAGCGGCACGGCCTGCGCGGCGTACTGAGCGGAGCGAGGCTGGCTTTGAACATTTGGTTCACACGGGATCCCGGTGCCGCAGAGGATTCGCGGCTCCTGGGCCCAGACGGCGTGTCGGGCTTGGGCTCGGGCTCGGGCTTGTCTCCGCGCCTCTTTGGCGATGGTCCTCAAAGGACGTGGCCGGAGGATGAGGCATCAGCCCGCCTGGCCAAGCGCACCCTTGCACAAGCAGGGCTCCCACCACGTGGCCGAGCCCTGAGGCTACGCAGCCGCAGGATGTGCAAGGAAGCAGGCTTGCAACCGGTATCGAAACGGTCTCCACTGCCATCCTCGCGGCGCACACTCCTGGCCGTGGCTGCACACCGGAAGCTCTTGGCCGTTCAGGGCTCGGAGTCGTCGCCGAGTGGCTGGCGGGGGCACAGCTTCCTTCGTCTGGTGCGGCGCCGTGAGAGACAGGTCAGGGCAGCACTGCCACGGTGGCATCAGCATGGTCTTCTTTCTATAGGCCCTCTCAGCTCCCCGCGCGGTTTCTGCAGGCAGCCAGAAGGGCGGTACTGCAGCAGTGCATTCGTGGAGCACAGTGATCGCGTTCCAGGCCTGACAATCGCAAGAGGCGCTCTGGGCTCTGCACTGCAGCGGAGGTTGAAGAAGCTGGCGGATCGCTTGATGACCTCCCAAGAAGGCAAGCTGCTGAATCAGTCCATGCGTTTCGGCAGCGACGTTCCTCCTTGGGCCCACGCCATCGTCCAGAGGACCTGCACCTCCACAAGCCCAAGTTGTCACGTTGAGGTAGCACTAAGAACATGCTCCCAAGGCAGCTTTATACTCTACGCAAATGAACACGAACCAAGGGGCAAAATTCGCGAGTGCGAGGATCCGGAGACTTCCAGGCTTCTTCGCAAAGCAGCCGAGGGCCTTCGACCAGCTGATTGCCCGGCCCCCGGCTTCTCCAACAAAAGCACCGTCGAGATGCCGCAAAGCTCTTCCATGACGAACTCGTAACCCGAAACCATGTGGTCTGAACTCCATTTTACGTACCCGGATCTGTCGCTGAGGTCAATGCCTATCGTCGTGGCGAGGTGCCGCGCGAAGGGGGCTTCGTGGGCTTGGGGCTTGGGTGGGCGGCACCGCTGCTTCAGTGTTGGGCTCGGCCAGATTTTGAAATTAAGGATCTGGGAGGGCTCGTGGTGGGAGAAATAAGGCAGGCCCCCACCAAGCCAGAGGGACGAAGGCTCAAAGGAAGGTCCTCTTTGCCCTCTATTATTGGGTTTAGGGCTTAGGACTGTGGGGAGCTTTGGGTACAGGCTTCAATGCAAGGTTTGGAGGACGAGGCCAGCCCCAGCCTCCCGAAAGCCAAAATCTTCAGATTAGGATGCCAGAACAAAGGAGATTGCAGTTTTGCATATGTGCATGAATGCGCACACAGATTTTGAAAGATATACTTATATATATATATATATGTATAATATATATATATATATATGTGTATGTATACATACGAGTAACTGAAACCAAGTTGCTGAACGAGGGCCCCGAGCAATTGTCGATGTCCTCAAGTGCAAAGAAGTGCAGGGTATCCGGCGGCATGTGGACCTCCTAAAGTTCGGAGACCACGTGCTGGCGGTTTGCCTCGGTGCCGATGCGACGCTCACGCTCAGGTGGCCCCAGGGAATCGATTGTTGATCACTCTCACTTTCGGTCGTTGCTGCCAGCATTTGGCTCTTGATCAGTGTTACTGTCAGGTGAGTTCGATTGTCGTAAGGGGGAATGTTGACATGATGACCTGCGCCTTCGCTGTTGCCGTGGTCACTTGTGTTGTTGTCTCTTTTCATGACAATTCAGAAGAGGTTCTTGCCCAGCCAGCCCAGCAGCCACCACCGGCAGGCCTTACCGTAAACTATAACACATTGGTGTACATCTATTCCAAGAAATTGACTACACCGCCATAGTGGCCACGTAAAACTGACCTCGGCCCTCTCTGCCTCTCCGCGGAATGTGTGCATGCCATGAGAAGATCATTTGTGAGTCGAATTTCGTCCGTTTCGCAAGTTTTCAGATCTCAGAATTCCAGACCTACTGCACCTTGGTTTCCAGATTCCAGATCTGTGGAAAGCTGGATTCCGAAGGTTGTGGCACGCAAATCCGAGAATTTCATGACCAAAACAGTGTCTGCAAGACAGGTCATCTTAAACGTCTACGTAAGGCACAGTTCCCCTTTTCACGAGAAACCAGATCCCAGATTGCCAGAAACATGCCTGCAGTTGCCGGATTGCCCAGATGTATTGGGTCGTCCAGGTCTGCAGATTCCAAATTTGCATGTTTTCAACGTTTCCAGTTTTCCAGCTGTCCTGAGGACCAGTTGCCAGATTCCAAACAACACACAGATGCAGGAACGAGATGAGGGCCTTGATAGATCATACTACTAGTTGTGCTGAAATGGGCTGTGTGTGGCGGCTAGATAACAGCACAAAATGGTGAGCCTGTCTCACGAAGTCTTGGGACCTATTCTTGATTCCTACTAGCATCCCTAGAAGCATGGCGGCGTTCTGACCAGATCTTTCCATGGCCCCTGCACGAGCTACATGTTCAAACCCATGTAAGCCGCCTGACTAGCCCGATTGCAACCTCTCCTGTAACCTCGGCCTCTGTCGCGAATCTGTTGCTGGTCGCAACTTTTTTTTGCCCTTCTTCCAGCTTATCCCGCATTACCCCAACGAGCCTGCAGTGCTTCTGCCTTGTCAGTTCCTCTAAGTCTTGAAACACGGCTGCAACCGACAACCCCGGACACATCCGAACGTGCTGTGCATGTCGAACGTGTAGAGGCCCCCATGATCCTGCTTCCTTTCAGTCTTCTAGCCATTGCTGGCAACAGCATTCATGTCTGCAACATTAGTCAACGTATGTCCCGACAATGAACCGAGCTTGGCTGTCACCGGTTTTGGAGCGGTTGAAAGTTGAAAACATTTTACTCATGGGGTGCCAGTGTAGTGTAGTTTCCTGGTGTTGCACATTAGGCTGAAATGCGCATTGCTCTCCCAAGCAAGAGGTGCGAAACAACTACAAGAATGAAATCTCAGGCTGTTTTCGTTCCGTATTCATGATGAGGAATACCGCTAATCGATTACGAAATCGCAGCAGGCACCTTTTTTTGGCGAAGTTCGGCATGGGCTTTGTATGCATACTGGACCCGACGCACAGCTTTCAGAAATGATGCTGGCAAGTGAGAAAGCACAGACACATCCATGTTTGTAGTGTTTTCGGCATGCATGACTCGTGTGCAGATATGTAGCAGGATGACGTTGTGATCGTTTGCGGACACCTGCCTGCGTGTACATTCTCTCTTTGTCTCATGAAGACATGTATGTCACATCTATGTATGTACGTACATATATACATGTGTATTAACCACATATTCATATACCATCATATGTATATATATATATATATCATATATATATATATATATATCATATGTGTCTGTATGCGCGTATAGATATATGTGCATACATAAGTACACATGAGTCATCTTGATGATGTCGTGAGGCTCAAACAACCAAATGCCTCGAAACCCCAACACCTGGATCATCGGAGTTTTTGGGTTGCATGCGAGTCCGTATGTCCCGGTTTCGGGTTGCAGGTTCAAGTGGGTCAATCTATGGCGGAGTTGTAGTTGTTTAGCTTTCAGCACAGAAAGTTTTTGATATGCTTGACTTACGGTGAGGAAATCTTTCCTTTAAGTGTGAAGGTCGTGGGCCCCCCAAGGCCTGGGTTGGCATTCAGTGGTGTAGGGGGCATGTAGAAGGGCTTTTTTGGAAGAAGAACCCCATTCTTTCTTGGGTCTTGTAGCTAGTTCAGGGTCTTCCCCTCCTGAGCCCGCCAGATGCATCCCCGAATTCGTGCACCCTACACTCTGCGTCTTTTCGAATCCCCAAACCCTGACCTTTAAACCCTGGTGACTGAAACTCTGCTGAGCCTCCTTCAGGCGGATTGCAGAATGGGCACTTCCCGTTCAAGCAGGCGTCTGCAGTAGTAGAACAGAGTTCGCAAGTTTGGGGCTTACCTTGGTTGTGTCGGATGTCTATTCAAATTTCGCGTGGTTTCTTTATGTGTTTCCGTCTGGTGTTTCGGATGCGGGAGGAATCGATGGGATTTCCTTCTTTGTGTCCTGCGTCCCACAAGTCTCCCAGGCGTGATTCTCCATGTATGTAAGTATGTCTGTCTGTCGGTCTGCTTCTGGGTGCTTATGTATGTATGACTGCTTGTTGGGGTTTCGTATAGTCAGCCTAAGCATATGCTACAGTTTTTTTTGCCGATCGTGTCGGGCAGCTGGGATCTTCTGCTACAAACGGTCTTCTGTTGCACTGGATCTTTCATTGCACAGGATCTTCTGCTAGCTAGGCTCTCGTGTTAGTGAGGGTCTCCTGTTAGACTGGTAGACAGGGGGTTTGAGAAATTCTGATTTGAAACTGGCTTGGCTTGGCTTGGTTTCGGTCTGATTTGGTTTGGCACCAATCCTTCAACATCTTAAGCAAACTGTAGGTAAGTATGTAGTAGGTCTGCATACATCTATACATGTTCGTATGTGCATGAGTGTGTATATTTTTACCTAAGTATGTACGTATGTACGCATGTATGTATGTATGCATGTAAGTATGTGTATGTAAGTATGTAAGTAAGTAAGTATGTATGTATGTGCGTATGGACGTGTTTGTCTATGCATTTTTCTGTTTATGTATGCACGTATTTATGTTTGCATGTATGCGTTATGCATGCATGCATGTATGCATATGTGCCTGTATGCGTGTGTATGTGTGCGTGTGTCCGTGTGTGCATAGTGCCTGCATATATGCGTGTAGGTATCATGTTTGTTTATGTGTACACACGCATGGGTGTATGTGTACGTAAATCGTAAACGAAAGAAATGTACATGTACAGTATGTGTATGCATACGTGCCTACATACACACCAATCACAGTGTATATACGTGTGTAAGAGGGCATGCACATATGAGGTCTGTGGAAAGTGTGGTTTGGTTTGGTTTGTCTCTTTGTGTGTGCGTGTGCATATGTGTGTGTGTGTGTGTGTTGGCAGCGTGTGTGTCTATGTGTGTATACACTGCCCCTCGTTGGGCTATTCGCCTTTTCACGTTTGTTTCATTTAGCTTGCAGTGGGGCGGGGGTTGTGGAGGAGCTACGCCCAACGAAGCTCTCCTCCACACCCGAAGTAAACTCACCTGCATAACCCTAAATCGTGTCCGCCTTGGGGTCTCGAGGACCGGGCAGCTGAGGGATATGTTTTCACGTCGTTCATTTTCCATTTCCTTTGGGTGCTTCGTCATTCCTTTACGTCTGTCGAGCGGGGCAGAAAGCATAGCTCGCATATCAGCTTCTCTTCATGTTTTTGTGCATGCCGACAGTTACTTAGCCAGCCAGCATGCCTCACAGAAGTGCTCATGAACAGCTTATCCAGTCTACAAACTCTGCTCTGATGCTACCGCCCAACGAAGCTATGCATGAGGGCGGCCTAATCAGCCTGGTGTACTTGCAAAACGGCCAGCTCAAACTACCCTGCATGGCTGTTGGTTACTAACTCGGACTGTCAGAGAAGTGCCCGTCGTTTTTACACATTGTGAGTGGGAGTCAGCGGCCAGCACCTGCCTGCGTACCTGCACGGTTACAGCAATCTGTTTTCAGGACAATGCCGTGTTACATGTCAGCCAGGACGAACAACAACAGGTTTGTAACTAGACGGCAGCCAACCATGAGTGCACTCATCATGTTGAGAATGTAAGTGTGTGTGTGCGCGCGTGTGCACGTGCTTGCATTTTCTGCTTGCATGCCTTCATGAACAGGAACAAAATTCCAATACCCCCGACATTTCAAGGTAGAGAGTGCGCCCTCTCAGACAACGACTTCGATGGGCGGGTCGTTGATGTCCCTGTTCGTTCGGGAGATGTTGCTTGGACAAACTAATTGGTTTGAACCTCGAGGCTCTTGTTCAGGTTTATGTTGGCCGTCGTCTGCAGCATTATCACCATAATCATCAGCATCATTTTCATCATATTCATCATCTTCTTCTGCTTCCTCCTCCTCATCCTTGTCATCTTTCGCATCATTTGCATCCTCATGATCCTCAGCATCGCCTTCTTTTCCATCATCATCAACATCATCGTCATCATCGTATCATCATCATCATCATCAGCATGATCGTCAACAGCGTCCAACATCCATCATCCCCATCCTCATCAGGATCATCGCCTTCATCATCATCATCACCACCATTAGTTCCAGTAGTGTTGTTGTGCTATTGCCAGTGCGACTGCAACCGTCTCTGCTACGCTTGCTACATGTGGTCGTATTGTTCTGGTTCCAAACGCTCCGCTACCGCTGCTAGCTCCAAGTTCTACCAAAAAGTAGTCGTCGCCTTAGGATGGTGGTCGTTGTCATGTCGTGGTAGTGGGAGTCGCGCAAGGGGGTGGCGGTGGCAGTAGTCGTTTTCGTCGTCGTCGTCGTCGTAGTAGTAGCAGTGGTAGTAGTAATAGTTGCCACGAGCGGCTCCAACGCGGGGCTGCCATGTATATGTTGATCCTGAGTACTGCAGTGCATCTTAAAGCCGCTGCCGTTGACATACTGCTGGATTCTCTGAACACTTCAGGGCGATAACATCAGGCATTGTTTGCGGCCTCGGGTCTGAGTGTGTCTGGCAGCTGAAAGCGTTTTGCGCGCGCAATTATCCACACTTGCTCCTGTGGTTTCATTGCTAACTCGGGAATGCATGTACATCGGTTTCATTTCCGAGTTCTCTTCCCATGCCTGGATCCCACATGTACTCCATACTGGCGCAATATCACAAGATGATGGGGGCGCATGCTCGTTCCGGTCCCAAATCCGGAAATGGGTGCGCGATGGACATCTCAGAGGAGGTGCTTACAAGCCCATTGGAGTGCGGGTTGACACCTTGCCCTCAAGGGTGTGGCGAAGGATGGGGGACAGGAGCCCAAACAGCAGGTTTCGTCACGGGTGCATATTGCGAAACGCACATATAGACGTGCACTGAGAAGGGCGGCCCTTGACGGTTATGCCTGGTACCGTGGACGCTACATTAGCATTAAACGGGAGTTTGTACCTTGCGCTCCAGTCGTGCACGACAAGCTTGATACTGGGCATCGGCTAGGACTTATCAGCTGGAACTGAAGTGGTGAGCTCAAGGCGGAGCTATTTCAATGGCTCAAAGCGCAGCAGCACATCATGAGCTTTTCTCTTGCAGCAGACCCACTGGTCTTTTTCCAATGAGTGGAAGGACAACGGCTGGTTTATTTTCCATTCAGAAGACAAGAAACTTAAGCAGGTCGGAGTACTGACTGCCATTCATGCTTCCTGGGTGGATGAGCATAGTCTCTCCTGGAAGGAGGTGATTCCGGGACATCTCACGCAGGTCCGGTGCACGATTGGGAAACAACAAGCTGATCTCATCAACATATACCAACATGTCAGGGTGTGTGTGTGTGTGTGTGTGTGGACATGGTGCCTGCTCATGAGCAGGGGGACAGGAATTGATTTGTCTATCCTGTCCCACGAAGCTCTGGCAAGTCCGTGGAAGCACTTGGAAAGCCCAGATGTGTACCGCCGCTCAAGATACCAGAAAAAAGGTCTCGCCCGGTCTGTCGCCCGTCGCATTCAATCGTGCTGAGCCGATGTGTGTGTGTTGTTCTGGAGATCCCGGCATGGAGCCACATTACGGTGGGGACATGCCCAAGCCCGCGCTTGCAGACGTATGACACCAACTCCGCAGGCTTAACTTCACCGTGTGATTCATCACCATGTGTTGTAAGGTCATTTGCAGATGTTCCCGACTTCGTTCAGATGCAGGACAAGTACTGCATAGGATATGAAACCAACCATGCAGGCATAAAACTGATGCCGCAACAACCATAACACGATAACGAAGTAGGACGAGTAGAAAAGCAACAACACACAGAAGTGAACTCAGGTTTACTGCCTTTCCGGAGCCGCGAGGCCTTCGGCTCCAAGCTTTGCATTTTGGGGCAGTGTTAACCGATTTCTTCGGGGTTTTTCTGGTGCAGGATTCGGACCAGACCAACTTCGACCCCAACGAATAAGGAACTCTTGTGCAGGCAGGTTTCCTCAGACGAAAATTGTATCCATACTCAAGATTCAAGACGTGCTGCCTGCGTCTGCGTATTCTGACGTGTAGGTATCGTGCAAACCTACCAACCGCACATTTCCTCCCGTAGATTCTCTGCTGTTTCGGGCTGTTCGATTGTTTCCCTTGAGATGAGGAGCCCTTGTGCCTTTGAAGAGGACAGCAGCTAAACATGAGTCTCACTGGGGTTGCGCTGCAAAAAAAACAGATTAGATGCATGCACACGCATACATACATGCCACCATGCAGACCTGCATGCCTGCATCGATGCATGCATGCAAAAGATATGTGTCGTCTCTGATCAGGTATGATCAAGCTGTAAGGTTCCCAATCCTCGGCACACTAATCTATCGAGATGCTGGAACACCAGACCCGACGCTAGCAAGCATGCTCGAGAGGCATCAGTGGACTCACGAGATCTCGCCCAACTCCATTTGCAATGGCCGGCGTCGAGTGAGCACTGTGGCTGAACACTGAGCATTCGGAGTTTGTTCTTGATGCTATTAATGGCAGCGCTCGAATTCTAACTTAAGCACGGCTGCTGTTTTTAGTTGACATTCTTCCTGTTATTCTTATCGTTATCAGCACTGTGATCATGATGCTTCCCATTTGCTACTTGTAGTATGCTGCTATGGTACTCTAGAGCAGCGTTTGGATACGTGAGGTGTTGAAAATCATGCCCGCGTGACCCGAGTGTCGAACCCGATGCTTGATCGACCTCAGAGGGTTCCAAAGTCTTAACCACGTGTTTTAAACATTCAATATCTAGTCTGAAACCCAACCCCAAGCGCAACCCTCGTCCCTAAACCCTCGCATGTGCAAACCCTGAGGCCTCCTTACGAAGCTTCCCCCGCCTTAGCTTTATTAGGCCCTGAACCTAGACATCCCCAAATCCTCCCACCAACTCCAAACGAACAAGACCCAAGAGACGGGAGCCCCAAAACGAATGGCCCAAAGGGGCCCGAAGCTTTCTGGAAACGGCCCGACGCCGAAGGCCTCACCTTCCGGGCCCTTCGCGCCAACGCGTTGAAGGGGCCCACCTGAGGACGCTCCTTGACCCGGTCTCTTCTTCTACTTTGTGATCGGCCTGCGCGCCTCGGTATGTGTGTACACTGTCTATGTACACACACACACAGACACTTCTTTGTTTGGATCTCGAGCCTCGATTCCTTTGGTGGAAGCGCTTGCGGTCGTCTTCCTCGTCTTCAGCGAGGTCAGCAGCTGGAGCTCAAAAAGAAAGAGCAGCATGCTGCCGGGGGCCGGATCCTCTAGGAGGATGAGCGTTTGGCTCCCTGAAGCTTCTGACGACGGCTGCAAACGAAGCGAACATGTAAGAATCTGCGCCTCTTTGCGGCCAAATCTCCACCAACCTATCGGTCGTGAAGCTCGCGTCTCCGACGCAGCAGCACAGTAGCTGGTAGTGGCAGACGGCAGCGCAAGATGTTGGGCAGCAGGTGAGGCTGAGGCGCGAAGGCGAGATCATCGATGAGAAGGCGTTATCGTACCAACGCAGCGGAAAAAGAGCAAAGAGCGATCACATGAGAGAGCCCGTTCAGTAGACGAAGCCAGACTGCTTTGCAAGATCAGAAACCACACGGCTGCCAAACTTGTTCCGGCTTCCGGGTCGCGACCGGTCAGAGACTTCTGCCTTCATGACTGTGTCTGTGGCAATGGTAGTAAAAGAATCACCTGTGAAAGATATCTTCCCCTGAACACTGTAACACTGTTCTGCCCTGCTTTGATTCAACAGCTGGAAGACCTCAACCAACCAAGACGCGCTCGGAGGTGACGGAGAGGTACAGCATGGCTGGGTGTGCTCCTCAGAGGGCTTTCGGGTTGTTCTTTGCAGCATTGCCTTTTGAGGTGTCTACTCAGTCTACTCAGCAGGCTCATGCTGAACAAGCCTCTGCAACGGCTCCTGGAAGCCAACATCCCAGACTAAGCCGTAAATCCAAATCCGTACACCCGAACCCAGTGGTACCTGAAGGCAACCTGAAATGGAGAAGTGCGGCATGGTAGCATCGCGGATTGTAGGTTTTTTTGGCCAGAACTTTAGCGACATGTGAATCCCGGTCCTCCGTGCAACGCTACACTTGAGAATCGGTGACGAGGTCCAGGTCCATGGGCCCGCGCACCATTTTTCATTGCAGCATTCAAACGAAATCTTAAACCCGAAGGCGCCCTACCCTTTCAAGCATGGGAGGCTAAAGCGGGCGGTGCTCTCCCGAGGGCGGCAGGCCGCCCCCAGAGATCGGCACAGCTAAATTCAACCTTCGTCTACCCGTGAACTCGGGACCCAGGCCTCTCCCCAACTCAAGAGTCCCGGAAGCATCATACAAGAAGAGATCTGGCAAGCGAAGCCCTAAACCCCCGCGACCCTGGCCCGGTCTCCGAAGCTTGGACCCTAACAAAAAGCTCCAGAATGATTCTCGGGCTTTTGCGGATAAGATAACACGAGATCAGCACAGTCTGCGAAAGAGTTCTGCGCTGGCTCCTCTCCTGCATTAGCATCATGACCGTCTGGCGCAGTACTGTGAACGTAGATTTGTTGCGGTTTGGTTGGTGATGGAGTGAGAGCAGAATTTATTTGGCAATCGGGGAGTCCGACATCGTGCTTCCTGAACCGAAGCTGACATCCGTTCTTTCGATTGCTGGTTGGCCAGCGTCGTTGATGTGCATGTGCATCGCTTGTCTGACAACTCCTGCCCAACCATCCCGAGGTTAATCTGTGGAATTCGAAGTACCAGCAATTGGCATACAACACAGCCCTAGCCAAGCCTCAGCCCTGAAGCCCCAAAGCCCTAACTTCCGCCACTAACCCCAAGCAGGCCTTGCGCTCCCTGGAGAGGCCGCGGTACGGGATCCTCGAGTTTGTGCCCTCCTGGGCTTCTTCGATTTGGGTTTGGAGTTTGCCATCAAATCCCGGATCTGGGATCCAGGGGTTTCGGGTTCAGTAGCTTTTGGGCGGTAGTCCTGCTAGAGTTGGGTTGCGCGGTTTCCCAAGTGGAGGCGTCGGGCCCTGCGATCTGGGGTTCTTTGCTTTGGCCTGCAGGGTTTGGCAACGCCTGGGCCTAGACACCTCCAACCCAGTCTCGCTTTGGGCGGCACGAGAAGGAATTCTTGTCTGTTCCTCAGCCAACCGAAATGCAGTCAAATTTCTTCAATCTACATGCCCTACAGCCCAGCCACTACACACGCCCTAGCCTTGAACTCCGAACCCTAAACCCTAAACCCCAAAGCTTTAGATTTATATCCCGTGCCAGGGCTTTGGGCCCCAGTTCCGTCGGAATGCTGGCAGGCAGAGAGGGCTCCACCTTACCTCGTGTTGAGCGTCTAGAGTAGTCGGCCGGGAGATGAGGGTTCAGGGTTAAGGGCTTACCAGTTTCGGCGGCCAAAACCACCCAAACCTGAGCTTAGGCTTAAAATCGTTTAGAAACACGAGAAGAATCACCACAGCGCTTCAGACTTACGTGGCGCCCCCAGCCGACGCAGCCAAGCACTCCCCCGGCCTCAGCAGGCTTAGGGTGGCCCAGGCCTGAACCAGGGCTCGCTATTTGGACGTTTCGCCCGGATACAGCAGCACTGGAAGAGGAGGAGGGGCAAGGGTAATTAGCCTGGCCATCGGCCTTGGGGATCGGCTTTTTGAGGCAACAGAGCCTGCGAGGAAGAAGACAGCTGTCGTGAGCTTAGGAGCGTCAGCCATCAAGCCATTTGATCATTGCCAGTTCGGAGTTCATGCCTCCTAGCCCTACGACACCGACTTAAACCAAGGAGAAGGAAAAACACAATTAAACCCGTGTTGGCTGTGGTGAGAGGGCCTCGCAGGTGTGGTGCTCCTCTCCGCCTTGCACATGCTGTGCAAAGTGGGGTGCTCGTCACAGGTGCATTTCAAGAGGGTTCTGAAACGTCTTCCAGAAGGAGCTGGGGAAAGCACGAGAAGTGTGGGATGCTGTCAAGATAGACAGGGAGGCATATCATCTCGCGGTTTCTCAAGACCGCAAAAAGGCAAGGCTTCGTTTTCTTCAGCCGTACAGTTTTGAACACGGGCTTTTGAGGACTTTGTGTCCAGTCCCGTCATTGAACCCCTTCGGAACCGAAAAGGTGGCGTGCAGGTCTTCATCATTCTTGACCATTTCCAACCATTTTCTGTCGAACTCCTACAGTCTGCTCCACGCTGTGCTTGGGGCACAGGGCTCAACAATCCAAACCCCTCCTCTTGGAATGGTGTTATCATTGTTAGTTTTCGTATGGATGAAGCGCGTAATCGTTTCTTAGTATCAGTTTTCGTTGTGTTAGTCTGGGTCAATTCCTCGCAGTAGTCACGAAACGAGGAAAGGCGTGGGCACTACCTAATGCATTTAGGGTAATCCCTTGTAAACATTTTCTTTCATGACACCTCGACCGAGGCCTGCTCTGCGCCGGCGGCCCGCGACAAGGCAATCCTCCTGGAGGCTTGTAAACCACAAGCTTCAAGCCTCCGCTCTTGCTGAAGATAGTGCCGACAACGATGAAGATCACGATGAAGATCTCAATGCCCATGATCTTAATGATGATTATGGTTTAGGGGATAGGTCGGTGCTGATGGGATCGTTTCGAAGAGCCTTACGCGTTCGAAAAATGGTTTCCTACCAATTTCAAGCCGCCTCCTCAAAGACACGGCAGCTGGAGCCTTCCCGGTGTTTTTTTGCGTCCCAAGTCCTACAAGCGTAGAAGTAGAACTCCCCCGGACCCTTTCTTGCGGAGGCCGACGGCTATCGGCCTGTCCCGCTGCAGGCCGAAGATGACTGAGAAACCACTGACCCGAAGAGACCGAATCACTCTCGAGCTTCTTTTGAGGGCTGGGAGTGTAGCAGAAGATAGAGTCGGCCTTGGTCTCGTAACAGCGGCGGTTGTAGTGGTATCAAAAAAGCAGAGAATCTTTGGCCTGGAGGCCGAGGTTGAGATTCTTACACTTTATGGCGTCTGTATCGCATACGCCAGAGGCCTTGCATCCAATTCCGAAGACTGGCTTCCTGTTGGTACGTCGACGCAAGAGAAGCTTTATGGGAGACGCGTATCACTTTCCTGTTCGGAAACCCACCAAGCACGTGTTGGGCTTGGGTACAACATTGTAGTTGATCCCTGGAGCCCAAAACCCGAGCATTTGCATGATGTCGGAAACCTTAATTCCCAAACCCATTCTCCGGGGTGCTCTAGCGCTAAGCCGCCCCACCTGTAATGCTAGAACTCTCATTGTTCGTGCTGCTGCTGCTGTAATTTTCTTCCTAACTGCTGCTCTTTTCTCCCCCGTGAGCGTTGCTCCTACGGGTGCGCCTGATTAGAGGCATGGGCACGCATCATGCTAGTATACCTTGTGCTAGCCTTGCCGGCACCGGAAAGTTATCGTTTGACATAGTTGGTGGGTTGGTGACCGGTTGGTGGTGTGGGTTTTCAAGGAGGGCCTCGTGCCCGAATTCCGCCGGAGGGTGCAAAAGCGCCATGGGCGGGCCGCAGAGGCAGGTCGAAGCCGAGCATTGCCATTGGCCAACACCCAAGAATCGACATCCGCTAGCCGCTAGCCTAGAGTCTGAGATGATGCATGCAAGACTCATGAAACACTGTGTTTCGTGTTCGTCTTCGGTCGATCACCACAAAAACAGCAAGTAACAGCAATAACAACAGCTAGCAGAGGCAACATCAGCATAATCAGGCTCACGGTCCTATTTTTTTGCACCTTCTAGGATCATCCTCGTTGTCATCAGCTGCCATGAGTCATGCGCCATGTGACTCACCATGGTCGCCACATCATCATCATCATCATCATGGTAATCCAGCAGGCGACTATCGTGAATCAGGACCAGTGACCATCAGTCCGACATCAGTCGCCACCCATCAGTCACCACACATCAGTCACCAATGAGTAGCCGCCACGCGTCAATCATGAATCATGCATCGTCAGTCCTCCGCCTCTTCCTCCTCTGCTTATCTTGATCAGTGTCATTGTCTGTCATCATCCTTGTTGGTCGGCATGTTGTCACAAACAACCCACTGGACTTGCCATGAGTGTATCCCATATGGACTTGCCATGAGTGTATCCCATATTAGCATCAGCAGCACTAGGAAGCAACGATGTCCGAGCATACGACAGAACTACAAGCAATTCAAGCCCATATTGGTACTCTTGGTGCTAATGTTGGTGACTCTGTGGGCGTCGACAGGTCCAATCCTACGAGCCCAAACCATCAACTCTGAAAGCCAAACTCTCAAACCCGGACCCTAGCCCGAAAATCTCCAGAGAGAAAGTTTTGGTGCGTGGTGGCAGCGGGTACTTATACCTATCGAGTGTGGGCTGTCAGGACATGCCGACGAAGCCGAAAGGACGACCTCAACTTAACAGCCATCGGTCCTACATACATTCTCCTGCGCTCCACATAGAGACCTAGCGCAAAGCCCTTCAACCCTAATGGCTACAGCCTCAGTTTGACTTGTCGTCGCGATTGCATGGAAAAGGTCCGGTCAGGTGTTTTTCGAGCAGCCTGTGCGGTTGAGACTGGTTTAGGACTGAGCGTTGGTAAAGGGCCTCAAAGGATCCCCGGACTGCAGGTGCCGTGTGACAAGTTTCAGATCCTACCCACGAGCAACCTCAGGTTGTCAAGCCTTGAGTCCCAAAGCCGGAAAGCTCGAAAGAAAGGAAAAATGCTGAGCAGAAGAAAGGCTACCACAAGTAAAGGTGTAGGTAGCAGTGACTGCAGGCAACAGCAATAGCTTCGTGCTCCGGCTGAGTGAAAGCCATGATTCGATTCCTAGACGGGCTGTTTAATCTGAGCTGGAAACAAAGTCTCTCGCATCGCCAAGCGCTGATATCTGATATAGAAGTGTTTTTGTCATCCTAAGCCCTGCAGGCCGCCATAAAACGCATACCAGTCATAACATGTAATGATCAGTCATCGCATTGCTGTTCGAACCCTCCCAAGCAACGTGATCGTCATTGCCTTTACCGCGTTTCAATGCGCTTGTCATTATCGGTGCAGTCACAGGCATCTTGTCCCATCAATACGTGCCGTGCCTGGCAGAATTCTATGCCTCCACTCGACACCCCACGGATTGTCTGCCTTGGGCTCGAGTTCGCGGTTTTTGGACGCGTACCGGACGCCGACCGAAAGCTCTCGCCTCGGATGCAGGCCCTCGTGCGATTGTTTGTATCTTGGGTGGTCGCCAAGTAGCACGACTATGATTATATGCGTTCAAACCACATCCGTATACAAATATACAAATAGTAACATACACATGCACACACACACACACACAATCTGTATATATATATATACACACACACACACATCTCTGTATATGTATATACATGTACACACACGCACATATATACAGATGCATGCACACATGCATATATGGAAACCTGCATGTTTTGATTTTCTCTTGTGATTACTAGCAGCTAGCAATATTCTTAATATTCGTTCTCGTGTGTGTGTGTGTAGAGAGAGAGAGAGAGAGAGAGAGAGAGAGAGAGAGAGAGAGAGTACTGCTCGACAGAAGCTAGAGAGGTAAACAGGAAACGTGACATCACCCGGGGGAAAACAACTTAAACCGTTCTCACACTCCTCCAAAATCACCACAAAATATGGGGGGGCCCTAGCGGCCGAGGGGTCTCAACAGCCTTTCATGCCCGGCGGAAGAGAGAGAGAGAGAGAGAGAGAGAGAGAGAGAGAGAGAGAGAGAGAGAGAGAGAGAGAGAGAGAGAGAGAGAGAGAGAGCGAGCGAGAGAGAGAGCGAGAGAGAGAGAGAGAGAGAGCGAGAGAGAGAGAGAGATGCAGGGAAGGAGGGAGAGGGAGGGAGGGAGGGAGAGCGAGGGAGAGCGAGGGAGAAGGAGGGAGAGGGAGGGAGAGGGAGGGAGAGGGAGGGAGAGGGAGGGAGAGACAGAGAGAGAGCAAAGCAAAGGGACACTCGCTGTCTTGTCACGCCCTTCCAAACGCCCCATAATAACACATGGGGGGCCCATGTGGCCGAAGGGCCTCGCACGCCCTTCACGCCCGGCAGAAGAAGAGAGAGAGCGAGAGAGAGACAGAGAGAGAGAGAGAGAGATAGGATGCCGCCAAGGACGATTTCAGCATGTGCCAGGCCGGGGAAGCCCCAGAGGAGCCCAACTACGACGATGACAAGGACAACCGCGAGCCAGATGACGGAGCTGGGAATGACCCCAGCAGGGCAAGCAGTGCTCCAGCTGAACCACTTGGAGTGCCATCCAGACTGAGCACGCAACAAAAGTGGAGGTTGCAACAGTTACTCCAGGACGGAGTGGTCCACCGACGCAACCCTGATGACACAGATGAGATGCTCTGGAAGAAGTACCGAGCGGACCAAAAGAAGCAGTACAGAGAGTACCGACGTGGGGAGCGACGCAGTGGACGATGGCCAAGTGAGCGCCACAAGTGAGCGGAAGCTTTGAGCACAAAAGGGAAGCTTTCCCTGTAGCCGCTAGCCCTTTTTCTGAAGCCTTGTCCAGATTTTTCCGGGGAAACGCCCCAGCACCACAAACTGTTGAGCGCGTGCATGATGTAAAGTGTTTCCAGCGAGGTGACCCTTTTGCCGTGATGCCCTGCCTTGTAGTTTGTTGCTGTCTTTGCGAGTCTAGCTTTCAAAAGGGGGTACCCTCCAGCCACAGCCGCCTACTCAGTGTGACGTGATGTTACTTGCCATGCTGTTTCCATACAAGCGACACTCTCAGTTCTCTCCAAAGCACAAAGTGCTCTTGTAGCACCAATCCATGACGGGCCGCAGAGCCAACATAGAAAACCCTGCCTTGCCTCCGCTCTGAGGCGTAATTTGAATCGTGCTCGACAGGTCCTTGCCGACCGGGGGATTCCGACGCCTTGCATTCTTTCGTCGTCTTCGCAATATCCCGGGGACCCCCGTCGGCTATCTTTCATTCCACTTGAAGCCATTGAACATTTGTTTGATTCGGGTCCTCCATGTCAATTGTTCTGTTGTTGGCACTTCTTCATTCTGTTACTTTGGCTTCTCGGAGTGCAGTAGCTTAGTGCTGAGCTTGGTCCTTTTTACATGTCCAGAGCCGATGTTTTGAGGAATGCCATAGATTCTCCTCCGCAACAGTCGGGGGCGCACATGCGCGCGGTGTAAGGGGTTAAACCCCTGCACCATAGCCCCGGCGAAAGAAAGAAAGAGAGAGAGATGATATCTTCACGCCTCTCCAAAAACCCCATAACACATGGGGGGCAAATATGGCCGGGGGGCCTCAACAGCCCCTTACGCCCTGCGGAAGAAGAGAGAGAGAGAGAGAGCAGGCTTGCGTGGCATGACGGTCGCCGTGGTTACGGCACAGTTGTGTAGGCAAGCTAGGGGTAGGTTTCGGGGCTCTGTAGCCACATGTGGCTCAAGCCCTAAGACGGTTTGTTCAATGCGCGAAGTCGGACGAACTTGTGAGCCTTACAAGGCTAAAGCCCAAAACAAAGCCCTGAAAGCCCTAAGCCCTAAAAGTTTGGGAAATCTTAGAACTCCAAAGGCACCTAGGCCAAGAGGCCTTGGGCCCCAGAATGGCCTTTCCTTGCGGGATATTTTGCTTTTCTTGCCGGTCTTCGATGACCTAATGTGGATGTAGAATTTCTGGGTTAGGGACTTCCGTGACACCGACTGCACATCCCTGCATCCCAAACTGAATCCCAAACCTGAAGCCGCAAGTGCACACCCCTAGGCCCAAGGCACCCAGCCTCGGAACTCCTTCCCCTTCGCAGGCTCAGGAGTCCCCGATCAAGGCAAACCCACTGGGGCCGGCCACACTGCAGCGCGGGCGCCAAGTCTTCTCCGGTTTTGCATTGTGCCCCGTGCTGAGTTCTCAGTTCCAATTGCTGGCCTTCTCTGCTGAGATTTGGGGTTTGCACGTATGCCTGCCGTACGACTGAGGTAGACGTCAGGGCAGGGATGGGCTCGTATGGCAGGTAGACCAGGATGAGTACTGTGCGTGAGGGCAATGTCCTGCTGCATGCACTCTTTGGTTCAAGGGTAGGTCCTTGAATTCCTCGGCTCCAAACACATTAGCTGTTCTTCCTGATGGAAAAAGCTACCGAATGATGATGGTGATGATGGTGATGATGATGACAACGACCCTGGTTGAGCGGTTGTTTCTCTACAGCATCCGAAGCATGAGCCCATCCCGGTTTCTTGAGTCTGGTTGTTGCATCTCGAAGCTGCTATCTCTAGAATCCAGATCAGAAGAACCACTTGGATTTCATTCACCGAAGGCCGTGTACGGCCCGCCTGGTGGTGAAGAACTCCTTCCTAGAGCCTTTGCCTCAGACGCGCAGGGTTGGTTAGGCCTTCAACCGTGCATCCATACGTCTTCAATCCCAAAGCCGGGGTGCCTTCAACCCTGAGGCCCTAAGCTTGCAAGGGTCCAGGGTTTCACAGTTCGACGCATTTGCAGTTACACCGGCCTGGAACTGCAGGGTGCAGAGGTCTCGGACTGTCGTCCGCATTTTTGATCTGGTTGTCCACCTGGACCGAAGAAGAAATGGGAGCAGAGGGGCGTGGGCATCCCCACACCGATATCTCTGATCAACCAGACATGCATGGCTTTCTGCTCTGGCACTGTCCTCAAGGTAACCTGGAGTCCCGAAACTGAAGACCCCCCTGTCTTTATCCTATACCGCCGGAAGACCAGTGAGAAGAACTTGCGGCCGGCCCTGACCCTCAAGGCTCTGAGGCGCTAAGCTCCGAAGTCTGCCGCCACTGCCACCGCCGCCACTACCACCACCATGGCGGCGCTGACGCTAGAACAACACTCCTCCCAGGATTGAACTGGTATGATGTTGGTAATACGTCGGGATTGCTGTCGCTATCAGCATCATGGATCTGCATGTTCTCTGTTTAAGTGTCAGTGCCGGCAGCACGAACAGGATTACGGGTAGTGCTGCTGACTACTACGCGATGTTCTTCTTGTTACAAAGGACTCGTTTTTTTTCTGCAGCTCTGAGGTCGCTTTTTAACGGATCTCATGGATTTCTCCTGCCCCCCCGCAGAGGCTGGTCGAGAGCTCGCCGAAGCTGCGGGCTCGTCGCGCCCCTTGGCAGAGAGACGGGGGGCTCGTCACCTGTGCCGCAGCTGTTCCTCTTCCTAGCAGGACTCCGGGGTAACTGCGCGCTTTAAAAGAACCTGAGGGAGCACTCTTCCCATTTCTGTTCTGGGTCCGGGTTTTAGGAGAACTTCAGAACTATTCCTGAAAGTAGCCGTGCAGCGTTTTATGGTACCTTTAGTCAAGTGGACATCGCAGGTCCATGGGACAAAGAGTGAATCCGACCTTCCGTATCTCTACGTCCGGGCCTTGGCGGCGGTCTCGTGGGGCAGTTGATGCTTCACTCTTCACGCATTTCTTGTTGAATGTTTATTTCGTTTTGGGAGGCCGGATCGGGGTCAGAGCGAACTCTGAGCCTCTGAAAACCTACTCTCCCTCTGCCGCTGCTGTTGTTGTTGGCGGTTTGAAAGATGGTCAGCCGATTTGACTGCATTCTGTCGGATGTCTTTGGAACTCTGCGTTCAGAGTGCTCCAGCTGTGTGCAGCACTCGCCAGCGGGCTTTGCAGTGAGATGTATGCTGGCGAGCCCGACTTTGCTCTTTCAGCAATTCTAAAGCGCTTCTTGTGTTCACTCGCTTGCCGGCCATGGCATTCCGAGCTTTGTTCGTGTTCCTGAGCATCGCAGGCACCTTCGGCGAGGATGTGGCTTCCGCCTAGGCATCGGATGACGTGTGCGAAGGGCAGGATTGCAGCCTGGAGCTCCACCGGCTGCGCGGCATGAAAGTCAACTACCTGGAGGCTTTGGAGGATGTCTCCGATGAAGAGGAAGAAGCCGTGCAAGTGGAGGAGGAAGCCGAGGAGGAGGAGGAGGCTGAGGTCGAAGGCGGTGGCTGCACCGGTGCTGCAGACATGAAGATTTGGAAGAGTGGAGGCAAGAAGAGCTTCGATGCAGCCCTCAACAGCTGCGGCCGTGGCTGCGCTGCTGGCTTCCCTTGCACCAAGGACAGCATGTCGTTTTGGGCCGGAAGAGCCGAGTGCAAACACCCTGGGGGAGTTGAGTAGTATCTTTGGTCACGTGTCACAAGTATTTCCGGGTTGGCATGTGGGGGTGTTATCCATAGTTCATTGTTCGTGATTGCTGGAGTGCATGCTTGCGGTGTAGTGTAGCTTCAGCCCATGCAGAGACAGTTTCAGAAGCAGCATGCAGACGAACGAAGGACTGTATGGAGAAAAAGGGCTACTCGGGCAGCTGCGCATCCTGCATGGCCCAGCTGGTGGGCTGTTCGAGGGATCACTGCATGAACCAGTGCATCTCAATTGCAGAAGCAGAGGATGTTCGAGTTTGTAACATTCAGCCCCCTGTCATTCCAGATCCGTAAGAAACCCGCATTGTGCACAGTCGGGTGCCCTTCAAACCTATCTGTGCAGCTCCTGTAGGCATCACCAACGACAAGGCTCCTGCTTGCACGCATTGCGTCAAGTCCGCCTGCCGCCCGAAGATGAAGGCTTGCAGCGGGCTCGCTGTCGGCGGCCACTGAGCAGATCTGAGCAGGCCGTGCTGAACCACAGTGGAAGCACCAGTCCACCCAATGCGCTGGATCTGGCTGCGCCAGTTTTGCTGGGACTATGACGTCCTGGAAGCACCACTGGCTCATTCCAGGATCTGGTGTACTTCCAGACCAGTGAACCCGTCGTGGTGAGTTCTACCCCTTGGAACGGGGTTCGTGTGCAGTCGACGTTGTCATGTCTGCAGTGGAGAAACACAGCAATCAGCGCATGGTGTCGCTTCTCAGAGAGCACACGGGTGAAATCAGCAATCAGCATGCTAGGATCGCGAAGCAGATGCAGATGCTCAAGTCTTGATCTGCATGCTGCATGCCTACTAGAGCTGCTAGTATGCTCGTGCAGAGTCTTGCTTCTTCCCAACTGAAGCCCCATGGCCTAAGTCGTAGTCGCGACAGCCGCCACAACCCTAAACCGCTAAACCCTGAGCCGGATCGCTGCCAAGGAGCCCTACGAGCTGCCCCATGAGCCGAGTGGGCCGGGGGCCTCAGATCCGCAGAAGGGCCCTGGGGGCATCTGTGTAGGGGGGCTGAGTGCACGGTTTCAGGTTTAGTGGTTCAGGACTCTTTCGTTTTTGAATACATTGTTTGGGTTTCAGGTCTGGTCGCTCAGGGTTTTATGGCAGCCTGAGAAGCCCCAGTTCCTGAAACCATGGGGTGCTGCGAAGGGCTTTTTTTGTTGGCGTTGAACTGATCAGGGCTTTCATTGAGGGAAGACCTCGTAACGACGGTGATCGCGTCAGCTTACGTCAAGTCGAGCTTCGAGCCGACGAGGTCTGTGTACTGTGGTCAGGAGAAGTTGGTGCTGCACAGGGCCATACAAGCTTCCCTTGCAAGGCCTGCAGAAGCTAGAAGCCCTAAGGCAAGAGCTTCACCGATGCTATATTCCTTGGGGTTCCTGAATAGATACCATAACCATAATCTACCACCAAAGCCCTACTCTAGTCATTGAGGCCCCTGTTTCATTTCAACCCGCGAAACCCGCAGTTGTGGAACTTGGTGGCTCCCGCGAGAGTCGACTCTGGCCCCAAACCCTGTGCGACAGGATGCTCCTGCCGATCTTGCTATGCAAAGGTGCAGCGTGTCCTAACAAGGTTACCGACCCCATCGGCTGTATCAGAAGGTCTTTATGTTGCAGCCCGCCCATCAAGTGCTCAGACGCCCATCGCATCCTCCCCTGCTTCAAAGCCATGGCTCTCCCGATGAAGACCATGAAGAAGGCCAGGGATAAAGCCCGAAGCCTCACACGGCCGCACGACCGGTGAACCCTCTACAAAACAAGGGACCAGAAGCCGGCTCCCAAAACGCTTGGAGATCCCAAGCCCATCCACTCCCCCTGAAGAAGGCAATGAAGGGCGCCATGAAGGCAAAGGCCATGAAGGCCAAACCGATGAAGGCCGAGCCGATGGTTGATGATGTCAGAGAACCCAAAGCTTGAGATATTCGAAGTCCGTACGGTGACTGAAAACTTGAATCTTAACCGACCGACCACCAGAAGATTAGTCTGAGCCAGTGTTGGAGAGTACGGTCGGATGTCTCGCGAAGATGTCTGGTCCCCGCCCCGATATTTCGTGTCTTTTGGCAAGGCAATGAAAAAGAAGACCATCAGCAAGATCGCGCGGGGCAAACTCGCGAAGTCGGTGGTCTTCAACGGCAGGAAGGACACCTCGGCCGAGTTGTTGATCTGTTTCGATTTTCTCATATTCTGGCAAAGCTGGGTAAGACACGGATGATTTTGGGCACTTGTCATGGTTTGCATAGCTGGGCTGGGGGAAATCTATGGGAACTCGTTTCGGCACTGCGGTGGGCCTTATCGAGGGCAAGACCGGCTTTGCTACAGAGCAGTACAGTGAGCGGCGAGTTGGCAAGGTCCTCCGCATCTCCTCACTGCTCCTCCTCCTCCCCTCCTCACGCTCCTCTGAGTCTCCTCTCTTCTTCTTCTTCTTCTTGTCCTTTCTCATGTTCAGCTTACTTCAAAGTCACCAAACATTTCTGGCATCTTCCCATCTTCAGCTTCTTCACATATCATTTTTCTTAATTATCTGAATCATGTACAGCTCCGTTGATTCTGGCCATCATCGTCCTTCGTGTCTTATTCCGGTTGTCGACGGTCACCATCGTCATCACCATAGTCATCATCAGCATCATCATCACCATCATCATGAGAATCCCACATTGTGGTTATCATCATCGTCATCGCCATCACCATCACCATCACCATCACCGTCATCATCATCATCAGCATCATCTTCATCATCCAGCACCAGCACCAGCACCAACACCAGCACCAGCACCACCTCCAGCGCCAGCGCCAGCGGCACCAGCAGCACCACCAGCAGCACCACCAGCAGCAGCACCACCACCACCACCACCACCACCACCACCACCACCACCACCACCACCACCACCACCACCACCACCACCACCACCAGCACCACCAGCACCACCAGCACCACCAGCACCACCAGCACCACCAGCACCACCAGCACCACCAGCACCACCACCACCAGCACCACCAGCACCACCAGAGCACCACCAGCACCACCAGCACACCAGCACCACCAGCACCACCACACCCACCACCAGCACCACCAGCACCAGCCCACCACCACCACCAGCACCACCAGCACCACCAGCACCACCAGCACCACCACCACCACCACCACCACCACCACCACCACCACCACCACCACCACCACCACCACCACCACCACCACCACGATCATCATCATCATCATCATCATCATCATCATCATCATCTTCATCATCTTCATCATCATCATCATCATCATCATCCACAACGTCAGTATCATCATCATCACCACCTCAACATCAGCAACCATCATCATCATCATCACCATCATCTTCGTCATCATATTCATCATATTCATCATCAGCATCATCGCCATCATATCCATGATACTTTTCGTCGCCGTCGTCGTCATCATGGTCATCGTCATCTTCAGCATCGGAAGCAGCGGCAGTCGCCGCAGCGGCAGTGGCAACGGCAGCAGCAACATCATCGTCGTCCTAGTGACCATCGTCATCATGATCATGTTCGTCGTCCTCGCTGTTTTCATCGACATCATCATCACTCCCCCGCGGCCTTGAAGGAGAAGACCTACACTGGCCTCCACAAGACGGACTTGATGAAGAATAAGGACGGCCGCATTGTCACCAAGAAGCAGCACGCCAAGGGCAAGGCCCTGTTCCAGCAGTTCGCAAAGAAATGGGTCGATGCGGTCAGCGCGGCGAGGAAGGAACTCGGCCTGAAGGGATTCTGCGCGGTTGGCGGCAAGAGCGCCCAGGGAAAGGCGCTCTATGCCAAGGCGAAGGCGATTTACGCAGCTTAAGAGGGAGAGAGGAGCGGCCTGCTTTCGTGGTAGTTCACGGAGTGGGCCACCTTTGGAGTTCGCAACAGCTGCTGTCTGTACAGAAGTTTGATTCAGACGCTGTTGTGTATTGTGCGCCGGCAAAGCTTTTCTGACAGACGTCGATCACGAGCCCCAGCACTCCACTCCTGATTGAAGGCGAAAGCGCAAAATGTCACCGCATGCATGTCTTGACCAGTCAAGCCCAAACCCTAAACCCAAGGCCCGGACGGAACTGGAGTAACCTTCTTCTGCCGCGCGAAAAGCTGATGGTGCAAGGCTGAGTGACGACGACACAGACATCGAAACTGGTCGCTGGCCTCGGAAATGTTCACACCGTGCAAGCTGACATTTTTTTGGCAGCGGGGGGGGTGGGGGTGGGGTCGCAGGGTTTCCGGCCTAGCGTTCAACGGTCGTGGGCTTGTTCTTGCTTCATCTTTGCGTTGCATTATTGAGGCGGGCAACTCATTCTTTGATGCATTACATCGGCCCCTGTGGACCAACGGTTTCGAGAAAGCGCTTAAGGCTTGAGGGATTCCTGTTCAGTTCGGGCTCGGCTGCCTGACCAAATGCATCTTAATTTGCAATACTCTTCTTACTTTCGCAGTTCTGTACACGACTCAAATTGCTTGGACTATGGTTCTGACTCGGCCGGCATGGCTATCCCCAGTACCTTGCCCAGTGTTCGCACGAGCGAAAGTTCTAACTTCTGAAGCCTCAGCTTCAAGCTGTCAGATACCAAGAAAGCCCGAAGCCCTGACAAGGCTCCTCCCCAGACTACGAAGGCGAAGAGGCCGACCGGACGACCCAGGGTTCTTCTCCCGGGGTAGGGGATTTTAGCATTACCTGCATCTCGGAAGTTTCTTACTTGGGCCCTGCACTCCGAAGCCAGAGCCGCTGAGCAGTAGGCTTTGCTTTCGGTGCTTTTCTGCCTGTGCAAGCTTTTCGAGGTGCTCGAAGCACGCTTTGAGCGGTTTTCGCTCTTCGTCTTGGATACTCCTAGGTCCTAGATCTTGTCAAACCGTCGACGTCATGAACGCATGTTCAGGGTATGTTCCCGGTCTTCCTCCGGGAGGCAGCCAAAGGGCTAACACCCGAAACTCTGGAAACTCCGGATGCTGATAACTTCGGCATTTCTCAGAAATAACGCAGCCTGACATCCACCTGCACATTGGTGTCACGCCGCAGTCGGAAATTCGGCGGATGTTTCAGGCCACAGCCGACATGCCGAATTGCATGGGCAGGCTTGCCATCCAGAGTCTAGATAGAGCCTCTCCCCACTTTCACATCTCTAAACCCCCTTTTGGCTTGAACCCCGCAGCCCTGAGCCCTAAAGATTTCAACCCCAAGCCCCAACTCCTGAACAGCTCTTCGCAGGAGTGGGATACCGAGGCTGGCTCTAGCAGCGGGCAGGCTGGTCTGCGTTTGAGGATTCTAGGCAGCCAGTTGGGGGTTTCCGGTTGAGGGTTGAAACGGATGCAAGCGCGGGACAAACCCGAGAGGCCCTGGCTCTTGAGGGTTACGGCTTGAGTTTCAGGTGGGTTTCGGATTTGGAGTTTTGCCTCTAGTACAAAACTCTGATGTTTCCTCGGATGGGGGAGTTGGTTCGAAGGGCTTCGAGGTTACTTTGGTTGTTGAAGGACCAGGTCCGTGCGCAGATGCAAAACCGGAACTCCAAACCACAAGGGCCAAGGGTCTTTGGTTGTGGGGATGTTTTGACGTTCAGATTGTTTTTCAGTTTCGAAGCTGTTGTCAAGTCCTTGGTTGAGCAACACTGATTTTAGCTTGCCTTTTGATGCCTAGTCGACGGGCATGTGGGGCTGCACGGCTGAATCTTTACGCTGGGGGACCAGAAGCCACGGTCGTAACATACCGTCTTCACATGTTCCTATGTCGTTGCCGACGCTATTCATAGTTAGAACCGATCCCTATCCCATCTTGTCCATTCCGGAATGATGTGATGTCCATGAGGCTTTGGATCTGATTCCCATTAATTTCTTGACAAAGCCCAGGCGCATTCTTTAAGAGCGGTTTCAGGACTCGCCATAGCATAGTCACAGCCCACTACTCCAATCAATAACGCCAAAGTCCCAACCCCTGGATCCAAACGCCAGCTTAAGTTCTAAGTCCTAGACTCTTCTTGTGACCCTGAAACCTAGATCTAACGCGCCAACGCCCAAAAGCCGCGAAACCCTGTCGGCCGTAGGCCCTTGAAGCCTGAAGCCCCTTGTGCCCCTTTGGGGCTTTCAGTCCTAAAGCCCCCCCAACCACCCGACACCCGAACCCCAAGTCCGAATCCTCAAAGCTCGAAGCCACCGTCAGGAGGCCCGAGGCAAGACCTCGCCGAGGAAGGAATACCCGAAGGCCACCGCCTTAGGGCCTTGGTTCTGGGAGCGATTCAGAGCTTTGCAGAGCGTCTCTCAGGGTAAAGAGGTCTGAGCGCGGTAAAGGCTTTCAAAGTTTAGGAGTTTTGAGTCTGTGACAGTCTGACAGGGTTTTGGTTTTGGTTTGTGTGGGTGAGGAAGGGTTGAGGGTTACCCAGGTGTCCGGGCTTGTGAATACGGATCTGAGAGGGTGTTATGGGCTCCTTCGCTGAAAACACGATCCTTCTGTTCAGTTTTTAGTATGGCTTTCTCATTGGGTGATCATCGTGTTTAGTTGGGTATCACTTTGAGGATTCGTACGCTCACTACCTAGAACATCTTATTGGCTGCTCAGGTCGGTTCACGAGCCATGAGCCATGCTGCACCGAAAAGAGCTTCCTAATCATACGTCTTCCTTCAACCCCCTCCCCCAACCTACCTCCTTTCCTGCTTCGCAAGACATTCCCACACCTCACGTAGATAGTTTTCTTGAGAAGGATACCGTTGGACAGGTCGAGATTCCGTTGCCCCCGGTATCTCCAAGCGCCGCACACCTGGCATACCAGAAAGAAACCCTAATCCTTGACTCAATAGGTCGTATACACCCTAGACTCTGAACCACCTTCCGTAATCTGAGCCTAAACCCCAGAACCCTAAAACCCGTCAAGGGCCGGTATGTTGGGGCTGTCTTGCTTCAGATTTGCTCGAGGCTTGGCAGGGTTTCACAGGCATAGATGAAGTGATGCAAGGCAAAGAAGCACGTATGTACGTAAGTGAGGAAGGAACCAGGCAAACAGGGAAGCACGTAAGCTAAGGAATAAATGAGAACGTGAGCTTGCATGACAGTGCAAACATAGAAAAAGACTCAACAACTTGTTTGTTTACATCCCCACTCATGTATATACACGCGTACATATACATACATGTATATGTCTCTGTATATGTATTGTATGTATATCCATATTCAATGCATTCGTATATGTGTATGTATACACCAGGTTCCGAATGAAGACTCGACGTCACATCTCCAAACCTTATAGTCCGAAGATAATAGATCCCCCCAAACTCCACTCAAATTATTGAGTCTCCGACAGTAAGCTCTGCAGCCGTTGAATTCGAAGCAATAAAAAAGGAGCAGGCCCGATCGGGTTTATATAGGGTTAGTATCTGCGGGGTTGAGGAAGCCGAAACCCTGAGGCCTTTCGCTTCTGATGAGCTAGGGTGAGCTGCACTAGCGAGGGTCTGTCAGGAAAGGCCAGCACAAGCTTCGATGCCTCTGCATTGAGTCCTTTCCTATGCATGCCCGAAGAGCGCTTCAAAGGGTTCACGGGTTCCTGACAAGGGCTCCTCCCTGCTCCGGTGCTCCGGCTCGGAAGGCGGAATTGTGTGAGCATCCAACTCGCCTGTTGTCAGTACTTCTGCTTCTTCTATGGCTTCATCATGATGACTGTTTTAGTGGCCAGGTTTGCATTCTTACTGTAGGATTAAGCTGGGAACCCAAGCAAGTTTGAAGTCCCAGAGCCGTGGGGACCAGTCATGTTCCGACTCCTGCTCCATGCTGCCGGCGGCGTGCGTGGCACGCCAACTTCAGGACTTCGGGCAAGAAATGAGGGTTCGGGGTTTATGAGTTTAGGGTTTCGGTGATCAGGGTTGGGGTTTAGAGCCTACTGGGGTTCAAGGGTGTAGGGGACTAGGGCTCCGGGTGGCTTAGGGTAGAGCAACTGTTATGCGCGATGTCAGCTTGGGAGGAGGGATTGCATTTAGCTTGAGGGCGTCCTCCTTTTGGCTTTTGCCCGCTCAGATTCCCCGAAGCCCCAAGCTCCGGACTGAACGAATTCCCCAAGCACAAAAACCGCTGAGCTTCAAATCCAAAAGCCGTGAACCTCAACACTTTGAGCAATTTTCTCGCGATGCTTTAGGTTGAGAGTTTGGGGCCTCAATTTGGGGTGATGCCGGCAAGAGATTGAAACCTACGTAAGCCCAGTTGAACCTCAGCCCGAAACCCAAATCCCTAAGAACGCGCTTCTACTTCTGTGTCGTTCGGGAACCATTTTGGTGCAGGTGCTGGGATGCTGGCAGCCGGTGCGCTGCTCATGTCGGATGATCGTGGCCGCAGGACAGTCGGGAACAAACATTGAGCGTTCAAGGAGTTGCGGCGGGGCGGGGGAAAGGGGCTGATTTAGGGATCGAGACATGGGTTTGGAGACGGATTGGGGACGGCGGCTCAGCGTTTGAAAGCTCCAAAGCCCGGACTCCAAGTGCTCAACCTTCAACACTGAACTTTCCCAGTTGACACCACAAGGCCTTGAATTGGGAAAACGTTATGTCTGATAGCCAAAGTTCCCCCACCACGAAAGCACGAGAGGGTAGAGGATTGGGATGTGGGCCGAGACATTCGAGCTTCGGCCTTCGGTTTGATTTTTCTCCGTAGAAATCGCTTCCTTGTGTTCTGAATTCGAAGATGTGTTTTGCGGAAGCCCAGCCCTTGAGCTCTAAACTTGCAGCTAGACTCCAAATCCTCACTCCCCCACCAGCCACCGGGTTTGCGGCTCTTGCCCTGTGAGGCCTTCGGGCTGCTCGGGTGCGGCAGCTCAAAGACGCTTCGATGCGATGGTTTCAATCGTCCTCAGGCCCTTGCAGGACTTTGCGCAGTGTAGACCGGAAACCCCGCCTACCCAAACCCCAACCCCTACACCCGAGAACCTTGAGCCTTCTTGGGGTACTTGGGACTTGGACTTGGCAGCGCTGAGACTTGGTTATGCTTAGGTCAGGGTTAGAACACAGGGGGAGGGGCCGTTCGGGTTTAGTATTAAGAACACGGGGCGGCTTGCTGCCACACACCTGTAGTCGGAGTTTCCGAGAGCAGCGGACCCCTCGAAGAGGGGACCGCAGAAAGCTTGAGCTCAACCCGCACACCTTACACGACCCCAGCTCGCTCTAAAACTCGAAAGCAAACCCAGGTCCTCCTCCCGCTCCTCGGGCCCAGCGCCTGCGAGCTGCTTCCTTCCTGCGGGCCGTGGACCGGACGAGGCTGGACTGCGTGCGTTCTGAGCTGTTTCGGGCCTGCATGGAAGTAGGATGGTAGTGGCAGAAGTCGTGCAGTAGTAATAGTAATAGTAGTAGTAGTAGTAGTAGTAGTAGTAGTAGTAGTAGTAGTAGTAGTAGTAGTAGTAGTAGTAGTAGTAGTAGTAGTAGCAGTCGTAGTGGTAGTGGTAGCGGTAGTGGAAGTGGTAGTGGTAGTGGTAGTGGTCGTTTCGTTTTCGTTTTACATCCGCTAAGGAGGTCCTAGCTGTGCGACAGGATAGATAGGTCAGGCTTTAAGCCCGGTCGCATAGCGACGCATCAAAGGTTGATGCACCATCCTGAGAAGCAGAGCTCAATGCCCCGCCCCGAAGGGCCCGTTAAGCAATGAGTGGAGACAGCGTTCCGGAATGCAAGATGCGAAGTTGTACATATGATTGCACGTGAATACAGAGACAAAGCACCATACGACTCATAAAGGAGTGAATGACACAGATTCACTGCCGGTTTACGGCAAATCGTCAAGCCTCACTCAGTCAGTACTCACAGCCTGGCGCCTTGTGCAGCTCAGTCCGCCGCCCGTACCAGCACTGTGTGGCACGCGGAACCTCACCCAGGGGACTCTCAGTCAGGAGAAGGCAGAAGCAAAAAGCCACGACGTCGTAGCTGATCTTGGCTCTTCGCCGGCAGGCGATCCACTGCTCTGGCGTGGTATGCCACTAGTACCATCCTGTCCGCTCCTCCCCATGGGTAGGTGGCATGCAATGTGGTAGGGCTCAGCTGGATGTATGGTCGCGACACGTTTCTCAGGATTCCGGAGGGTCCGTCTCCTCCAACCGTACTGATCCATCGACGTCCGCCTGCCATAACTGTCCGCCCTTCCAGCGATTGCACGGGATCAACAGGTTCGAAGTGCCAGGTGCATTCCCAGTGTCACGATGCACATAATGTAAAGTGTTAACCAGAAATGCGCAACTGCTGAACCGATGATCCTCCTTAGCGCCACGAACCACCGAGGCGAGCCACGTAGTAAGCCATGGAAAAAGACCTGTGTTGGTCTGAACTCCCCGGAGCCCTCCGCCTCCAATCGAATATGCACCTGTAAGAAACACCCTTTGAAGTCCGCCGGCGGCGCCATCAGAGGTTGAGTTTTGCCGTCGCTTCACCTGTGACTGTTCCGGAAGTAGGGCTGCCAGCGCACAAAAGTCTTGGATGCTACAAGAGCCGCGGCGGCAGACGTTGTACGCCAGATGCTCCGCCGCCTTCGCGCCCGGAGCGGGCGCTCCCGGAAGAGGAACATCCGTGGGTAACCGGAGTGGGTAATCAAGAGCTGCCTCCTCCTGGCTAATATTCCATAGATCACTCCAAACCGTGGTTGGCTCGATGATGGCAACAGATACATCCGAGTCTGAGTCGGGGTCCCGAGCCGCGGGATCCAAGTCCTGATCGTTGTTGCGGCAGTCATCTCCAGCATGGGAGGCCATGTCCATGTCCTGTGAAGGCGCTGCTGACGGTGACATTGAAGGTGGAGTTGGAGCTGGAGCTCCAGCTCCCGGTGTAGCTCTTGATGCCCTCGATCGAGATCGAGAGCGTGGCCTCAGAGATAGTCGGGAGCCTTCCCACAAACGCTCACCTGAACCCACACTGATTTCATCGCGAGATTCACCGCGGGGGCTCAGGCTCACAGAAGCCAGTGAACAACGAGATGGGGTAGGTGACGGTGGGTCATCATCAGGATCTTTGTAGGTGCCAAACGCCATGCCCAGTATGGATGGTTGTTCCAGGTCCCAGACATCTTGAGGCACACCATCCGATTTTCGTGGTAGCAAGAGAAAAGTTTGCGAGCCAAGGCACCATTCCTGGGTAGGTCCAGCGAGGATCAAAGTGAAAGACAGGGGAGGGGGACTACATGTGGGACTCATGTGGGGAATGGTGCTTTAGGGCAAACCCCATTGACAACCACATTGGTGGAACGATGGTGAAGGGTGATGCTCGTGTGGTCGCCGAGGATGCTGAGAATATTAGGGTGTGGCTCGGAATCGGGGGATTATGGGTATACCGTAGGCATTGCTGGGGTGACAAAGGGGCAATAGCAACTGCGTGAGACCTAAGTGCTGGTACCTAAATGCGTGACTTGATGGATGCAGCCAGCCAATGGCAGCGCAAGCGCGTGTCACTGCGCAGGCACACTAGGTGATGCACTGGGCGATGCACTAGGGTATTGGAGAGTGCCTGCAACTCATCTGGCCAAACGCAGTGTCTCAAGCCCTTTGTTTTGCTCGAGCTCGGAGCGCCAACGCCATCCCCGCCCCAGTCATCTGCAGCAGGTGAGCCCCTCACAACCTGGAGATAAGGTGGGGGCAGTGGGGGAGAGAAAAGCAAGGCAGCTACACACGCTCGAACATCCCCGTGGCACACCTATGTCAGTTGTGCCCCGTGCGCCGGCATATCAGAAGATACACCTGGCGCGAGGCATAGGGTGTGCGGGAACTCGGGTCGGCAGCCGGCCAAGGTCGTGGCATGGTGTTGTCATCAAAAAGCCAGGCCTGAGCCGGATCGTGAACGACTGCGGTATAGTGACCCTGTTCTACTTGGGGACCGTGATGCAGAATGGCAGCACACACCCGGTACTGGATATTACTGGACTCCAGTCCTACGTCCGAAAATAATGGAACGTGAACGTCCAAACCCCAACTGATAAGACCCGTGTGCTTACGTATCCCCCGTCGGGTTTCAGTGAACCTGGAAAGGCGGATAATAAGCACAGTGGGTGGCTGGCTGAGAGCATGAATGCTATGCTGATAGTGCCATCCATGCAACAAGGACTGAACCGTATGCGCACCCCCCTAGAGGGAAGGTCTACGGAGACGGACTCTAGACAGCTGCCACCGTCCTGTATCACAATCCTGCCGAGCTCCTGGCCTCTAGCCTCCCACGCTCCAGAGAACGGTTGTGAACCTAGGAGGGGGATGATGTGGGATAGTAGTTCCGCTGCATCATGCTGTCGAGTGGGCTGCGCCCAGTTATGAAGCAGGCGTGCCCAAGGTTGACACCGCAGGAGGTGCAACGGAGAGACCCCATGGGTGGTCAACAGCTGCAGCGCCCTGACGCCCAATGCGGACATGTCGACAAGGAGGGAGGGTGCACATGTGAGCGTCCAGGTGAGGCAGACCGCTACTGAGTTGAGATAGCATACATTGGCATGATTGGCAAGCACTAAGCGCCTCAGCGAAGGAGTTTCTGAATCGCCCGAATCAGGGGCGGGCGGCCGTACCCCTCCTGTCGAAAGGAGGTGCCGATGATCTGGAACAATGCCAGCCCTCGGAGACGTTCCAACTGCTGGTACAGCTCCTCGGATCCCTTGGCTCGCAGCCCCACATCCGCCTGGAAAGCCACCGTGCCCTGCATATCGGCATGAAGCTCCCTCCTGGCCGTGAAGCGAGTGATCGTATCGCCGTTGATCAGCCTGAGCAGTGTCTCCAGCGATTCCTGAGCCTGGGTTTGCGTGAGCGCCTGTCTCTCCGGATCGATCTCCAGGGATTGATGCGTGGGATTCCAGCGTTGATAGTTCCAGCATCCCGCTTCCGTCATCCATCCACTTTTGAGGGCGTAGGCCTTGTTCTCCTGGTTCATCTGTACATGCTTGTCCTTGAGGTGTGCAATGATTCCCCAGAACAAGGCCACTCGAAGAGAGACTCGGGTCGGAGAGATTGTCTCCGCCTGGGCCGCATCGTGCCACTTGGTGGCCAACTCCGCCAGCATCGGCAGGATCGAATGGTCGCCGGATCGGACCCAGAAGACCCACCCTGTCGCTCGGCGAAGCACATTGATCGAGGCCTTGCATGATCACCGCTCTCGCGACCATCTGCAACAGCTCTCCGTCCTGATCCTGGTCCTCGGAGCCACCCTGCCAGGTTCCCCTGGGTCGGTTCTGTGGCTGTGGACCGCGACCTTGGAAGCACTTGCCCCTGCCACCCAGCGGAAACGTCCCTCTGCCCACCTTGTTCACGCGGCCGTCCGTGGACGACTGAGCCGGTTCCTGTGCCCCCCTCTTCCCGATCACCGCTCCGAAGGACTCCTGTAGCTGAGACAGCACATCCTCCGTGGCTTGGGTTCTCTGAGCTCCGGCCATCGCTAGAAGGAAAAAGTATGCTCAAGAGGCAGCTTTGCCACAGATTCACACAGTGCGATAGGTGCTGTCTGGGGTGTCTGTGTGAAGTGTTACAGTAGAGGCAGGGATTCATGGCGATCCCAACACGTGGCATGAGACGTTCAGCTTGAGCCGCCGCACTGTGAAACGATGCAGAGTGGATGCTGCGATAATGGTTGCGAAGTGCCGTAGGTGAGGCCATCCATTGACCGCGCAAGCCACAGTGACTTTTAAGTTGGGCTTGCAGCGAGTGACGCAAAAGGGCCGAGACCCCATCCTGTTGGAGAACACTCCGGACCTGCACCAGAAGAGAACATTCAGATGGGATTGTTCTGGCATGGTCTGGCACGCGTGGCACTGCATCTGGAGCCTCACTGTTCATATTTAGCCCCCCGAGTCATCCGCCAGTGGTCGACCTGAAGCGGGTTGAGGTGAGACATCAGGTGCGGCAGGGGGCGATGCATCCGTCATAGAGGCAGACGCCCTGTGAGTGGCGGGCAACGGCATCTGGGGACAACTCCAGGAGCTTATGTGTTTGGCTAACACTTCCCATCGAGTGAAAGCGTGCCTACAGTGAGCGCATGTAGGGACCCCATCTTATAATGAGTGCGTCGCTCGATCAAAGGCTTGAGGCTCAATTTTGATCTTGTGCGAGCGGGCCATGTGGAGCTTCAGAGCTTTCCTCGTGTCCAAGATTTTGGGGCATTGCGGACACTGAAAGAGCTCCGTCGACCCGGTGGGGGCCGGTGACGGTGGAGGTGGTGATGGTGGTGGAGGTGGTGGAACCATGCTATGTGGTCCTGGGAACTCTTCTGTGATGTGTGACGCAGAGGGCGCCTCAGGCTCCGGCAAAGATACCTGCGCATCCAGCAGATCTGCTTCCACCTGGTTGTGATCCGCAGGAGGCGATTGCAGCGGGTCATGGACGAACCCGGGGCCAGGGCCGGCATCCCCACCGGTTTCTGTGGGTTCCGCAAGGCCTGCAGCTAGAAAGCGATTCCACGGGTGTTCAAAGGGCATGACATGTGCATCATCGGGTTCCTGTCGGCCGAAAGAAGCCTCAAAGGTGCGACGAAGCGCAGCCCTTGGGAGTCGTACCTGGAGACGTTCTGCCAGGCTGACGTCGGATTCATGTGTCAGATGGGCTGGACATCTAGCAATACCCCGTAGATGCTTCATAACTAGGGTCCGCAACGTGCAATGATGTTCCTCCGTCAGACCACAAGTTTCCAAACCGTACGCTAGACTAGGCCAGACTGTGGCTCTCCAGAGACGAAGTCTATGATGTAGCGTCAGTGTGCGATATGCGTGATACTCCTCGAAGGCGAGCGTGCGTGGCTTTGGCCTGTTGAAGGCGTTTGCGGAGAGTGGCGGCAGCTGACAATGCATATGTGGTCACAGCGCCTAAGTAGTCAGCCTGTTTGACTAGTGGTAGGTATTCTTCCCCCGTTTTGACATGGATTCGAAGTAGGCGGCCATCGTCTGTCTGTTTGGTCAACTTCTGTAGCGCTGTACCCCTCTGTGCGCCGTCCATGGTAAGGATGGCCTGCGCCTTGGTGGCGTGGACACTCATGCCATGCGCACGTAGTGTGGATATGATAAACCCTATACTAGCGCATAACTGCTCAAGCCCCGCGTAGCCCCTGAAAAGATCCCCTAAGTGGAAGTCATCCGCGTACAGGGTAAGGCAGCGGGATACCCAGGCATCAGATAGGCGACTCGCAATACGTTTAGTGACAAGAGTCATAAAGCAGGCGAACAGTAGTGGACTGGCAGGACATCCTTGTTTGACGCCCCTGGTAGTGGGGATGTCAGCATGCAACTGATCTATGTAAAGGTCATACTTGCACTGTGAAAGCCAAGACATGAGAAGCTCGGCAGGCGCACCAGAAACGCCTGCATCGTGCAGTGCCTCAGCCACCAGGTGGTGAGGCACCATATCAAATGCAGATGAGAGATCCAAGCACACCTGCAGCCCCCCTTGTAGGGGGGGAGGCTTCACCCCAAGACGTTTCAGGTGAGGATCCCTAGTGCTAGGGGTGCGCTGTTCCCGAACCGCAGAGTTATGTGCAAACACCCGTTTAAGTGCATCTTGAGTAGATCTCCCACCGATGTAAGCAAACTGGGGACTGCTCCGGATGTAGGTTTCTAAGTCGAACCTGACCTTAGACATGACCATCGCTATCGTGGCCTTGCCCAGTGCGTCCAGCAACCCGACGGGTCTGAAGTCTTTGGGTGAGGAGCCGGGTTTATTGGGCTTAAGTAGAAGGGCCAATGTGGCGGATGTCCAGGGTTCGGGCGGTGTGAGGGGAGCCTCGCTCCAACGACTATTCAAAATCCGGGTGAGGTGTGGAGAGATCATGTCCGAGCATAAGCGCCAGGCCGCCCCGGGTACCGTGCCTGGGGCGCCGGCCTTCCCGGCCGGCAGTTTATCCAAGAAATGCTGGACCTCTGGCGTCTCAACACACAGCGTGGGCGGTTCAGCATCCGGACTACTGGGGAGAGCCAGGGGCTGGGCAGAGTTGCCATGGTTAAAGACCTGAAGGAAATGTGTGCGCATCACTTCCAGTTCCTCTGTTGATGAAAGGATTTGGCCTCCCTTGCTCATCTGGAACTTCCGAAAGCGTCCCTTCGGTGCTAGTTTATCGATGAGCTGATAGAAGAGACGAGATTGGCCGGAACTGATGGCCTGCTCTGCCTCCGTCAGCAGGTTTTGCCTCCTGGCTCGACGAAGTGTTTTGCCTTGTTGCTGTGCACCCCGATGCATGCGCAAGTACTTCATACTATGGTACCAGCAGCGGAACAAGGCCTGCTTGCAATATGCTGCACCTGGGCGCTGAGCCCATCGCCTCAAGAGGCGGAGGTGTCCCCACATGTGCGCAGCGTACTGCTGGAGAGTACCGTCCTGCCAGGGACGTGGGCCCTGGACCGGAGGTTTTCGGGGGAAGTGCTTAACAGCAATAGCATATACAGCGTCGTGCAAACCCTGAAGCTCCTGACCTACTTGGGGGAGGCATGATTGGAGCTCCTGTCGGAAGGAGCTGACGCGCTCATCGGTTTGGCCTGCCAGTGCGTCTGCAATGGCATGTCTATCGATCTGCAAGGTGCGTTGCGGGGCTCCTGTGCGTTGCCATGGACACCAGTGCCAAGGGATGCGTGCAAAGACCGGGTAATGTTTGGGTCCGCCTCGCCACGCCCCCACCGGATACTCATGCAGCGGGCTGGCCATGCGGGAAAATCTGTCTGCCATATCACATCGGATGAGAAGAAAGTCAATGTGGGAACGCTGGGAGCCCCAGGCAAAGGTATGTGGAGAGCCAGAGTCAGCAAAGGTATTGATGGCACATAGACCAAGACCTACTAGGAGTGCCTGGAAGTCTTCCTGATCCAGGGCCCAATTGGGCGGCGGGGGCAGCAGGCCTGTGCCCACATGCGGCTTGGCCGTGGTGCATGAAGTGTTGAAGTCACCGCCTATGATCATGACGCTCCTCCTGGGAACTAGTTGGATGTGAGTTTATGAAGTTGATCCAATGCTTGGCTACGCAGTCTACGTACATGATCGGTGCCCCTCCAGGTGTGCTGATAAAACACTACGAGGTCACAGGGCGTGCCTTTGTGACGGAATTGCGCGCGCAACAACCTGCCTGGAAGAGCTTCGGCGTAGCGGAGCGAACCTGGGTTGATCAGACGCCGGGCAATAATGATCATGACGCCCCCCTGTTTGAAGTCCTGCGCTGAAGATCCGCTGTGGATGAAGACATATTGGCTAGTTTCCCAACTGCTGCTAAACCTCCACTTCGTTTCTTGAAGAAACAGGACATCAATGGGGTTGTGGTGGATGTGAACCAACAATTCATCGAAGAACCCTCCTCCCAATCCACCTACGTTCCACGTCATGACCCTTAGGTGCTGATGCCTCGGCGGGGGGTCAGCACCCCTCCCAGTGAGTCTACGCGATTGAAGCGGTGTGTGTTGAGGCGGATCTGTCACGGGGGGATCCGCGGACCCCGAGACTGATGCTGCCTGAGCTAAGGTTCCGGCCGACTCAGCGTCGTACCATCGACCTTTGTACCAGGCTCCACCTGTCCGTATGATGCGTCGGTGAACTCTCTGTAGCGAACGCTTAACGATTCTCTGCTTCTGCAAGGACGGAAGAGGCGACCTGCAAGTCGCAACCTGTGCTCCCAGAGGCTTCGCGGGTGCGTGGCCTGGAGCCGCGGGAGACGTGTCCGCTCCCCCACTGACCTGGGAAGCCAGTGGAACCCTCGCGTCTGATGTAGAGACCGATCCAGCTGCGTGTACATGTAAGAAGTACAGCCCGACACGAGCTAGTGATCTGCAAAATGATAGGTCTCTACATCTCCCGGACTTGGGACCGGGAGAGCCCGTCCATGGGCGGGACGACGGCTCGCTGCCGTCAACGGGCTGTGTGTGTGTACGGGGGGACGTGGGGAATGATCGGGACATGAGTTGGGGGGTGTGTGAGATCTCCTAGTCGCCAATTCAGGGCAAACCATTCCACTCTTGAACGAATGCACTGGGGTGACCGGCACAATCCCGGGTCGTGGGAGCCATCCTCGAACATGCTGCAGCCATCGGCCTGAGAGTGAGAGAGAACCGCCCCAGTGGCGCAGTGTGGTCATACACAGGCGATAGGCAGTGCAATATATGTGCAGTGCAGACTAGAAGACAGGCCACTACCGAAAAGGCTAGTGTAACATGGACTGCGTCGGGTGATGTGGGTCCTATATCTCCTAAGGCGCAAGAGTGCGCGCCAACCTCGCCAGGGAGGGCGCACCCAAGGGTGGTGCAGGAAGCCACTACATTTAAGGAGCGTTGGGATGTGCGGACATGCGCGCAGCTGAGATTCAAGCCCTGATCGGCTGCTCTCTGCAGCGCCTGTGGCATGATGCTCAAAACGGGCGTTAGTTAATCCTAATCCCAAGGTGCAAGGAATCCGGAGGACTATGGGGAAATATGCTGCTTGAAAGTCAATGGCGGCCTGGCGGTCGCCTGGCGCAGCAGGCAGCTCCTGAGGTAGTCCAGTGTGCGACGCTTGACGCAACTGCAAGAGAGGAGGCTGCACGAAGGGGCCATGCGGGAGGTTCAACCCCATGCTAAGGGACCTAAGGTATCGGGACCGACAACACCAGCAGAACCCGACGGGCAAATCTAGAGATCCAATCCCAAGCCCTGTGCACAACCGCATATATGCCACCGAGCGCTTCCTCTTCCTCTCTCGCTCGCACTCCTGTACACGCCCCCGCACAACTTGGAGCTCTGGGGTCCATGCGAAGGCTTGCGGTGGCGTACCCGCCTCGATCATAACTTCGCCCTCAGCGAGACGTGCCTCGTGGTCTCCAGCAACCCCACCTTGAGAATATAAGGAACCTCCGCGAAGAGTGGAGTTCTGGGTGCTATCACTGCCTGTTCCTCCACATCAAGGACTTCAGGGACTCCTGGGGCCTCAGGGACACCCGCCTCGACGTCGATCACTTGTGCATCGTCCGGGTCCAGGTCCAGAGCCGGTGGTGGCTCATACGTAGTGATCGCATCTATGGCCCGGCTCTCGAACTCGGTGTCGAGAGGCTGAATGTCACCCCGACGGGCCTCCTCAGTCATTCTGGTCCGTTTGCGAGCTATGCCAGCGATGTCAGAAAAATCCTGCAAGCCGGTGGGCTCGGACCGCAGCTGTCTGGCACGTGGGATCACAGCGGGCCGCGAGGGCGGAAGAGAACCAGCAGGCCAACTGCGGTGCGCAAAAGTAGGAGTGGCCGTGTCCAAGGCAGCAGCCTCTGCCTCTGCGACTACCTCTGCAAGTCTGCCAGAAGGGAGGTCATAACCCGATGTGGCACCAATGGCTCGAGGATACCCAAGGGTGGTTGCATGTCCCGCTGGCCTCGGCGCACTGCTGACAGCAGTGACCCGTGTCCACGCACCTGAGGTCTGGCCAGATCCATAGCCCGATATAGGCACCTCGCTACGCCCTCCATCATTGACCTGAGTGTATGGGCGTCTAAGCTGAGTCGCGAGGGCCATGAAAGCATCTGGTGTCATCTCCCTGCGCAGGACAGCAGCGGCGTCCTGCTGCTGGTCTCGGTCCGCTGTTCTGCCCGCATACAGCGTCAGCGGGCGTCGAATGCCGGAGCTGGAACTCGCTGAAGCCGATGCAGCTGGCCCTGCTGGCGCTCCATGCGGCGAGGTGCCGTCGCAGTCTGAGCTCTCTGAGCTATCGGAGCTCACAAGATTCACTGTCTGCCCCATGTCGACTGCGGCATCGGCCTCTGTGCTTCTACGTCGCTCCTCCCGGATCCGCCGGGGGGGACGAAGGGCCTCGCGTGCATCGTCTCTCGGCCTCCGCCGACGCCTGCCTTGTCGTCCTCTGACCATGCCTATTAGGAACCCGTGCGAGCCTACTGAGGGAACTGCATTGTCGAAGATCGCAGCCGAATGTTGCGTGACACCCTGAAGCCGTGTGACCCGAAGAGTTCTACCCGGTGGGTAAGGGTTGTGGAAGCACCGTAGGTGGGCGCAGCCCTGAACTCGGCACAATCCCTGAGCCGGCACGGCGGTTGCAACACATACGAACGCAACACCTTTGAATGCACGGCAGGTGGTGTATGCAACTCGCTTATGGCAGGCTGCGGCACATGCTGGAACCCAACTTAGAACCCTGGCTCCTGGGCAGATCGTGACTGGACTGGCCGGCCATCGCCGAGCAAGGCTGTGTACCTGGAAGGAAGGATTACGTATTATCCTAGGTATCCGGGGAGGGCCAGAACAACTGCCGGAGCACTTGGTAGACTTGCTGCAAGTGGAAAGAAGACCATGGCTTGGAGTCGTGCAGTCAGGCTGGCAGAGGTGCAGGGTTTGGGGAATGTTCTCGGATGGGGCACAGTCACCGGCGGAGGTATACCTACCAGCCGGTGCCGGATTGCGCGAGCTAATCCATGGTATTGAGATCCAAGGCTCGGCGTGAGGTAGATGTCGTACTGGGCGGTCCAAGCTGTCCTGACACCAAGCGTCGAGCATGCGCCTTGGCATCCTGCTGAGTCTGCCCTTGGTTCGAGGGGCCGGAAGCAGCGGTACACGATTGTGGGGGTGGCCGCATACCCTTGTACACCAATGCAAGTCCTGACAGTGGTCCTCCTGGGCGGCCAGTATCACTGTCATCCAGCCATCGCTGCGTCGCTGTACGATTGGAATCCTTGTAAGAGAAGCCATGTCCCCATCCAGATAGCCAGAACGAAAGAGATGTCAGAGGCACGGACAGCAGCAGTATGGCGTACACTCAGACCCTGAACCTAGAAAGGAGGAAAGGGGGGGGGAAGGGAACACACACAACCAGAAGAAGCCCGGGGCACTCGCAATACACTCGGGCCCAGACGCTTTGGTAGTGGTCGTGGTGGTGGTGGTGGTGGTGGTGGTGGTGGTAGTGCTAGTGGTAGTTAGTAGCGGTATTAGTGGTGGTAGTGGCGGTAGTGGTAGTAGTGGTGTAGTTGTAGTAGTGGTAGTAGCACTAGTAGTGGCGGTAGTGGTAGTGGTAGCGGTAGTCGTGGTAGTGGTAGTGGTAGTGGTAGTAGTGGTAGTAGTGGCCGTAGTGGTCGTGGTGGTAGTGGTGGTAGTAGTGGTGGTAGTGGTGGTAGTGGTAGTAGTGGTCGTAGTGGTCGTAGTGGTCGTAGCGGTACTCGTGGTAGTGGTGGCAAGGGTGGTAGCCCGAGTCGTAGTAGCAGCAGTAGTAGTAGGAGTAGTAGTAGAAGTAGAAGTAGAAGTAGAAGTAGAAGTAGTAGCAGTAGTAGTAGTAGTAGTAGTAGTAGTAGTAGTAGTAGTGGTGGTAGTAGTAGTAGTAGAAGTAGGAAGAAGTAGGAATTAGGAGTAGTAGAGTAGTAGGAGCAGTAGGAGTAGAGGGAGAAGGTGGACTAGTAGGAGTAGGAGGGAGTGTAGGAGTACAAGGGGAAGTAGGAGTTGGAGCCGGAGTAGCAGAGCAACAGCAGCACCGGCAGGCAGAATCGTGTTGAGAAAGGCGAGCATCATGATCATCGCAATCATCATCGTCATCGTCATCATCACCATCATTATCATAATCATCATCATCTGCTTCTTCATCACCATCCTAACAATCATGATCACCCGTTTCATCACCACCAACATCATCAGCATCATCATCATCACCATCATCACGGTCGCCATCGCCATCACAATCACAGTCCTCATGATCATCATTATCATCATCACGGTCACATCACCATCACCATCCTCATGATCATCCCCATCACGATCTTCACTATCATTATCATCATCATCGTCAATCGTCACCATCTTCATCACCATCGTCATGAAGATGATGATGATGATCATCATCATCACCATGGACCACAGCATCAAACAGACTGGTGCCAGTGATTTGACGTGAATCATCATCTCGTTATCCGCCGTACAGGTCCGTGAGCTCTGAGTCCGCGCAGCCGGGGCATCTCGACGACGAAAGGACAAATTCAGGAGGAACGAGGTTTTGAAACGGCGGTTCGTTTACCGTCGTAGCATGTTCGGGTGAGGGATTCAGCATGTAGTGTTTTCGACCCTCAGCAGTTGCAGAGAGGTTTAGTCGCTTGAAGTTCTGAGTGGCAAGAGCGCTTTAAGTTTCGGCTTAGCGGCTTAGGGTGTCTTTAGGAAGTTACTCGGGGATTGTGATGAGGATGACTGATGATGGCGACGATGACTGATAGTATCCTTGCTGCGGTCCGCTGTCAAAGCCACGTGCACCGAGGAGCGAACGAGGAATTGAATGCGTTTGGCTGCTTTTGGACTTCGCGGACTTTGCCGAGGCACCTTGGTGCTCTTCATAGGGGCTGCTTGGTCTCGTTCGTGTGTTGGGGATCTTGTCGTGGCCACACAAGTCGCTTCGGGTTCTCTTTTCAAGACTTCAGGGTTCAAAACGTGAAAAGGCTATCAAGTACTTTATGGAGGATTCCGGGTGGCCAGGATGGTCTTGGTTAATTCCTGGACCATGCAAACACTCAAAAACCGGCCTAAACTTCAAAACCCCAAGACCCAAAAGCCCCAAAACGCGGTCACAGCCCCAAGCCCACACGCAAGCCTCCCACGAGGAGACCCGGGCCGCAGCCGAGGGGCTCCCGACGCAGGAGCTGAGGCGTCTCGACGAGGCGGGGGGGCTTTTGGGTAGGTTTGAACGGGCATAAGGATTTGTGTGCAAACATTTGTGTGGCCCAAGGCTGCTCCGAAGCCAGCCTTGAAGAGTACTAACGCCTCGAGCCACCAGAATCTGTTCTTAAGATGTATGTCGAGAATCACAGCCCTAGGCTTTGCTTCAGGTTTCGTTCTAGATGCTGAACGTCAAGCAAACCTGTACATCTAAAAAACCTCAAACCGAACCCCAAAGCCCTAACCACCCAAAACCCCTCAAGACTCTCAACCCGGCAGCGCGAAACAACCCAAGACCCCGAAGCCCCGCAAATCCCAAAGCCGGTTATAGGACTCTCGTATGGCACCCTTTGTAAAGCCTGGAAGCCGCGCGCTGCCAGGTCCTGGGAGGCCGGGCAGCCGAGCTCTTCGAGGCCTTCGTGGCCTCGGGGAGAGCCCAAGGACTTGCAGGCCAGGTGAAAAGGGGGGGAGGGGAGGCTGTTCCGTGCAGTCGTGCTGGAGGAGGCTTCTCCAAAAGGCGACCTTGCCGATCAGGAATCACGATTCAGTCGCGAACCAAAGGCCCAGGCCAACACCAAAAACGCGAAGACATTCCTCGGCCTTCCTGGGAGCAACATCAGGCACAAGCATGGACCTTCAACAGTTGCACGGGTAGCTGGCAACGTTCTGGCGACAGTACGGCTAACACCCGCAACACAAACTACCCCCTTGCCAAAGGGCCCTGGAGCTCAACTGCGCGGAACAGCTTGGCACAGGAACGGCCTTCTTTCTTTCAGTTTGTGAGCCTCGGGTTGTGCTTTTGGTTTCGGCATTCAGTCACAGTTGCAGCTCGTTTTTGACTTCGACCCCCTTGCCGCACTGTCATCGGGTCTCGTACCTCAAAGTTTGACACGGGCCCCACCGGACCATGTCTAACCTTTTCAGCAGTACTCACCCTGTAAAGACGTGGTCCCTGCAGCTTTGAAAACGCGCCTGTGCAAACTTCACAGTTAAAAGTTAGAATTCAGAGTTTGACTCTGGTCGAACAGTGTTAGTGCAAGTGGATGCAACTGACGTCATTGATAGCAGCTATCTAGTTAAAGTTCGGGACTGGTTCAACTTGCACTGCCAGACCATAAGTACCATCCGTTCCTCGCTTATCCACGCATGTCAATGATGGTCACATGCATGCGTTGAAGTTAATTGTGCATGAAACTCATGCGAGCTGTCTAAGTGCACCCAGCGACGCAGTCGCTGACCTCCGAACCTGTCGCAACGTCGGGACCTCCTTGACTGCGGTAGACAAATCTCGTTTTCCTCATTCATTCACTGTGTGCGGCCATCGCCTTTGCCTTCCACTTCACGAAAGCTCCAGCCCAAACGCCCCGAGTGAGCCCTACCATTGCGGGCCAGCAGGACTACTCCTTCGCGCTGCTGGGACGCCGTGAGGCGCACATGGTGGCGCGAGCACTGGGCGAACGTGGCATCTGCAGGGTGGTAGATCCCATGGCCGGTACCGGTCTGAAGCTCAGTTGCAGCCTTGGCTAAGCAGACTGTCGTGGTTGTCGGTACAATCATCGGCAGCTAGGTTGTATGCAGAATCTAGGGTTTGGGACCTTCGATTTTTGGAGCGGCTTGAAATTATCAGCATCACACCTGCACGTCATGAGCTGCGACTCTGGCCTTCGACATATGCATTGCTAATCACAACCCCTAAGCCCAAGCTTCCGATGCTATCAATACCACGGACGGGGATCCAAAAATACCCCTCTTGAGGGGTTTGGGGCTTGGGTGTATGTTCGGGGCTGTTGGATCTACGTTTATCGAGACGATTGACGCATCGAGCGGCAACCTTCGAAAGCACAAGCTGGGAAGAAGCGCTCGAAAGCCCAGAAGAGCCAAAGGCACGCGCGGCTCCTGTCGGAAGCGGGGCTTCAGGTCGAGGCCTCGGACGCGCAGCCTGGCACTGCCGGTGGCACGGCAAAGATGGGCTTTACAGCGTTTCCGTTTCTCGAAGAAGCTACAGCTAAGCTGCCAAATGAGTCGCCAGACATCATTCTTTGGGCTGGGCTTGGAAAAGCCTACACCACCAAACCACGCGTGCGCAACTACTTACAGCGTCTGCGATGTTCCTGGATGTCGCTTGTACAGTGTTTTTGCTCAACACTTGCGGCTATGCAGCGAAGTTGGAAGCTGGCGGTGATCATCAAACATAGGGACCCGACTGTTGTCTCGTGTCGTGTCTGTCCCGTGCTCACTTCCGGGCATTTTTTACGTGACGGGGAGGGAGTGGCAGGTACTCCATCTTCGGGATCGACTTCAGATTTTTCAAGATGTGGAAGTGCGAGCATTGCCAGCCGGGCTGGCGTAGAGGATGCGGGGATGTAGGGCGTTAAGAATTTGCATCTCGTTCCTTCACATGCTGGAAGAATGCCCGAACGCAGGTCGCACATGCTTCAATTAGTTTTTTGTTTATTGTTTGTTTTCTGATTTGCGCTAGTGCTGGAGTGGTGCAACAGAACAAGTCTTGCCGCTGTTATCTACGTCCTGAAGTTCCGTAGTGGATGGACTAGGAGATACAAAATCACAGTGCTTGCATATCGGTGCATCGTCCCATTGCGTGTTGCGAGTTTAGCCCCCTAAGCGCGAAGTTTCAATCTCAAAGGCATTGGCACTGCACTACCTGTTTCAATTTCCCGTCCCGTCTGTTATGTTGAGCCAAGAGCATCGAGGATTGAGGCGAGCACAGGATTTTGGGCAAGTCCTGAGCATGTTGGTTGCCACACATGCCGTCATGGAAATCGCAAGTGTTGTTGTCATATTTCCAAGACAACAGCGGCAACGACGACGAAGGCCATGATGGTGGGGGGCAATGTTCTTCCGCCGCTTCTCAGTTCCGCACATGTCATGGTTGTCAAGGGTCCTCTTGACATTGTTCCGGCTACCACTGAAACTCCGCAGGGACCTGAGGCCTAAACCGTCCACACTCAGAGCCAAGGTGGTTTCTGCTGGCATCCGGTAAGCCAGCGGCCTTCTGGCGAACTGGACTGGAGGGTCTTGGGATTGGAATTTGGTTTCGGGTTCACACTTCCAGGAAAAAGAAACGTTTGGATATTGAAGGTTGTGAAAGTTAGTGTTCAACTTCGGCGATCTCACTAATCCATACCTTAACAAACTCTGAAGTTTAGAACATTTCTGCCACGACCGGTTAAATTTAAAAGCCTTGTGCGCTGTCAGTTGCGTCGTGGCTCGAAGCCATCAGGCATGCACGTTGCAGAGTAGGGGTAACAGCAGTAGCAGCAGGTAATACCACTACCACTACTAATACGACAACGGCAACGACGACAATCTACGTGTTGTTGCTCCCGGGCTGCTGCAACTGCTGCTGCTGCTGCTGCTGCCGCCGCCGCCGCTGCTGCTGCTGCTGCTGCTGCTACTGCTACAACAACAACAACTACTACTACTCCTCCTCCTCCTCCTGCTGCTGCTGCTGCTATACTACCACCACCACCACCACCACCACCACCACCACTACTACAACTACTACTAGTGGTAGTACTACTACTAAAAGTAGGAGTAGTACCAGTCCTTGTGCTCGTGCTCGTACTAGTAGTCGTAGTAGTAGGAGTAGTACTAGTATTGGTGTGTCATGCCAGGAAGGCGCAAGGATGTACTGCCCCGAGCAACGGAGGATCTGCCAAAAGCTCCGATAGCGTCACCCGCTGAAACACTGCAGGCATCCGCTCGTGAATATTCTGCCCGTTGGGCCACAGCAGCGAATGTTTCCCAAGTTCACGAGAACGAGGATCGTGCATTTGCTTGTGGTGGACGCCTTTGGCTTCAGGACGGTACAGAGGTCTTCTATCAGATTGCGGCAGTGGTGGACGGTCATGGCGGAGCTGGAGCATGTGAGTTGATCGCCCAGTCGACCAACAGCATCTTAAGCGAGCATCTTGAATGTACTGCAGGGGATGTTTCTGTTGCATTATCGGCAACATTTGCGGAGTTGGAAGAGCACTGCCTTGTCCTAACTCCCCCATCAGGGGCCTGTGTATGCCTCGGCATAGCAGAAAAAGGGCGTGCTTGGATAGCGAACTTGGGGGACTGTCGGGCCCTTGCCGTCTCCCTTGAGGAGGGCGCCTGCCTGTTGAGCGTAGACCACCGCCTGTCTGACCAAGCAGAATACAATCGGATACGCAATGCTGGAGGCTCTGTGAAAGGAAACGCAGTAGAAGGACTGATGCCAACGCGAACTTTAGGCGACCTGGATGTGAAAATTCTGTGCCCTGCTGGTACGATTTTGGCGGAACCGGAAGTGCGAACTTGGGACGGCCAGGGACTCGTCATCATTGCTTCTGACGGTTTGTGGGATGTCTTGTCCAATGCAGATATACTAGAGTTGGTGCCAAAGCGCAAGAGTTTGCGCCATGCATGCCAGGATCCTGAGACCTTGCAAGCTTTGGCAGACGGGATAGTGGAAGAGGCGATGCGTCGCGGCGCCCAGGACGATGTCACAGCCTTGCTGCTGCCGGTGCTTTGAAGTCTTTTGTCCAACAGCAATGCGGTGATAACCACCTCCGCCCAACCGTCGCCCGACATGATGAGCTGTTCATGGACGGAAGGTCGGAAAGAGTGCAAACGCTTGTCTCGGCCCTCGGTGCCTCGAAGAGTCGAAACGTGACATCGAGAATGAAGCTCTGGGCTGTTCGAGTGGAACAGACCGGAGAAGAACAGGATCATGACGATGATGACGACGATGATGATGATGGTGGCGACGATGATGATGACGATGACGACGATGGCGATGTTGATGATGCTGCTGCTGCTGCTGCTGGTGATGATTAGGATGACGACATTGATGATGAGGATGTTGACCACATCAATTGTGATGGTGATGGCGACAATGATGACGACAATAATGATGATTGTGACGATGATGACGATCAGGGTGATGGTGGTGTAGATGAAGAAGAAGAACGTCATCACCATCATCATCATCATCATTATCATCATCATCATGGTGACGATGACGATGACATCGGTGATGATGATGATGATGATGATGATGATGATTGTGACGTTGAAGATGTTTACGGTAATGGTCATCATGATAGCGCCGATGACACTTGTTGTTGTTGTTGTTGTTGGTGGTGGTGGTGGTGTTTGCTGTTTTTGTTGTTGTTGGTGGTGGTGTTGATATAAGATCAAGATTTGTCAATAATGATGATGATGATGGTAATGCTGCTGCTGAGAATGATGATAGTAATGATGATGACGATGATGCCACTCCTGCTTTGCTGGTGGTGAAGGCGGCGGCGAAGGTGACCATTGGCCGTTTGAGATGAGTCATCAAGCCCAACTCTGTCGAATCTGGAGTGTTATGTTTCGCCCTGAGATTCCGGAATCCAAGACAAAGCACATTGAACCTGAAACTGTAGATTAGTCGGTGCGACAATGCTGGTCGTTAGCTCAGGTTCTTGGAAGCACACCAGCTCCCATCCAACAGTGATGCTGGTTTCGGCGGGGACTGCTCCCACAGCGCGCTGTTCCTGTCGCCGGGCTGAAAGGTTTGGGCTTAAGCCGACAGCCCTGGGGCCTCGCAGATCTCTTCTTTAGTGGGCTGCTCAGGAGTTGGCCTCCCCGGAGCGAAGCGGCAGCTTCCGCTCTTCGCAGCTTCAGCCGAGGGCTCAGCAGGAAGCACTTTGGGATATTGGCTCTGATGCCTTCTGTACAGTTGCCTAATTCGTTATCCTTGTCCGAAAACCCTTTACGGTCAGGCTTTCAGGCTGTCGCCGACTTAGGGTTATTTTGCGGACTAGGCTTGCGGGCCTTGAGGTTGCGGGGCCTTTGCGGCTTGCGTTGGGCTTCTCTGTGTCTAAGTTTCATCGAGGTCCGCCCACAGTCTCGGGACCCTGTTCAAGTTTGATATCCCTTTAACTGAGTTTGCAGGTCAGCAGGCACGGATGGCTGCGTCCACAACCAAAGGTCCCCAGGAAGCCTTCAAACCCCAAGTCCCCAAGCCATCACTACCTCGCAGTCTTGAACTTGACGCTACGGATCTGAACTTGCAGGCGGTCCCATGCTGGTGGTTGTCGGCGACCGGGGGAAGTGGCACGGGTCCGAGTCCTTCCACAAAGCCCTCGAGGAGCCAAGTTTTCAGAATCCCAAGTCTTCAGCCCGATTCTGAAAGTGTCAGCAAGGGATTGCAGAGGAGCACTATCGGAGCTCCTCTGTCAGATTTTTCAGAGTAGGGTCTTGGGCTGCGCCATTGACGCAAAGCTCTGTTGCAAGAGGATGTGCAGCCTCCTGAAGTGGCACATAAAACTGGAGTCCTTACAGACTTACAGACGGATGACATCATCCACCGCATGCTCCGCACATATTCCACGGTCTTTAGCGCACTGTGTGATATCTTCTCATAACTGATCGCATGAACCCATACTGGGGCATCAGCCCGCAGCAAACTATCTTCAACACAAGAGTATCCCTGAGCGCCAAGATCTGCATGGCCCCAAAGACAGCTCTGAACTTCTCAGCAAAAAGCAAGATGCAAGAACTTTCGTAAACGCATCCTTCCAACCACTTCCACGCATCTTTAACCACCCAAAGCCTCGACTCGAAAAGCTGCTGCAAAGGAGAACTGGTCGCTGGTCCTGCAGGCAGATCTCCTTACTTGGCCACGGCTGCAGGAGACGAAGCGAAGAGCTGCAGGCGGTAGTCAGGAGGTTGGAGTCATTTTTACAATTTCTTGTTTCCGATCGTGTCGCGGGGGAGAGTTAAGGGATTATTGTGGGAGGGCGCATTATTCATTTATTGTTTTTTCTTTTCGTCATTCTTTTGCTTTTCCTGCATTTGTCACCTCCCTGCGTGGCGTCCGCGGCATCACAGTACAGACGTTCGCCGACCATGTGTCACTTCTCGCTTCCGAGCTTCTTCTCAAAGCTCCTCCGCCCGACCCCTTTTTTGGCTTGAAGCGCTCCAGCCTGAGGTAGTTAAGGATGCAAAGCTTCGAATCCAACATGTCTAGCTGACAGGCTCCGAACCCTTCTGCCTGCATCAAACTTGTACGGAGTGGTCTGCGACGCCCTGCCCAGGACGACCTCCGCATCTTCTGCCGGGTAGAAAAAAGGATCTGGGGCATTTGCTTCGTACCGTCCGTAGTTGTTGTTTACTTGTGCCAGTAGCTGGGCCAAGGACTTAGAAGCGTTGCCAGCGCTGTCGGCTGCAGCCGCAGCCGCGGCCTTCGATGCGGCAGGCACAGCCAAAAGCACATAAGCGAGAAAGCGTTGGGTTTTGTGGTTCCGGTTCGATTTGGCTTGGGTTGTCTCTGGTCTAACAAACTGAGGTTCAATATCTAGGGTAGGCAGTTTAAGCAGAAGTAGACTACACTGCACAGAGCACTCATGGCCCTGCCAGCCCTTCCTAGGAACTTCGTGGAATAGGTGTGTGTCAGGCCCTTCGCCTTAAATCGGGAATTCTAGACCCTAAACCCGCAACCGTAGCCCAATCACTGAGCCGAAGCCCAAGGCCTAAACACCAAGCCCGAAGCCATTGAAGGGACGTTTATTGAAGGGTTAAAGGCGGGTCACTTGTGGGATCATTTTACAAGGGTCTTTTCGGGCCAGTCTGGATGATGATAGTATGCTTTCGTCGTATTTGTTTACTGACGCGCCAGCTTTGATTCAGACGACGGCCGTACCATAGCGTTGAGGGTTTCGGAGCGAGATTGCATCTGGGCTGCGAGCACCCTGCATGCTTTGATCTTGGCGCTTGTGAAACTGCGGTTGTCGGCTCGACTCAATGCATCCCATTCTTTCGCACACCCTCTACGTTATGTTTCGTCCCTTAGTTGTGTGTGTCAACACGCTCTCTCTTTCTGTACACTTGTATATAGATGGATATACATATATATACATATATATATATATATATATATTTGTATTGGTTAGTGATCCTACGTCAAGGCCTTCTCCTTTGCAACTGCCTTGGCCAAATTGGTTGTCTCGACAACGGCAACCAGTGGAGAGAAAAGGGGCTTCAAAGAAAACTCACATCGTGCTTTGGCTGAGATGTTACAGACGAGACCTTACTTTGCGGATCCCGATCCGTAGGCCTAAAGTCTACAAGTTGGGAGGTGAAGAAGGAGGGACGCAGAACCGAACCTTGCATTCCGAGGATTTCCGGCGAAAGCCATTCCTGAGAGTGATGCATCGTTGAGGGCCTAGGAACCAGGCTTTGGGTTTCAGGTATTCCGTTTTGAACGAGCCGTGCCAGTAACAATATAGAATGCTTCGTAGACGGTCTTCATTATCTGATCTTCTAATTCATACGGCTTTCTGCTGTAGTAGACACCAAGCCACCAGACGTCGGCTCGGAGGCATCCAGCCCGAGGTGCTCAGGAGCCTTCTCCAGGAGCAGCAACGCGACTTGGCCCAAGGAAGCGGCTGGGATTACTGAATTACGATTGCTGTCGGTGTCATAGTCACAACACATATGCCTGGATGTTTTGGATACAGTTTTTCATTTGTAGTTTCTGCGTTTTTGAAATAATGTTGTTTTGCCTTTTTCGCGTTAGCTTTGCAAGGCTTCGCGGGTGTGGCGCAGACGGAGGTACCAGCACCATTAGGCCCGTTCGGCTGTTGAAGGTTGTGCGGTTTTGGGTCAGAGGTTTGGGGCTCCGGTGATTGGGAGTCCCCAAGCACCCCAGACTGTCACAAAACGATGGGGAACCACGTAGCCCAACGCTTTCAAGCACGCTAAGCCCGGAACGCCATGAAAGCAAACCATCAACATCAATCACCCCTTCAATCACCCCTTCAGACTGCAGGGTCCCAACGTCCTGAAGCCGCCCAAAGCCTCCAAGCCGTCAGCCCCCTGCGGTCTCGGGTTCGGGATTCAGTGCTGGGGGTTTCCTCACAAAAGCGACAACCCCTCTGGAAGCGCCTGGTTGAAGAAGCCTCAGAACCTTCGTGAAGCCCAGCCAGCAGCTCAAACCCGAAGCCCGAAGCCCCCCGGCGCCGTCGCATCTGCGTGGAAGGCCCGGTGACGGGCCCAAAGACGGCCCTGCCACTCGTGATTTCCGTGTCCGAAGCCCTGGGGACGACGGAGGACTGGAGAATCGGGGGGGATGCAGGGTTTCCCCCATACTTTTGGGGAGTTTGTGGGTTTAGGTTTTTTTGGGGTTTAGCTGAGGGTTTGCAATTTTACAAGGCTTTAAGCTTCGCGTCCGTCGGCCCTGAACCCCAAGCCCAACACCGTCGGCAGCCATAATGAGCAGCCTTGCAGAAACGGATGATACTCACACAACGAGGACACTAGGGCTCCGGCTTTGGCTCACAGCCCCTTGCACCGACACGACGGCAAGATCGAAGTTTTTCCAACTCCTGTGATGATTCTGGATACAAAGTCTCAGCCCGGAATCTCGGGGGGCGACTGCCAGGGGAGTGGCGCATCGACACCGAAGACGCCGAAGAAGACCACGGCATGGGGGCCAAGAGCAAGTATTGCTTCAGACCCACAGGCAACAACAATGTTGACAGTAGGAGTGACGAGTGTAAAGGGCTGGTGGCTCAGGCTGATCAGCGATTCAATAGTAGCTTGCGGTCGAGGCCAGGTTAAATGCCAGGAAGGCTTGATTCAATGCCACCTAAAGGTCTATGCCCGAGACCCTGGCGCCTGTAAACCTTAGTGCTAAGCGGCTCAACCCGACCACAAGACAGAACGACCGCTGAAGTTGAAACTGTCGAACTATCCAGGCTAATGGCAGTATACGGACTTGCGACGAGCTTCAGAGCCTGGAGTGCCAGGTGATGTTGCGGAACTTACCCAACAATTACACGCCAGTGGCCTAGAAGTTCGCGTTGCTTAGCGCTGAGAGCGGCAGATCGGTGCAAGGAACTATCGCTGAACCCGGAGTTATGTTCTTAGCCCTAAACCCTGCATCCTTGGTGGGAAAGAGCGCTGCTGGGCACCGAGGCGTTCCATGGTGCTGAACTTGCTGAACCAGGAGCCAAGCGGAGATTTGGGTTTCCAAGCTTTGAGGTTCTTGGTCATGGCATCGCACTGCCGAGCCCAGAGACCAAGCTCAAACCCGCAAGGCACCAGCTACTCGCGGAAGTCCGAAATCCTATGCAACCGTGGCACCCGAATCCGGGTTTCGAACTTTGTGGATTCTGGGCAATTGATGTTCTGAGGCTCGCGAGAGTCTCAGTTTTGGGTCACGGGTTAAAGCCTTGAAGCTGTGAGGATTTTTGCCTGGTTTTTGCAACGCTAAGCCCAAAACCCTCCCACGTCCTGAAGCGCGACACCCATGGCTTGAAACTCCCTAAATCCCAAACCTCGCGCAGGAAGGCTTTAAGGGCAAGTTTGACTTCCTGTATCTTCCGATTGACTTCAGGCCCGCTGAGTGCTGCAAAAGCTTGGCACCTCTTTGAACCCTCAGTTCCGGACCGATCTGGCTTTTACAGCCAAGCCCTTGTAAAGACAACTTGCAGGCCTCGAACACAAGCTCCATGAAGCCCTGAGCTTTCAAAGGCCAGGAACGCCCGGTTTAGACGGTCAGTAAAGACGTGTTCCAAGTCTGTCTGATGCTACATATCCGAAGCTCGGAACCCTAAGCCTCAACCGACGCTTTTATGTCTGTTTGGTGAGGGTGTCTAGGGCAAAAAGCGTGGCATTTGGTATCATCAGTTGATCGACGCCATCAGATTTGGTCGTGTTGACGATTCTGAAGTTGCTTGGGCAGTTTCTCGTCTGCAGATGTTTGCGCCCACAAGCTCAACGAGCGTCAAATTCGAAAACCCCGGCACCGAACCCTAATCCGTGAGCCACCAAAACCCCTGGCACCAACCCCAAGACCAGAAAGGTCAAAGGCCGGACTGGGTTACGCGTTCGTCAACCTGGTTGAGCCTTCTTTTGCTCTGGCCTCGGCTCGCGGCAGAACACTCCAGGAGGTCAAACCCGTTTCAAACCTCAGGACATAAGCTGTGGCATTGGTGGGTCCAGCTGTCATTCAAGGTTTCAGGACCGATGCTTGCTTGCTGACTGGGTCATGGTACCCGCCTTTCAATTCCGAAGCCCAAATCCGATGGTTGTAGGTTTCGACATACTCAATCACGTGCTCTTGACATGCCTTGGAAATGCAAGCGAGGCTCGAAAGAGAAACCTGAGAGGCTGATTCAACTCCGATCCAAACCATGGAGCCCCCTCCAACCGACGCAATCGAACGTCAAAGTGGTCCCAGGTGCCGTCGTTTTGGAAGGCATTTGACGGCTACACGAAATGGGTGCGCCTCGGGGTTTCTCCGGAGCCTCGAGATCTTCGCCTTGCCACCCAACCCCTGGAGACTCCAAACCACCTTTAGGCCCTTAACCTCAACGCCCCCAAACATGAAATCTTACTCACCGACAGAAGTCGTATGTAAGCATGATTCCTTTGAAGCACCTTGAAGGCTGCAGCATGCTAAACCCCTCATCCCCAGCTCTACAACGAAGCCCGCAGCATTGCAGGTACTGCCAAGCTCCAAAGTTTGCCAAGCCCAGGGCCCAGGCTGAAAGCACCAGCCGTGAACAACTCCTGAGCACAAAGCAGTGATGTTTTGACTCGCAGCAACAGCAACAGCTGCAGTCGGAGTCGCCGTCGCAGTCGGAATAGAGGTAGCGGTAGGGCCGTAGATCTTCAACAGCCGTGAAGCTCATAAATCGGAAATCTATCTGCCTAGCCTGAAAGCCGTAAGAAGCCGCAACTCCGATGCCAACCGACAAGGTAAGTTGGAGTGGCCCACACCAGGACGGGGGCGGGGGGTAGGTTTGGAAGCTTGGGTATTGATAGGGATGAGAGTCCAAGGTGTAGTGACTGCAGTTCAGCAGCGTGTGGCAATGCGGTATGTAGGATGTCGAACTGCGTGGAGGAGGGATTAGGGATCAGGGCAATATTGGTGGCGACGCATCAAGCTGTGTGCTTTTGTTGAATACGGTTCGCCCAGCCAGAATGAAGGCTTGATATGGGGGTTTTGGAAAATAATGGGGGGCCCTGAAGAAGAACCATGAAAAGGTTGGACCCCTATTTTTTCTGAACCCCCCATATACTGTTGGCCCAGAGTCCGGGTTCAGGCCGCGAGGCCGGCCATTTTTGTCCACTGCTCTAAACCAGTAGCCTCTTTCACTGGTCGTGTCACTCCTTACTA